GTTGTGCATGTAAACGTAACCACTGCATTAAAATAATTGACTCGAAGCAAAACTAGGCAGCTAACTCTTTAACAATTCTTAAACAAAGGAGATGCATAACGGAACGGCATACATACAAATATAACATTTCTCCAAATATGAGTAAAATTCCTGAGACACATTCACATTCACACTGAAGAATCTAATTATACTTCTCAGAGGAACAAATGTAATCTCTAGATTCCAGTGTATTGTGAAACAGAAGCTTTAACGTGTGAATGAGAATGTCACATGCTTAGACTGCCGAACTCTATCACTCCTCCTCCAACGCCGGCAAACTCGATGTCATTTACATCCTGATCCATTAGAAACATGCTCATCTCAACTCCATTGCCATACAGTGTGTGTGTGTGTTTTATTGTGTTTCTTTTAAAATGCAATTATAGCACAGATGTCATGAAAAATTCATGTTAAGTGCGTTTTGTTTTACGATCTAGCCCAGAGCGTCACAAACCCGTGGGCCGGCCTTGGGGGCGAGCAAATAATGACAGAATTTTCAGCTTTGGGTAAACAAGTCATTGAAATAGTTCAACTTTAACTTTACTTCTATATTTTTCTGACAGCCGAGTGGTGAAGAATGGTCCGAGCAGCGTTCCCGACTGTGTTTTAGATGGCCGATGCTGATACTGTAGTACAGAGAGAGAGAAAGAGAAAGAGAGAGAGAGAGAGAGAGAGAGAATTTTGAAATTTAATATACCTTTATTATAACAATTTAAGTCTTGGATTATTTACACTTCATCCAAATATTTTTTATTTTTTATTTTTTTTAAACACAGATATATTTAAAAAGTCAACACCAATTCATTTCGCTCACATAAAGTACACAATACCTCATTAACACACCAGATTTCTACAAACTTTGTTAAATAGTCCACCAACGTGAACGCAAACTCTACTTTTAGTGTAGCTGCCACAAGCCCCAAAAACATACAGTAGGAAACACGCTTATTGCATCCTGCCCTAGAAGCTTGGTTTTTCTTGTCTTCCATATTACTAATTTTGCAGTGCCTGATAAAAAATGTATTAAGACCAAAGTCCTTAATACCTAGGACCATAAACAAACAATTTAAAAGAAAAAAAACTCATCTAAAGATGAAAACCAATTGCTTGATGTGCTCGTCTAAAGAGAGAAAGAGAGAGAGAGAGAGAGAGATAGATTTTGTGCGGAGAACATGATTGAGTGTTAATGTCTGAGAGTCACAGGAAGAAAGGGGAAGTGGCCATGATGGTTTAATATCTCATTATACTTAATTATCCTCTCGCCCCATCAGACTTTTACGGAAGCCCTGAACCGCAACCTAAAAAAAAAAAAAGTCAGAAAAAAAAAAAAAAAAATCTGTAAAAAAAAAAAAAAAAAAATCTAGCATTTCGAGATTAAAGTCGAAATGTTTTCGAGATTAAAGTCGGAATGTTTTGAGATTAAAGTCGAAATGTTTCGAGATTAAAGTCGAAACATTGTGCATTCATAACAGTGCGCGTCCACTGGCTCAGAGCGCGGGCGTATGCGTGTGAAGTCGAACTGCCATGGATAAACACAAAATATAGCTTTTTACTTTTATCTGAATTACTTATCGTTATAAAATATAATGCGCCGGAATAGACTTTAGCCTATAGGAAAACCAACACGGAAAACACTTTTCAGACTGGATGGAGAAATCCAGCTTTATGAATGAATGAATGAATGAATGAATAGGGCATTTATATAGCGCTTTCATATATGCCTACACTCAAAGTGCTTTACAATCATATCAGAGAATCTCTCCTCAACCATAAGTGGTTATTAAATCTTAGGAAATCACAGGATCCGGCCAAATGATTGGATACAGAATGATGCACTTAAAATGTATCCAGTATTTACGGTGAAGAGGGAGACCGAACAGTTACTGTTGTGTTCTCGACCCAGATAGTGTTGACTAGACGAGCACGAAAACACCTCAGAAACACTGGCACTAGCACGTGTGACGTGTGTAGAATTTTGTTGAAAGCCCAGATAAAATTAAAAAGCTACTATTTTGTGTTTATCCATGGCAGTTCGACTTCACACACACACACGCGCGCGCGCTCTGAGCCAGTGGACGCGCACTGTTATGAATGCACAATGTTTCGACTTTAATCTCGAAACATTTCGACTTTAATCTCGAAATGCTAGATTTTTTTTTTTTTTTTTTACAGATTTTTTTTTTTTTAACTGATTTTTTTTTTTTTTTTTTTTAGGTTGCGGTTCAGGGCTTCCGTAGACTTTCTCCTAGTCAGCAAAATAAAAAAAAAAAAAAAAATGTCCTTCTTCCATTTTAACCTCCAAACCGCTGTTTTTTTTAAACTATAAACCACACGTAGTTTAAATAATAGTTGATTTTTCCATACCGGGAGCGTTGTAGGGGGCTTCGGCCTGTATCATGTGTAGTTGTGAGCGTGGACGGCAGTGACAGCACGTGAAGGGCTCGCTGAGTGAAGAAGTCCTCATATTCCCAGTTGCTGGATCACTTTCAACCTCGCCATTGTCATTGAGCTTCAGAAACGGCCCTCCTGAGGAGTGTTTACAGTCATGCACAACGGAGCGTCCTCTTCATCTTCATCTTCATCAGCCAGCAGGTTAATGTGAGCACAACCCCGCCGGGCTGAAGGAGGCTCGATGACAGTCACGAGAGGCTGTGCACAGGGACTACACTTCAGCGAGCGAGTTGCTCAGGTCACTCTGTTGGCACAGAGATCTTCCCTGTACACCTGCGTACTGTAATGCATGACAACGTAATGTCTTAATAATAAGCTTTTTGAGGTCTTTAAGATAATTTTTGCAGGTGTTTCGGTCAAAAAAACTTTTGCTGATAATTTACTCACAATAAGATGTGCATGTCTTTCTTTCTTCAGTCGAAAAGAAATTAAGGTTTTTGATGAAAACATTCCAGGATTTTTCTCCATATAATGGACTTCAATGGGGTCCAAATGGTTCAAGGTCCAAGTTAGAGTTTCAGTGCAAACTGCAAACTGTTCAAAGGGCTTTAAATGATTTCAGACGATGAATAAGGGTCTTATCTAGCGAAACGATCGCTCATTTCAAAAATAAATAACAAAGTTTAAGTTTTATAAGCACAAATGCTCGCCTTGCTCTGTTCTGTGATGCGCGTTCGTGACTCTCCTGTTTGAACTTGTTTATCAAAATTAACGCATCTTTTTTCGTGTCATTTTGTTCATTCAACGAATGAAACGAACGAATTGACTCAGAAAAAGATTTGTTCATTTTGATGAACGAGTTCGAACAGGAGAGTCACGAATGTGCATCACAGAACAGAGCAAGGCGAGCATTTGTGCTTATAAAACTTAAACTATTAAGTTATTATTAAGTTACTATTGTTATTTTTTTTTAAATGAGCGATCGTTTCGCTTGATAAGACCCTTATTTATCGTCTGGAATCGTTTAAAGCCCTTTGAACAGTTTGCAGTTTGCACTGAAACTGTCTTTTGGACCTTGAACCGTTTGGTTCCCATTGAAGTCCATTACATGGAGACAAATCCTGCTATAAGCTGACAAAAATAGCAATGCTCAAATATCAAAGCAAAAATGGCCAACATGACGTAATTTAATAAATAATACCTCGAAAATAACAAATAATAATGAATTAATATAGAACCGGTCAAACTTGAACTTTGCTTGCATAATTCTTCGCACATGCTTGTGTTCCCAGCGCACTCTTCTGTGTGTGAATGAATAAAACATAAATGTGAGCACATCTTGAGCATGTCATTGATTTTCTCCACACCTGCAGTCCCAGTGCAGTCGAATGAGCCTCCTCTTGAACTACACCTTATTCATTAGAAAGTGTGTACTGTGTCCTGCAATTTACTCTTCAAAGTGTGATGTACTGGAGAGGAAACACTGAATTCCACGGGGAAGCAGTGGATTTGTTTGATCACATCCTGATTAAAAAACACATCTTGAAGGGCTGCTAATTAAAGCTGTGGTGATCTGTGTCTGTGTCTGGGAATTCAGACCAAAGGCCGGTGCGATTATTAAAGGCATGGCTGAACAAATGAGCCATATGTCAGATTATTGTTCTCCTGGGGGAAATGCATTGTGGGAATGAATGTTGACCACTCAAGCTCGTCTGCTGAATATGCCCGTTCTTATAACAATGTTGCCAGGGGTGCTGGCACATAATCTTAGTGTATTCAGTGGACATTTCTGAAACTCTATAACTCAGGCATTTTCTAGTTTTCGGAGAGTCAACAATGAAACTTTCACTGAAGGATTTTTTTCTCTTAGACTTTCTATTTTGGCTCCAAATGAATATGGATTGATGGATGGATGGATGTTGTAGATAGATAGATAGATAGATAGATAGATAGATAGATAGATAGATAGATAGATAGATAGATAGATAGATAGATAGATAGATAGATAGATAGATAGATAGATAGATAGATAGATAGATAGATAGATAGATAGATAGATAGATAGATAGATAGATAGATAGATAGATAGATAGATAGATGTTGTAGACAGATAGATAGATAGATAGATAGACAAATAGATAGATAGATAGATAGATAGATAGATAGATAGATAGATAGATAGATAGATAGATAGATAGATAGATAGATAGATAGATAGATAGATAGATAGATAGATAGATAGATAGATGATAGATAGATAGATAGATCGATAGGTAGATGATAGATAGATAGATAGATAGATAGGTAGATGATAGATAGATAGATAGATAGATAGATAGATAGATAGATAGATAGATAGATCATTTCTATTTTGTAAATAAAATCAATGCTTTCAAATAGGAGAAAAACAGATAGCTTGTCTTCCTTTATAAATTACTTAAAAAGAAATATAATGCAAGAAAGCACGTCTGGATCACTCAAACGTTCCGGCAATAAGCCTTCATCAGTGAATCATATTTTATAAATAATAGCCATGCATAAAACTGTATTTTTCTCCCAAATACCTGCAGGAAAAGGCCGGTTCTTCGGCTTCCGTCTGCCGGCTTTGAAGCTGTTGGGAACCAGTAAGCAGTCTCTCCCGCAGGACGACCCCGACTCCATCATGGTGGACTCGCCCAGGGCCAGCGACGACTCTGAGGTCGTGACGGACGTCCGCTCGCACGCGAAGGACGGCTCCAGTCCAGCGGACGCCAACGACACGCGGGCGCTCATCAGCTCCAGCCCTCACTCCTCCCCCGTTCCCCTCGACCAGTCCTCTCCCAGTCTGCCCTGGGATCAGCCCAGTCCCTCTCTGACCTGCCTGGCCCAGTCCCTCTCCAGAGACAGCATGTTCAGCCGGAGACGGGCCTCCTCCGTTCACGACATCGAAGGCCTGAGCACCAACTCCAAACGTCTGTTTGTGGACACACACACAACTGAAGGTGAGCACTGAGATTCAGGATGCACATTGACTGATAAGATTGAAGAAAAACTAAATACATCTCTAATTTAATATTATATATTACAAATCTAATTTCTTCTATTATATACAGTATATATAGACACACAATTAAATTGTACAATTAATGAACTCAACTGTCATAACACGCATTTTCCTCATTTTCTTCTTTTAATCTTTACACTCCTCCACTTCAGACTATGTACGCGGTCTAAAAGGTAACGTTGAATTCTGTATGAATGTACAAGTCTTGATGTTATTTTTAGGCTCTACTAGAACAGGTTTTCATGCTTGAATGTTCAAAAAACACATTGACATTATTGCGGCTCCTCTCCTCCCAGTCTGTCAGTAACGCTCTGTTTAGTTCCTGTCTCTATGAAGCCCCTCCTTCTGAAAAGAACACTGTGCTCTGATTGGTCAGCTGGACCAGTGAGTTGTGACATACATTTTTAGGTCAAACCGTTCTTGTCTGTCAGTCATATAATGGAGGTCTATGGTCACCACCTCAAAGAGCATTCACAGAGAAGTCCAAATTAAACATAATTTAATGACTCGTAAATGATCTGTGTCTGGGAATTCAGACCAAAGGCCGGTGCGATTATTAAAGGCATGGCTGAACAAATGAGCCATATGTCAGATTATTGTTCTCCTGGGGGAAATGCATTGTGGGAATGAATGTTGACCACTCAAGCTTGTCTGCTGAATATCCCCGTTCTTATAATAATGTTGCCAGGGGTGCTGGCACATCATCTTAGTGTATTCAGTGGACATTTCTGAAACTCTATAACTCTAGTTTTCGGAGATTCAACACTGAAACTTTCACTGAAGGATTTTTTTCTCTTAGAGTTTCTATTTTGGCTGATAATTTTTTGTTAAAAAAGTTTGAAATATCCAATAAATTTCGTTCCACTTCATGATTGTGTCCCACCGGTTGTTGATTCTTCACAAAAAATTACAGTTTTATATCTTTATGTTTGCAGCCTGAAATGTGGCAAAAGGTCAAAAAGTTCAAGGGGGCTGAATACTTTCGCAAGGCACTGTATATGATCAAAAACACAGTAAAAACAATAATATTGTGAAATACTGTATTATTAAAACACCCGTTTTCGACAGGTGAAACTAGAAAAAATTTTGAATATGGTGCGAAAGTTAATTTATTTCGGTAATTCAACTTAAAAGATGAAACTAATAGACTCATTGCAAGCAAAGTGAGATATTTCAACGCTATCTCACGACCAATTCATACGAATTCTTACGAGTGACTAAAAAGTGGCTAATTGGTACTAATTCATACGAGCTCACTCGTACGAATTCATTCACATGATGGGTAGGTTTAGGGGCGGGGTCAGGGGTACACTCTTAGAAGAAAAGGTTCTATATAGAACCTTAAAATGTTCTATCAGCAATATGTATTTGGAACCCCTAAAAGGTTCTATAAACTCTTAAAAAAAGGGTTCCTCTGGGTTCTATATAGAACCCTGGGGTTCCATACTTGGCCAATAGAACCTTTTACCAAAAAAATGGTTCTATATAGTGATAATGCAGGTCTATGGTCACCACCTCAAAAAGCATGCACAGAGAAGTCCAAATTAAACATGATTTAATGACTCGTAAATGTAAGTACACATTGATGGCCTAAGACACGAAACGAGCGGTTTGTGTGAGAAAAACAACACTATTTATATCGTTTTTACCTCTTGTTACCACAGGCACGTCTAAGTGATCTGAAGGCGCGGAAAGCACCGGAAGTGATCTCTCATGCGGTTGCAAAAAAAATTCAACGTTGTCTGTTGATATATCGAAATCGTCTTCCATTGCGATTTCGTGTATATCTAAATATGTTTTGTGAAGGATAACACTTCTGAAATCTCTCTCAGGCCGAAGCAACCCTTTTTTATGGCCAACTTATGTTAATATCGAAGCAGCCTCTGTATAACTAAAGGAGATGCGTTTTGAATGAATACCCCAAATGGTACTTTTAGTCCAGTTTTCAACCTAATAACTAAAAAATCCAGATGAAACCTGTTATCTTTCCTCAAAAGCGCATTCAGAATACAGATCAGAAGCATCCGTCACAGTGTCTGGGACGTCATGGCGTTTCGTGATTATCCATTTTCAGCCTGATTTCTCTTCTCAGCTGTTATTGATGTCTTGATTAGATCATACAGAACATTTGCTGCTCTTTCAATAACGCTCGAGTCCGGACCTTCTTGAATTAAGGTGGATTAGAATGGCTCAGACTTGAACAGGCAGTTCCTCTTCACGTCCCATTGAACGAGACTGATGCGCCGGCTCAGAGTCAGGACAGAAAATCAATGCTACATGCTGAATGACTTCCATCAGCGGTTAACCAGCACTGCCACTTTCACTTTTAGAGGACGTTTCTTTAATCAAAGCTTGAATTATTCCAAGAGAGGTTGAGCGTTACTCTTATTTATCAGTTGTCTATTATATTGTACATGATTTTAATGGATGCTTAAAGATGTTTGCTTTAAGCTTGGATGATGATTTTTATGAAAAGTTTGAAGTATCACATGTACGTTTTTATTCAACTGTAACACTGTGTTGAAAAATGGTTCATTCAAATGGTTCATTAAACCAAGCAAACAATATATTCAAGTCAACATAAAGGCTGGGTGATATTAATAATAATTAAATAATAATTATACATACTTTATATATATATATATATATACTCTTAGAAGAAAAGGTTCTATCAGTGCTACGTATTTGGAAACCCTAAAAGGTTCTATACACTCTTAAAAAAGGGTTCCTCTGGGTTCTATATAGAACCCTGGGGTTCCATACTTGGCCAATAGAATCTTTTACCCAAAAAAAATGGTTCTATATAGAACCATTTTGGAGTTCCATATATGAAGCGGGGGATGGAACCATTTCTGGTTCTAAATAGAACCATTTCTTCTAAGAGTGTATATATATATATATATATATATATATATTCTGAAATTGTAAATACTGAAATTAAAAGCAATATTTACCTCCATATAATTTTTATTAAAACATATGAAAATATATAATGCGGTGCTGAGCAATCTATGAACTTTGTGATGGCACAAATGAATCACTGAATCAATGAATTGAAATTGACAGCTTGAACAAATGCACAGAAATGAATCAAACTTATCAACGCTAATGTCGTTGTAGGTTTTTTTTTTTGTAAGAATGCAAAAAATGAACGATTGTGAAACTAGTCTAAAGATTTCTAGATTATTTTTAGGAAACTTAAAGGAATAGTTTTTCTATGAGTGACAATTTTGTCATTGTTTATCCAGTCTATACAGGTTTGATGTTCATACTGTAAATGATGGCAGAATTTCCACTTCTGGTTGAACTAAAAGTTTAATGGCCAATTGCAAATCAACAATATTCATATTAAACAAAGGTTAATCGCCCAGCCCTCTGCAAGATGAACAAGAATTGTGTCTGATATTCACAGGCCCTACTTTACTCTTCTCCTTCAGGCCCATTCAACCATCTGAAGTCCAGTCTGCTGGGATCCACCTCAGACTCGAACCTGAACAAATACAGCACCATCAACAAGATCCCGCTCATCGCGCTCAACTTCTCTGAAGCCAACGATAAGAAAGCGCCTTCCCCTCCGTCCTCAGAGAAAACCATCATAGCACCAAAGGTCAAAGACAGAACACACAACGTCACAGAGAAGGTCACGCAGGTGAGAATGCAAACGCCGAACATGAGTTTAATCCAACGCTGTTTACTTTCTTTATACACGTGTCTGGTCTTATTGTGAACGATTCCGTTGAAAATTGCTCAGCAAACCTGCATTTATATGATCAAAAACACAGTAAAAACAGTAATATTGTGAAATACTGTATTATTAAAACACCCGTTTTCGACAGGTGAAACTAGAAAAAAATTTGAATATGGTGCGAAAGTTAATTTATTTCAGTAATTCAACTTAAAAGATGAAACTAATAGACTCATTGCAAGCAAAGTGAGATATTTCAACGCTATCTCACGACCAATTCGTACGAATTCTTATGAGTGACTAAAAAGTGGCTAATTGGTACTAATTCATACGAGCTCACTCGTACGAATTCATTCATGTGATGGGTAGGTTTAGGGGCGGGGTCAGGGGTACACTCTTAGAAGAAAGGGTTCTATATAGAACCTTAAAAGGTTCTATCAGCGATATGTATTTGGAACCCCTAAAAGGTTCTATACACTCTTAAAAAAGGGTTCCTCTGGGTTCTATACAGAACCCTGGGGTTCCATACTTGGCCAATAGAACCTTTTACCAAAAAAAATGGTTCTATATAGAACCATTTTGGAGTTCCATATATGAAGCGGGGGATGGAACCATTTCTGGTTCTAAATAGAACCATTTTTTTCTAAGAGTGTAGGTCATTCGTATGAATTCATACGAATTGGCCAATTCGTAAAATATGTACGATTTAGCAAAAATTTAGAAATTCACAATATTCTAATTTTGAATTTGGGGTTTTCATAATCTGTAAGCCATAATCATCAAAATTACAACAAATAAAGGTTTGAAATATCTCACTTTGCACGTAATGAGTCTGTATAATATACTAGTTTCACCTTTTAAGTTGAATTACTGAAATAAATGAACTTTTGCACGATATTCAAAGTTTTAGTTTTACATAATATTAGTTTTAGCAAATATTTCTTATTATCAATATTGAAAAAAATGTTGTGCTGCTTCATATTCTTGTGGAAATCGTGATACATTTGTTCAGGATTCTTTGAAAGTTCAAAAGAACAGGAATTATTCGAAATCTTTTGTAATCTATTTACTGTCACGTTTGAACAAATAAATGTGTCCTTACTGAATAAAACAAGAGTATTCATTTCTTTAAAAAGAAAAGAAAAAAAACAACGCAATTTTGGACGCTAAATCACAAATAATTAATTTAATATAATATATACGACCTGATATAGGGCTTTTAAAAGCGTGAAATGAATGTGAATGCTGACAGATATATATCATAGACCCACTTGGTTCTGAACGTTTCACATTGTCTTTAACAGAGTAAGATACGTTGTTTTCCCTTCATGTTTTTCAATAAGGCCCTCAGGTGAGGATGTGCTTTTGCTCTATTTCTCCTCCATGGAGTTTGAGTTAATCAATGTGTCACGAGCGTAATCTATTTGAAATATTGCATGCGTCAAGTACTTCATGATTCGATTAGAAATCCAATAGTCTTGTGAACGAGCACAAACAAACTGTAACAAATTCTCCTGCATAATTTCCCTACTACACGTCGTTTATACATTAAGTGCCGCTAACAACATAAGTATGCAAATAAATGCTAATGAGGATACTACTTAACCTAGGGGGTATTAAGATGACAGCAAGAATACAGGGCAATAACCAGTAATTACTGTTTGAATCTTCCATACCCCAGCCATATTTAGCATCTTTTTCTGGCACCGAAATGCATCAGAGGAGCATGCGAGCATGAAGATGGATTTTCTACCTCTGGGAAATTAATCTCCAAATATTGTCAAAACACGATTCGGTAACACTGCGATGGTTTCTGTGTGAGTGTAAAGGGATCCACTGAAGGCAAGTTGTAGAGAAGAACCCGAGGCGCATTTATTATTACAAGCAAAATTACAGTAGAGCATTGCCGCTTGCAACACCAAGGATATGGGTTCGATTCCCAGGGAAAGCAAGAACTGATAAGAAGGTAAAAGTGTACCTTGAAATGCAATGTAAGTTGCTTTGGATAAAAGCGTCTGCCAAATTCATAAATGTAAATTTATGAACCACGTTTTGTCAAAAAAAAAAAAATAAATAAAAATCACACGATAAAACGAACCGGAAATGATGCGAAACAGCACACGCGCCAATACCCCGTGAAGAAGACGAAGAACACAACACGCGAATATGTATATCAGACCAAAACTAGTGCTGCAAACTGTTTGCGCGATGATTTGCTCTGAGAAAAAAATGCAAAAAAAAAAAAAAAAAAAGATTTACCCGACGACCTCAACCCATGCTTTGCTCTGATTGGCTGTAGCTCATGATATCACGCGAGGTTGAGTCGTGCGACAGCTCTGGATATTTTTCTGGGCTCGGGCATCTCGCGTCTGCGAGCGTCTTTGATGCGTTGTTGGCTCTTTCATTCTAACAGATTGGCGTGCTTCATCGCCCGCTAATCCCCCGCGATTTGCACACGATAACACCCTGACCTGTCGGCGAACTCAACGATTTGAAAATCGGGCTTAAAATCATGTAGTGTGAACTAGGCTTAAAGGGATAGTTCACTTTGAAATTAAGTGTTGATATGTTTTATCTTACCTCAAGGGCAGCCAAGATGTAGGTGTCTTTGTTTACACAGCATTTTCAATTTTGACACTTTTCAGTCAAACCGTTCTTGTCCGTCAGTCATACACTGGATGCTAAGGGGGTCCACCAAAGAGCATGCACAGAGAAGTCCAAATTAAACATGATTTAATGACTCGTAAATGTAAGTACACATTGATGGCCTAAGACACGAAACGAGCGGTTTGTGTGAGAAAACCAACAGTATTTATATCGTTTTTACGTTTTTATATCGCTTCGGTCTGCGCATGCGCCGGAAGTGATCGCTTGCGTGCCGACGTCACTCTTTGTTTATACAGAGATTTCGGAAGTTTTACCTTTCACTAAACATATTTAGATATACGGGAAACCGCAATGGAAGACGATTTTGGTATATCTAAATATGTTTAGTAAAAGGTAAAACTTACGAAATCTCTGTGTAAATATTGAGTGACGTCACACGCAAGCGATCACTTCTGGCGTAATTGAACTGATTCAGTTCGGTTCAGTTGGACATTGAACAACTGATTCAGGTCACTTGGACGTCACTGTGATTACACGAGGTAAAAAACGATATAAATACTGTTCGTTTTCTCACACAAACCGCTCGTTTCGTGTCTTAGGCCATCAATGTGTACTTACATGTACGAGTTATTAAATCATGTTTAATTTGGACTTCTCTGTGCATGCTCTTTGAGGTGGTGACCATAGACCTCCATTATATGACTGACAGACAAGAACGGTTTGACCTAAAAATATCAAAATTGAAAATACTGTGGAAACAAAGACGCCTACATCTTGGATGCCCTTGAGGTAAGATAAAACATACCAAAAATTTATTTCAAAGTGAACTATCCCTTTAAGGCTACATCTACAAGTTAATCCGGATACATTTGAAAATGGCATTTTTGTTTAAAAACTCCCTCCGTCCACACTAGCGTGTTTCAGGAGTTTTCCGACATTTCAGTTTGGATGATAAACTTTTAGAAAACTCCTGATAACGCTAAATTCACCTTACCGCCCATGTGGGAAAACTCACAAAACTCACTGAGATGATACAGACAGAAAAATAAATGAAGAGTTCAGATGCAAAAGCCTCTAAGTGCCATTTGAAATTTTCTCCTAGAATGATGATTTTTATCAAGCTTGTATATTTAAGTTCAGTAATTTCACTTAATTAACAATTAATAGGTAATCTTTATTGCAATTTAAGTGAAATTACTGAACTTAAATATACAGGCTTGATAAAAATGATCATTCTAGAAGAAAATTTCAAATGGCACTTAAAGGCTTTTGCATCTGAACTCTTCAAATAATAAAGTTATCGTGCAGTTCTTCTGACAGGATCATTTTATTTAGCAAAATATCTCAGCGTTCGCTGATGCGTCCAGGTCGCTCTCGCTCACCATTATATGTTTGGTCTAAAACGCGACTGCTCTCATGTTTTGCAACAGGACAGCAAATATAAGTACATTTTCTATCATCTTTGCAGGACTGTGATATGAAGAGTGTGCAAAGTAAAATATTTTTAGCAACAGTGTGAAAGTGAATAGCACGTAACTGGCACAATACCGGTATAAACATGAATATCTATCGATACAATATGCGTCACATGACAAAACTTACGTCATCGTTTTTAAATACCGAAAACAGCATTCTCAAATGTATCCACTTTGGAGAGAGTTTTCAAAAAGCTTTGTTTTCATTCATTAAAATCAAGCCAAAACGTCGAGAAAAAGTCAAACAAAAACGCATTAGTGTGGACAAGGCCTAGGAGAAACACTGTGAAGTTGACTTTTTAGCCACTGGCTTGATGTACTGATACATTAACAGCAATAAATGACTTTGAGACAAAGATCGTCTGATTCATTGTACATGAATCACTATATATATATATATTTGAAGGATTAGGCGTTAGAGTTAAAACGGTTACTTACTGTCTGTCCATATCGTACAATAAAAGTCTGTTAGCAAAGCATGCGCCGAAATTACGACTGATTTATCAAAGAATCTCAGTGAAATGCACAGAGACATTCACATAGCACTTTTCTAGCATTCGTATCCTTTGGATGCCGATGTTATTTTTAGCGTAGTGATCCTCCAGTGGGCGGGGCTAAAGACGTGATGATGTTGGTCTGATTCTGCAGAGGTGGTCTTTCCTCGCACTATTACGTCATTATGTGACAAAAATCTGAGACAAAGTCATTTTCGGAGATTGGTTTCAATAAAGCTGTTATTGGACTAACAAGAAACTCTTGAGTTCTGAAACTTTTAGGATGTTTTTATAGTATAGTGACCTCTCACTTGTCAAAACATCAAGGAAAATTTGTTTTCTCAATTCACAACCTCTTTTAGGCATCATAGGCATGCGTTTTAAATGGGAAGATCATTTTTGGCAAAGTCTAAGGCAACACTGCATTCCACGTAGAAACGTTAATTCGAAGTATACTACCGTTCTTGTGTGGAAGAACCAAGGTTAGTGACTTCTGGAAATATCCTTCAAGGAAAGTCAAGGCATGGCGCTGTAAGGCTGTAACATGGAGTACTGGGTCAAAGCTCGCTGTAATGCGTCCGCCTCTCGGCCAGCCGGGATGGAAGTCAATGACAGCCCATCAGAAGCCCTCACTTCAGAAGTTGACTCGTTCACTGCGGTCATTTAACTTGTCACGTCTGAGTGATTCTCACATTGCCTTCCCCGACCTGCCTGGACGTGTGAGAGCCTGCAAGAGAAAAAGATACATAATTCATTACTTTCTTAGAAGAGAAAGAGAGAGAGAAGTCGACTACGGCAACTGATCACTGCTGCTGCCGTCATAATTTCTAATAAAGTATTTATCAGGAAAAGACACCTCATTTGCTGACTGTCAAAGTTGGTTAAACCCTGCAGTAAGGTGTGTGTGTGTGAGTTCATTTAGAGTTCAATTACAGAGACACAATGCTGGATTATCGACTATTATCATCCTAATGTTTATACCAGGGGACTTCTGCTGTTCAATAGCTTTGCAAAATAGTAAAATTAAACCTCAGTAGTGTCTTCGTCTTTCTATGCAAGCTTCGAAAAACAATGGTTATCGCAGTTAATTAATTTCTACTAAGTGTTTTTTGTATTAATGGTTTGAATTAGTTTTTATTCATAGATTTTCTGTTTTCAGTTTAATTTAATAATAAAAATTAATGCAAAATTATATGTCCAAGAATCAGATTCTTGGCAGACAATTGTGTCACCAGAACTGCTTTGAAAATGCGGTAACACTTTTCAATAAGGTTCATTAGTTAACATTAGTTAATGTATTTACTAACATCAACTAACCATGATCAATACATTTGTTACAGCATTTGTTCATCTTTGTTAATGTTAGTTCATACAAATACAGCTGTTCATTGTTAGTTCATGTTAGTTCACGGAGCATTAACTAATGTTAACAAGATTTTAATCAAGTATTAGTAAATGTTAAAATTAACATTAACAAAGATCAATAAATGCTGTATATGTGCAGTTTATTATTAGTTCATATTAACTAATGTAGTTAACTAATGTTAACTGACGAACCTTATTGTAAAGTGTTACCGAAAATGCTAAACAGCCACAGAGATGTAAGACATTTCACTGTCAAAATGAATATGCTTTATCTAATCAAAAAAATTGTGGCAAAAGATTACAAACAATATTATTAATTAAATTTAACAAATTAGAATTGAGGAATAATTAATCAAATTAATTCCTTAAAAGTTAACCATTTAAAATGAGTAAAACTTACAACAACCACCAAAAAAACATACATTTAAGTCACCATTATGGTGATCGGTGTTCGTTTTAGGTTTGTTTTAAAATGACGGTTCTGCTTGTTAACATCAGGTGTCTTCAATGTTGGCAATATAAAATAAAGAGTTCTCAATTAATCTTTGACGTCTGTCTGTTAGTGAGATATTTTTGTTAAATTTTTTGGTGTAAACTTTACTCATTTTAAATGGTTTACTTTTAAGGAATAATTTGATTAATCATTACTCAATTCAAATTTGTTGATAAATTACTAATTTATTAATAATATTGCTTGTAATCTGTTGCCACAATTCTATTGATTAGATAAAGCATATGCATTTTTACAGTGTATAAAATAACAGTATAAGAGTTAGTTTTAATGTGATAATTAGTATCTATTTATTCTTTAGATATTTTTTTAATTCTTTTAGCTTTCAATTATTCTTTTAGCTTTCATTGTTGTTAAATAGTAATCAAAAGTAAATTCACTTGCAGTGAGCATCAAAATTTACTACCCGCTTCACGAATGGCATTAAGACAAAGGACATCCAATTGCTTGAATAGCATAAATCATATTTCAGTGTGTGGAAAACAAGGGTTTATGAATGTCTTGCGCACCCTTTTGTCCTTGAGAAGTGCTCAGATAACTTCAGAATCGACCTGAGATGCATGACAACTTTATAATCCAAAAAGCTATATGCAATCAGAGCATTGCTGACAGCAGAGACGGTCTGTACTGTGCAACTATAGAGAAATGGATGAATATTTATGTCATGCTCTGAGGCTCCCTGACATGGTACACTTATGAAATGTGAAGGAACTCTGTTGTGCTGGCCCTGTTCATGAAATATTGCATCAGCTGGAAAGAAACAGATGACAACTACAGCAAAATATATGTGAAACTGTCACATACTGCATTATGATGATGGGCCTGTGCACATGTAACTGACAGCTGTCAAGTAATGCAACATAAACAGTTATTGTTAGAGATTTTTTAATAATCCAGAAATGTTTGGATCTCAATATCGAAATTCACAAATCAGCATTTTTTGGGAAATGCACAAATCAGCAAATTGTTTACCGCACTTTCCCCATCGACAGTGCACTACTTGAAAAACTGAAAAATTGCTACTAAACTAAAACCGAAACGTTTACACAGAATTATACGGTATATTTAAATGGTAGCATTTACTTTTAAATTGAAAAAAAGTTTGAGAAGTTATACTTGACTTTTTTACTGTAAAAATAAATAAATAATAAAAAGAGTTAAAAATTATACATAACTCAACTTAGTTTTTGTCAAACTGAAAATGATCAAATATAGCTGCTAGCAGCAATGATCAGAAGCAGAATAAGGAGCTAAAAATCAAAGCAGCGAGCATCGGGCAAATAAATACATAAATACCATCACTTGACAATTACATATAACCTTTGAGTGTAAACAATGCCAAATTATGTATTCTTTCTGTTATTATTATTATTATGCAAATTAATATTATTAATTCAATTTTAACATCTAATGCAGATGGAATGAAGTTTATAATTACTGTAGTTCTGTCATGAAAACTCTCGTAGTGTTTGGCATTGAAAAAGGATGAGACAATGCTTGGTCTCGGTGGAATAGCTCTGCTGCTGCTGCTGTTATTGCTGCTGCTGTTGTTGCTAATGTTGGTTATTGCTGCTGCTGTTATTGCTGCTGCTGTTATTGCTGCTGCTGCTGTTATTGCTGCTGCTGTTATTGCTAATGTTGGTTATTGCTGCTGCTGTTATTGCTACTACTGTTATTGCTGCTGCTGCTGTTATTGCTACTACTGTTATTGCTGCTGCTGCTGTTATTGCTAATACTGTTATTGCTACTACTGTTATTGCTACTACTGTTATTGCTGCTGCTGCTGTTATTGCTGCTGCTGCTGTTATTGCTACTACTGTTATTGCTACTACTGTTATTGCTGCTGCTGCTGTTATTGCTACTACTGTTATTGCTGCTGCTGCTGCTGTTATTGCTACTACTGTTGCTGTTATTGCTACTACTGTTATTGCTACTACTGTTATTGCTGCTGCTGTTATTGCTACTACTGTTATTGCTGCTGCTGCTGTTATTGCTACTACTGTTATTGCTACTACTGTTATTGCTGCTGCTGTTATTGCTACTACTGTTATTGCTGCTGCTGCTGTTATTGCTACTACTGTTATTGCTGCTGCTGTTATTGCTACTACTGTTATTGCTGCTGCTGCTGTTATTGCTACTACTGTTATTGCTACTACTGTTATTGCTGCTGCTGTTATTGCTACTACTGTTATTGCTGCTGCTGCTGTTATTGCTACTACTGTTATTGCTGCTGCTGCTGTTATTGCTACTACTGTTGCTGTTATTGCTACTACTGTTATTGCTACTACTGTTATTGCTGCTGCTGTTATTGCTACTACTGTTATTGCTGCTGCTGCTGTTATTGCTACTACTGTTATTGCTGCTGCTGTTATTGCTACTACTGTTATTGCTGCTGCTGCTGTTATTGCTACTACTGTTATTGCTACTACTGTTATTGCTGCTGCTGTTATTGCTACTACTGTTATTGCTGCTGCTGCTGTTATTGCTACTACTGTTATTGCTGCTGCTGCTGTTATTGCTACTACTGTTGCTGTTATTGCTACTACTGTTATTGCTACTACTGTTATTGCTACTGCTGCTGTTATTGGTGCTGCTGTTATTGCTACTACTGTTATTGCTGCTGCTGTTATTGCTGCTGCTGTTATTGCTACTACTGTTATTGCTGCTGCTGCTGTTATTGGTGCTGCTGTTATTGCTACTACTGTTATTGCTATAACAGTAGTAGCAAATAACAGTAGTAGCAATAACAGCAGCAGCAGCAGCAATAACAGTACTACTGTTATTGCTGCTGCTGCTGTTATTGCTGCTGCTGTTATTGCTACTACTGTTGCTGTTATTGCTGCTGCTGCTGCTGTTATTGCTACTACTGTTATTGCTACTACTGTTGCTGTTATTGCTGCTGCTGCTGTTATTGCTAATACTGTTATTGCTACTACTGTTATTGCTGCTACTGCTGTTATTGCTGCTGCTGTTATTGCTGTTGCTGTTATTCCTGCTGCTGTTATTGCTGCTGCTGCTGTTATTGCTGTTGCTGTTATTCCTGCTGCTGTTATTGCTGCTGCTGCTGTTATTGCTGTTGCTTTTATTCCTGCTGCTGTTATTGCTACTACCGTTGTTACTATTACTGTTATTGTTGCGGCTGCTGCTGTTATTACTATAACTGTTATTGTTGCTGCTGCTGCTGTCATTACTATTACTGTTATTGTTGCGGCTGCTGCTGTTATTACTATAACTGTTATTGTTGCTGCTGCTGCTGTCATTACTATTACTGTTATTGTTGCGGCTGCTGCTGTTATTACTATAACTGTTATTGTTGCTGCTGCTGCTGTCATTACTATTACTGTTATTGTTGTTGCTGCTGCTGTTATTGCTGCTAGTGCTGCTGCTATTGCTAATACTGTTAGTGCTCCAGCTGTTGTTATTGCTGCTGCTGCTTATTGCTGCATGCTGCTGTTGGTTATTGCTCCTGTTATTGGTGCTGCTGTTGTTATTTCTGCTGCAGAGCAAGTACAGGCATATAATATATTATGCCAATACATAAACAACACATTGTTTTGAGCAAGTAAGGCATGCTGCTGCTGTACTATATAGCAGACAGTACATGAATTACCTGTAGCAGATTTATACAGGTGGAGCTGGGGAAGGTGGAGTGTTCCTGAAAGCACACTGCAAACTGAAACAGCAAATGCTGACCAAGTGTTTGTTGAGGAGCAAGATCATTGGCTACTGATACCGCAGGAACCAATCAGCTGTGTCCTATAGAGAATGATGTGATTCCAAGCAGATTAGGTTAAGGACCTATCAGCCTGCATCTAGAGTTTCATGACAGAACTTTGTAAAAGTTTCGCATTAGCATTTTCCATTTGCATTAGCATTTGCACAAGTGATCCTCCACTGGTTTGGCACGTTTCTCTTTCAGGACAGACCTCTGATTATGTACCATGCAATACTCACGTTTCTGCCTGCCTCTCCTCTTCCAGGTCTTGTCTCTGGGTGCAGATGTGCTGCCGGAATACAAGCTCCAGACGCCACGCATGGATAAGTTCACCATCCTGCACTACAGCCCATTCAAAGCAATGTGGGATTGGCTCATCCTGCTGCTGGTTATTTATACAGCCATTTTAACCCCTTATTCTGCTGCCTTCCTGCTCAACGACATCGAGGAGCAAAAAAGACGGAAATGTGGCTATTCCTGCAGCCCTCTTAACATGGTGGACTTAATGGTGGACATCATGTTCATCATCGACATCCTCATAAACTTTCGCACCACGTACGTGAACTTGAACGAGGAGGTGGTGAGCGATCCGGGGAAGATCGCCATCCATTACTTCAAAGGCTGGTTCCTTATAGACATGGTGGCGGCCATTCCCTTCGACCTGCTCATATTTGGATCAGGATCAGAAGATGTAAGTGACACCAGAACTTAATCAACTTCCATCTGCATTTGGCTGCCGGTGTAAACTAGGGATCTCAAACTCAAATTATCAATTGGCAGGTGGTGTTCTCCTTCTCATTGGCACAGTTATCCACTTAACACGCACACATGATGCCAAATTTTGCAATGGGTGTGAGCACACAGGCCTGTTTTTGTTGTCAACGAGGCTACTATTATGCATTTACATTTACACTTCAAATGTTTGGGGTCGGAAAGATTTAGTAAGATTTGTTTTTTTTTTTTTAAAGAAGTCTCACCAAGGCTGCATTTGTTTTTATCAAAAATACAGAAAAAATTGAATATTGTGAAATATGAATATAATTTTAAATTACTTTTCTATTTTCTAATATAATATATTTGAAACTTTAATTTATTCCTTTGATGCAAAGCTGAATTTTCAAACATTTTGAACAGCATTTATTTGAAATGGATAAATGTCTTTACTATCCTTTTTGATCAACGTAATGCATGCTTGCTGAATAAAAGTATTAATTTCTTTCACAAAAAAAAAATCTTGCAGACCTCAAACTCTTGAACGATGGTGCATGCATTTGGCAGATGCGTTTATCCAAAGCAACTGACAAAGCATTTAATATATCTGGGATTTTATCATATCATGCATGTACACCAGAAATCAATGAACTAGGCATCACAGAAAAAATTGGAAATCTGCTTTAAGAGAACAACAGAAAAACATTCAAATCAAGTAAAAAAAAAAAAACTTTTAAGGGAAAAACAGGTCTCGCTTGCCAATAGTTTAAGACCTAAACTATTTGTTTACCCATTTATTTATTTATTTATTTAATTGTTTGTACTGTGTCCATTATGTTGATCCGATCAGGTTCTAGCATTTTGCAGAGGTCAGAAAGCTTTCAGCGCTGGTGGGCTGCTGATTCTTCTTACAAACACAAAACAAATATTTCAGTGAATCAGGGATTACAGTATTAGAATATTATGCATGTTGTTTTCCACCCTTATCTTATTTTTTTTTTGAATGGCCTTCATTTCTGAATCCATTTATTTGGATTAGTGGCTTACCAAATGGGAGTCAATGATTATGATGAGAGAGAGGAAAGAGAAAACTGATGTTTGAACAGCTTACAGGCTGAATCATTGGCACGCCGGTTGGCTTGTTTCCTCGCTTGTTTGTGTAGGCACATCCGTCAATGGCCTATCATGAGCTCTTGGCACATCCCAGCATATGGTTTCCTCGATTTGTGGTCTGTTCCAGTGACAGCGACTCCGTCAGAGCCATATACAGCCTAAGGACACCAGAAACAAACACAGTGGCTTTTAAAATATTAAAGAATGGAATTATAGATTAAGACCTACTGGAAATGTCATTATTTGATGGCATGCAGTATATTTTTAGGGTTTTGATGCTTGGTCTTGCTAAGTACATTGCTTTCGTTCAGATCATATTTCCCCAGAGGTCTCATATTCGCACATCTTTTCTGAAAAGGGCCGTCGAGCTCCAGCCGTCCAACAGCATTGAAGATCACCCAATTAATAAAGCTCACGCTCTCAGCATCTGCACTCGTTTTCACTGGAGGCGCTCTCACATCTGTCTCTGGTCACAACTAGAAAAAAAAACTTCTCTGAAATGTCTTTTTGCAATCACGGTTCTAATTTTTCACAACCAAACAGTCAGTGTATTAGATTCAAAATATTTAATTAAAGGTAAAATGAATGAATGCAAAAAAAAAAAAAAAAAAAACATTTATTACAATACATTCATAATCATCCCCTTTCCTGAAATAATTGAATCCTACAAGGTTTCGAGATGGCCCTCACTGCAGAATATGAAATCCACAGGGAGGAGTCGGATCCAGATGCAACTTCTCCCACCTAACATATACCTAAATCTACCCAGATCCACCCCCTGATCCCTAACCCCACCCCTAAATCTACCCAGCTCCACCCCCTGATCCCTAACCCCACCCCTAAATCTACCCAGCCCCACCCCCTGATCCCTAACCCCACCCCTAAATCTACCCAGCTCCACCCCCTGATCCCTAAACCCACCCCTAAACCTACCCAGCCCCACCCCCTGATCCCTAACCCCACCCCTAAATCTACCTAGCTCCACCCCCTGATCCCTAACCCCACCCCTAAATCTACCAGCTCCACCCCGATCCCTAACCCCACCCCTAAATCTACCCAGATCCACCCCCTGATCCCTAACCCCACCCCTAAATCTACCTAGCTCCACCCCCTGATCCCTAACCCCACCCCTAAATCTACCAGCTCCACCCCGATCGCTAACCCCACCCCTAAATCTACCCAGCCACACCCCCTGATCCCTAACCCCACCCCTAAAGACAAGAAGTGCTTAATCAAGATAAACAAATGTTAGCAACATTAAAACATGCAGGAAACATGTTATTAACAAGCTACATCATTTTAGGAACATGCTAACAACGTGCTACATAATGTTAATACATGTTAAAAGCATGGTAGCAGTCTGTTCAATCATGATTGGAACATGCTAAATCATGCTATCAACATGTTAAAACATGCTAGCATTGTGCTAAAACAAGTTAAACACTAGTTCTGAGTGAAACCTCATACTCATGGTTTTAATAGTTGTTTTAAACTTTCAGACAAGAAGTGCTAAATCATGATAAATGTTAGCAACATTAAAACATGCACGAAACATGTTTTGAACAAGCTACATCATTTTAGGAACAATGTGCTACATAATGTTAATAATGTAATAAAAGCATGGTAGCAGTCTGTTAAATCATGATAGGAACATGCTAAATCATGCTATCAACATGCTAGCATCGTGCTAAAAACACGAAACCTCAAACTCATGTTTTAATAGTTGTTTTAAACTTTCAGACAAGGCTTCAAACTTAGTGAAATTTAAAATGTAGGCCACTCATATGAGGTCACACTTGATTAACAATCGGTTTAATTGAGCGTCCATCTTATCGTCACGTCCGGCTATAACTCAAAGACGTGATTTGCTGTGAACTGGATCTGCTAATGAGTTTTTAATGGGCCGCTCATGACGGATGCAGCACTTCTCAACGTGAGAGGAGAAAAATCACACGTGCTTTGCTCCACAAGCTCGCCAACACACTGTCAGTGCTCGTATGCACGCTAGGAGTTGCTGTCAGACGCATCCGTTAAGACATGTTCTAAAAATACCCGGTGCAGGTCCTAACCTCGCTTTGTGAGGCCACTGTGTAATTGCCAGCTAAACAAATGATCTCCCACCGGGGGACGAGTGATGTTGGAGTCTTTCGGATGAGACAGTGCCTGCTGTCAGCACCCGTTGTCCCATGTCTCTATCTATTGAACACATTTCACCTGCAAATGAGGATTTATCTTGCTAGTTGACCGAGAGCTAGACGAGAATTTCATTAGCCGGGTCTCTCATGTTGGGGGTTTATTTTATCCTCACGGTGCAACATTTTGATGAGATGGATCTCTGGTGTTCGCACAGACTAAAATTAAACAGGATTATCTAAATATTAATTAGTGTGGCAGTCATGAAGACATTACAGTTAGAACCCAGAAATTAGCTTTGGGTGTATTAGGCCACAGTGCGTTCCGGCTTTTCTAATACGGTTAACTGTGGATAATTAAAGCTATAAAAGCCCACGGCTCTGTGCCAAAACCTAGTGAGGCTAGTACTACATACACAGGAATAAGTGAGCGATTCGGAAAACTCTTCACAGGCCGTAATTCCAAGTGTTACATAAATAACACAAAGTGCATTCCCAAATCACAACCGATTTCAGAAGAGTTTGAAGATTAAGTTAAGCATGTTACCCAATCCTGTCCGGCATAGTTTCATAATGAATCGAAAATACATGTAAACTTCTTATAATAACAAAGCGTCTTTTGCGTTGCTTTAGCAAAGTATCTGTCGAACGAATTAAAACCGAATGCGTGATGTGCTTTGTGTCGTGAGATTTAATTAAATAAGTGTTTGTGCGCACTTGAGCAGCTCGTGATCCGGTAGTGAGCTCCATATCTGCATGTGCTGTGAGTTTAGCGTGCATTTAGAAGAACAAAATATCTTCTTTTGACCTACTGAGAAGATCATGTTGCTGCTGGAGGTGTTTGTGAGGCCACTAGGGGGCGCTGACCCTGTGGTCTGTGTGGGTCCTAACAGAGAATGTCTAATTGAAGAGAATTGGCACTGGCTGGTTACTTCCGGGTTCTGGACTGGCTGCAGTAACACGTCTCTGTCCATGCGGGGGCGCTCGCGGTCGAGTGCAGAATGAATGGGAGTCAATCACAATAAAGGCTAGATATCTTGTCCACACTGCTGGCCAATGGAGGTCGACATCAGCACCTGGCGGCCATCTTGTCACAGGCAGCTCGCTCACTCGTAACATTGTGTTTAATGGTGCATGTACTTTTTAAATAACCGTAACTTGCTCAATTTTCTACCGATTTTCAAACGGTTTGGTTTGTTATAAATGTTACGACACTGCATACTTGAATAATAAGTATATAAATAAATAATAATGAATAATAAGTGTATAAATAAACAATCATCAAGAATTAAAGCCACTTTAATAAAAAATTGGTTTGTAAGAAACCAAACCGTTTGTAAATCCGTCAAGATTTCAACGAGATAAGAGTACTTGTGTTCGTGCTGAGCACTCATCTTACATCAGTTTGCCTGTGACAAGATGGCCGCCGGTGATGACGATAGACACTCCGCCGTAAGACATCTAGCCTTTATTGTGGATATCTATGCTTGAACCTGTCAATCGTGTGGAAAGTACAGCCCACTACTACATTTCAGTTCAGGGAAGAGTTCAAAACATGATTGGTCGATATTATGCATGAGGAATACATTTTGGTAAGTTGTAGCATATTGCGTCTCTCAGCAGTGTTCGTGTTTCTTTTACCATTACAGTAGTAGAGATGATCGGTTCACATGCGCTAGGGATCTGTCGCGTAACATTTACAGGTGCCAAAACGGTATTTATTGTTTGAATAGCGTACTACAATTGACAGAATCTGAGAGTATTAGTACTTTCCAATCTTTCTAGGTAAAATACAATCTGTTCGCAATCTTACTAATGAGCACATTCTCTCTTTCCCAAGACGACCACTCTGATTGGCCTGTTGAAGACAGCGCGACTCCTTCGACTGGTTCGTGTTGCCAGGAAGCTGGACCGTTACTCTGAATACGGCGCAGCGGTTCTCATGCTCCTCATGTGTATATTTGCTCTTATTGCCCATTGGCTCGCCTGCATCTGGTACGCCATTGGAAATATGGAGAAACCGTACCTGGACCATAAGATCGGCTGGCTTGACAATCTCGAGGTGTCCATTGGGAAGAAAATAAACTACAGTGACCCCAGCTCTGGCCCGACCATAAAGGATAAATACGTCACTGCACTTTACTTCACATTCAGTTCGCTGACCAGCGTCGGCTTTGGAAACGTGTCTCCGAACACCAACTCGGAGAAGATCTTCTCCATCTGCGTCATGCTCATTGGATGTAAGTCTAAAACACATGCATGTATGCAAATAGCTTAAAGGAGTAGTTCACTTTTGAAAAAACGTTTGCTGATAATTTACTCACCCCCATGTCATCCGAGATGTCTTTCTTTCTTTAGTCGAAAAGAAATGAAGGTTTTTGATGAAAACATTCCAGGATTCTCTCCATATAATGGACTTCAATGGGGTCCAAACGGTTCAAGGTCCAAAAGACAAACTACAAACTGTTCAAAGGGCTTTAAATGATTTCAGACGATGAATAAGGGTCTTATCAAGTGAAACGATCGTCCATTTAATAAATAAATAACAAAGTTTAAGTTTTATAAGCTCAAATGGTCGCCTTGCTCTGTTCTGCGCGTTTGTGACTCTCCTGTTCGAACTCGTTCATCAAAATTAACGAATCTTTTTCGAGTCATTTGGTTCATTCAACGAACGAAACGAACAAATTGACTCAGAGAAAGGTTTGTTCATTTTGATGAACGAATTCGAACAGGAGAGTCACGAACGCGCATCACAGTACAAAACAAGGCGAGCATTTGAGCTTATAAAACTTCCTTTGAATACTGAAAGAAATATGTACACAACCATTTAAAGGTTTTTAATTTTTTTTAAGGAATCAGTAGGCTTATTTTTTATTCAGACAAGATGCATTAAATTGCTCAAAAGCAAAATTAAAGACATTTATACAGTTACTAAAGATTTCAATTAAAAAAAAATCTTGCTCTTTTGAAATTTCTATTCATCAAAGAATGCTGAATTCCTCTAAAACATAAATATTTAACATTGATAATAATCAGAAATGTTTCTTGCTCATCAAATCGGCATATTAGAATGATTTCTGAAGGATCATGTGACACTGAAGACGAGTATTGATACTGAAAATTCAGCTTTGAATCAAAGCAATAAATTACATTTTAGAATATTTTCACATAAAAAACAGTCAATTAAAATTGTAATAATATTTCACAATATTAACTGTATTGTTGATCAAATAAATGCAGCCTTGGTTAGAATAAGAGGCTTAAAAATATTTTTAAAGAATATAACTGAACCCTGTTTGAAACTTTGCTAGGTATAAGAAAAAACATTGAATTAATATTCTTCAATATTCAATTAAAGTGCACGTCCTGAGATGGCTGCAATGAATTTGAAATGACTCGGGTATCTGTAAACGATTCATTACGACATATTTAATCTCTGTTTCAATCTAGCAGATTAATCCTAATACTTTTTCAAATCAATATGTTTATTGTCTTTTCAAGACCCCATGACATCATCTTTAATCCATGTCTGTTAGTCTTTAGTCCAGCTAGTGTACTGCTAAATACAACATTTACAGTAAAACTACTGATGAAAAATACTGATGACTCATGCTGCACTCAGGGACAGTAACTACCTATTGTGTAAATGAAATAAATGAAAAATGAAAAAGTTGATTCAAACCGGTATAAATTTCTTTCTTCTGCTGAACACAAAAGAAGATATTTTGAAGAATTTTGGTAACCAAAGAGTTGATGGGAGGAGGGACTCTATGGAAGTCAATACTGACATATAGCAAAATATCTCAAATAGAAATTCATACAGGTTTGAAACAACAGCAGGGCTCTCAAGTTTTAAAGACAGGCAAGAGTGACATCTTTTTCGGGGGCTTTCCTCTCAGGGTGAATGAGAGGATGCTTAATTTCCTTTTACCTGACATCTTTGAAAGGCAGATGCAATGATTAATACATCCACGGCCAGGATATAATTATAAAATATGACATGATTTGAAGTGACTTATAACATCGACACTTTAATGTATTTAGTGCTTATAAAATCTTTAAGCCTATTTGGAGAGAGAGATGTTTATAATGTGACAATATGTCAGTCATCGTGTGATAACGAAAATACGACTACTTGTTCTGAGAGCAGGTGTTGTCAGTAAACAAGCTGTATACTCATGAAACTCATGAAAAACTGATGTTAATTATCTGGGAAACGTTCTCTAACAGCGGTCAAGATGTCATTGTTTGTGTCAAACAAGTTACCCAGATACAATAGTGCTATTTTCTGATTGGCTATTGTGTAACCCCTTTCTTTTTTTGATTGGCTGATAAGTGGCATTATGATAATTTACTCACCCCCATGTCATCCAAGATGTCCATGTCTTTCTTTCTTCAGTTGAAAAGAAATTAAGGTTCTTGATATAAACATTCCAGCATTTTTCTCCATATAATGGACTTCAATGGGAACCAAACGGTTCAAAGTCCAAAAGACAGTTTCATTGCAAACTGTTCAAAGGGAACAAATCTTTTTCCGAGTCAATTGAACGAAAGAACGAATCATTCGTTCAATTGGCTTTATGCACAGCTGCACTTCTTGCTGAACTTAAGCCAGCTCCTTGTTTCCTGTCTGTCGTTTTTGGACAAATTGATTAATCCAGGTGTGCCTGACCTCAGTAGTCACGGCAACAATAATCAGACACCTGAATTAATCAAGTTCGGCCAATGATGGCAGACAGGGAACAAGGAGCTGGCTGAAGTTCAGGAAGTAGTGCAGCTGTGCATAAAGCCAGTTGACTCGGATGAACGAGTCTTTGATGAACGAATCTTTTCCCCAGTCAATTCCTTCGTTTCGTTCGTTGAATGAACCAAATGACTCGGAAAAAGATTTGTTCATTTTGATGAACGAGTTCGAACAGAGTAAGTCACAAACGTGCGTCACAGAACAGAGCAAGGCGACCATTTGAGCTTATAAAACTTGTACTTTGTTATTTATTTATTAAATGAGCGATCGTTTCGCTTGATAAGACCCTTATTCATCGTCTGGTAAATTATCAGCAAAAGTGAACTACTCCTTTAAAGATAAGACATTGAAAAACTAGTCCAAAGTCAAAAATCTATCCCATCATCCCTCAGTGGACAGGACAGTTAAAAACACAGCTATTGAAACAGAACACATCAAGCATAATAATCATAATAATATATAAAGAAACACTGCTAAATTGGCCTAGCAATTTCACCCATGTGACCCTACATTGTCTTCTCCAGCTTTGATGTACGCCAGCATTTTTGGGAACGTTTCCGCCATCATCCAGCGGCTGTATTCGGGTACGGCTCGCTACCACATGCAGATGCTCCGTGTGAAAGAGTTCATCCGCTTCCACCAGATCCCAAACCCGCTCAGGCAGAGACTGGAGGAGTACTTCCAACACTCGTGGACCTACACCAACGGCATCGACTTGAACACGGTGCATTTCATACATCCTGACTACTTTAGCCATGATATTTTCATTGCATGCGTTTTCAAATCTTTATTTCAGATTCGCTAAGACACACCCAAAAAATGCTGGACGGTTTCAACTCATGTTTGGGTCAAATATGGACAAACAGTTGGTTTAATTTCTATTAAATTTGGTTACATTTTTTATTTCACCCAAACATAAGTTGAAACAACCCAGCATTTTTTTGAGTGTAGGATGAATTAGTAGTTTCTTTAAACCAAAAATGCATCTGCGCCACAAGTACCGGATTAATGTGGGTTTATTTAATGGCAGCTTTATGTTTACACTAAGTACAAATTGCGATAACTGCTATTTACAATACGTTTAAATAGAAAGGGGGGGCATAAGCGAACTAAGTGGCTACTTGGGGCCCCCCAATCGAGTCGAAAAATCGAAAAATATTTTTTAGATGACTTAAACAAGTGACATAAATGAATTAATTAATATGAATGAATGAATAATTAAAGACAATTCTGATTTCATGATCAATATAGCTCCCTACGACTGCTGCGGTGTCTGCCATCGTGCGCATAATCTATAGACTTATATCTATAGTTTAAAGCTGTCTGTAGATGTGAACCATTTTTCTAAAAACTTAAAGAAATACATTGTTGAGAACCAGCTGTGTCAGCATCAGTGCGTTTAATGTATACATTATGAGTAGAGATGGTCTTATAAATATGTTCTCTCATTTTGTATCTGATTGTTTTTATATGATTTTCATAGACTAATATGTGTAGCTGATATTACTATTGATAGTTGTTTTGCAATGTTTTAATGTCTCAAATTGTGTGCACCTGCCCGGGGACTGCGGATGAAAATTAGCTTCGGCTAACTCTGGCACAAAGCATCTCTTCGCGAGACTAATGTATTTTGTGCATTGTCCCTGATAAATAAATACAGGAAAAAAAAAGAAAAAAAAAGACAATTCGTGCGCAAATGCGCATAGTCGCGGTAATGTTAAGCCACATTGGTGGTGAAAATAGAACGAAGAAAATTACAGAGGAAGAGAGAAAAAGAGCAAGATAAAGTATGTTTGGATGATTATTTACGGTATGTTTTGTGCAGCAATTGAACCATAGCTATCTACGGCAAGCCCAGAGGGGAAAAATACATTGCATACACACACACATACACTGTAAAGATTCGTTATCACAACATTTTTTTTTTTTGTCAAATCAAATTAAATAATTTATTAAGGTCAGATAACTTATTATTTAAATCAATCTCATTCATTGTATTAACTCAATTTTTTTCCATTTCAATCAACTTAAAATTTTAAGGCAACCAGGTTACTTAATTTTTTAAGTTAAACCAACAATATTTTTTTTACTGTTGAAATACGGAAAAGAGCTAAATAAAAAAAAAGTTCTCACTTTGTGTTCCTCAAAAAAAGAAAATGTGTTTGGAATACAAGAGTGACTAAATAATAAGTAGACAATGCCAGACGTTTCAACTATTCCTATAAATGGTCTCTGAAATGCTATCTGAACATGTGATCACAGTATGAATGTGTGAGTTTGTGTACTGAAAGCAACACCTGTCTCTCTCCATGTCTGCCTCGTGTGAAATGGATCGACCTCGCCACCCTGGGAAGAGCAGGAGGTATTTATATAAACGCATCTTCATTCACACACATCAACATTCACTCTGTTCTGGACATATTGATGCTCATCTCAGCCACACGGGAAATGCATGTTTTTAAAAAAAATAGTTTTGGATTGTGGATTTATGATGATGCTTATTTTAGACAACTTTTTTTACAACGGTTTGATGCAAATCCTAATTCTTTTTCTTGTGATACGGTCTTTAAGAAACCAGATAATAATAGTAAGAATACTCATAATAATAAAAAGTGCATCAAAATCATATACTGTATATCACATATACATATTCCTTGCTAGCATGAATTAGCTTATATTCGATGGGCGCCGCCTATGGCTGCCATTCTATTTTAGACAAGAAAAGTCGAACTTGTTAAAGCAAGTCTGCATGTTGCTAAGAAACTGAATCATTTTTCTTTAACCCTCATTATTTCATCTCTTTTAATTTATAATTGCACTGCTAATATGAACACAGTAGTTGGCACTTGCATCATTTTTTCCACTTTCACTTAATCTGTCTAGGTTAAAGTCTCTTTCCTGCCACTTTAGCCGTATACTTTTGGCAGAAACATCACAATGCAAAATTATTTAATTAGCAGTGGAAAAAAAACTCACTTTACATCACATATTTCACATTATTACAGTTTTTACTTTTGATCAGATAAATGCAGCCTAGGTTAGTTTAAGAGACTTCTTTCAGAAGTAATAAATAATCTTAAAAACAGTAAAATAAGTCTGTTTTGTTTGTTTTTAAATTGTACTTAACATTTGTGAGTGTTATTATTATTATTATAATTATAAGTGTACTATATTGTTAGTGCCAAACTGAAATTTCAGTTAGGATTAGGGTTGGGTTTCGTTTGCATTTTAACTATTCTACTAATCGATTCCTAATTTCAATTCTAATAAAGTAAAAAAAAAAAAAAACTCTTACTGCAAAACATTTCATTGTAGCTGAATACCATGAACAAAAATCAACAGACTAAAGAAAACAACTAGCCTAACTAATATACATTTCAAGCATTATTAAAGAAAAGAAAACACACACAAAAAAGAAACAAATTAGCAATTGCTCAAATAAATACAACTAAACAAACATACGATGAAAGGTATTCAGTATACAGAAACTGTAATCAAATGTAAAATAATACTGCATTTTATATTAAAAAAATATATACATTACAAATATATTTACAAAAGTTCTTCAGTCAAGATTTATTGAGACGGCAGCAGGAATATTAGGCTACTGTCACTTTAAGAGCGGCATGGGTCCAATATACTGTTACACAAGCGTGTTCGCTCAACGGTTTACGTTTACTTAAAGGACAATTCTGGCGCAAAATGAACCAAGGGGTTAATAACACATTGGTACCGAGTCGACCGTTCTCTGGGATGTGTTTTTATGATAATCTAATGTACCCAGATTTAGCTTGAACCACAGATTAGCTTATAACGCTAGTATACGGGGCATAGAGTAAGTACAAATAAAAATCGCTAGATAATACCACTAACAAAATAGCCCAACACTACTAACACAATAACATAATGAGGGTCCCTACCTGCAAACCGAAGCAGACCATAGACTGTAAAAAAGATGGACGACACCCCTTCGCTCTTTTCCATCGGAGAGAACTGAAGCCGCCAGTGTCCCGATATGGCGCTGACATCTTGGGACTTGAGTCTGCTCCGTTCCTCTCCAATGATGTCCGCTGATTGCAATACCTCGTTAAAATAAGGTAAATACAACTATTAACCACATAGTCAACATTATAAAAAAAAAAGTCTGTTGGTGCTTCAGTGACTACTTTGCTGTCACACCAACGCATTAAATAACCAACTAAAAACAAACTTATTTTAGAAACAAACTCTTGAAATTACATCAGCGTGATAGAAACTACAGTAAATGACAGAAACTATCTTTGGAAAAAGGATATGTGAAGTGTAATTTAATTGGTCTCATGTCCCATTCAATAACATGGGGAGGCAGGGTTTATGACCTATTCTAGGACCGGCCACCAGAGGGCGATCGAGACGTTTTGGCTTCACTTTTGAGGGCTTGTGTGGCACGCTTGGTACAAACAGTTTAATAAGAAGATACTTTATAAAGACAGTCCACTTCGCGTATACAGGCAGGAGCCATCTTTGGAAAACAGTCTCGACCAGTCGAACCATAGTGTGGGGCTATTTTGAGCCTTGTTAGCAGTATTAACTAGTTATTTTTACTTACTCTATGCCCTATATACTGGCGTTATACAGTGTTGTAGTCGAGACCACCTCACTCGAGTCCGAGTCGACACCGAGACCAGAGAGAGTCGAGTCCGAGTCAAGACCGAGTCCATAGAGTCGAGTCGGAGTCGAGTCCGAGACCAGAGACGGTCGAGTCCGAGTCGAGACCGAGACCAGTGAGGGTTGATTACCTAATTTACTTTTATTTACTTAGAGAAATCCTTTTTTTTTTTTTTTTTACTGAATTTACTTAGAGTTTAAAAAATATGATCAGTTTAGGGTAAAAAGGCCACATAGTAGGTGGTGTTAAAAGTAATTTTATTACAATTTGTCATGCGCAGTTGCGCACTAGAAAATCACCAATCACTGGGCGTGTCAATCAATTTAAAGAAATATTTTATTAACATACATTAATAATCATGAAAAATATTTTGAATTGAACTCGAGTGGACTCGGGAATAAGTCCGAGTCCTAAAAAAAAAAATGTTCGAGTACGAGTCAATTCCGAGTCCAAATGCACACGAGTCCATGACAAGACCAAGACCATTAAAATATGGTCTCGAGACCGAGTCCGAGACGAGTCCGAGTCTCGAGTACTACAACACTGGCGTTATAAGCTAATCTGTGGTTCACGCTAAATCTGGGTACATTTGATTTTGATGAAAACACATCCCGGAGAACGGTTGACTCGGTACCAATGTGTTATTAGACCAAAGGTTCATTTTGCGCCGGAATTGTCCTTTAATGCCTGGTTCAGATTACACGATTTTAGCCTGATTTTGGCACGAACCGTTTGACGTAGGGTGTCGTGCGGATTCGTAAATGACAATGGCCGTCGGGACGCAAGATTCGATCGTATCATCTCGTATAGTGTGTCTTAAGCCCCTTTTCCACCAAAGCATTTTGGGATTGGTTCGGAGCCGGTGCCTGCGCGCGAACCAGTTCTTTGTGTTTCGACAGCCAAAGAACCAGTTTCCAAACCAGTTTCCAAACCAGCGACACCAACTCTTTGCTGGACTAGAACCGTTCTTTAGATGGGTTTAGATGTGTTCTAAACATCTTTTCTGACCATGATAAAGGATCGCAAATCCAGGAGAAAAATTTGCAGAAACACGATGGAGTCCGCCTTTGTAATTGTTATGCTTGAAGTTAACGCAAGCGTTTCTATTTTTGTAATTTTTTTATTGAAGACATTATAAGCAAAGAAGAAAAGTCACAATAAAGAACAAATAAATGGAAAGAAAAAAAGACACAATTACAGGGGTACAAAACTTATCAGAAAAAAATACATATCAAACGAAAAGATTAAAAGACTTACATATTTCAATTGTTTTTAAAGCTTTCTTGGTATACGAGTTAGAGATAATCCGAAAGTAATGTTGTATTTGCAAGCGTTTCTAGCTAAGACGTATGGCGATGTACACAGTGACGTAACGACGTCGTTCCCTGGGCGCTCTAGTCAGTGGAAAAACAAACAGGTTCTGAACGAGTTCGCAAGTTGAACCAACTCCGAACCAACTTTGAACCAGCACCAGTTCCGAACCAGTTCGTTTTTTGGTGGAAAAGGGGTATTAGTGGGCGACAACCTACATCGCGTCTGCGATGCTTCACGACAAAAAGAATAGCATGTTTAATTTTTTTAACGGTCGTCCACGACGGTTCCGTCACATGTGTGAGGTTGACCAATAGGAGCACAGAAGCTTTTCCGTACACAACTTTCAAAAATGGCGAAACTAAAGAGAGACGATGGTGTTAACCCATTCAGCAAACTGACATTGAATCAACGTGGAAACGACGTCTCTCATGACATTGAAACAACGTTGATTTTGCTCATCGAATTAACGTTGAACCAACGTCAGACGCGGCATTCTTCAAAGCTAAATGAAAATCAAAAATTGGTTTGCTTTCATAACGTTGAAACAACGCGTTGATTTCAAGTTGATTTTCCGTTAGTTTTGAAAGAATGACGCGTCTGACGTTGGTTCAACGTTAATTCGATGAGCAAAACAATGTCATATCAACGCTGTTTCGATGTCATATTTCCACGTTGATTCAATGTCAGTTTGCTATCTGGGAACGTTAAAACTAAAAGTAAAAATATATAAGAAAACAATATTTTACCTCAAGTTCTCTTTAGAGGATTAACAGCCCATGCCGTCCTCTTCAAACAATCCAGGAACGTGTCCATTGTTGGGATTTTTCTGAACACAGGACAGCTAATACAACACTCACCGCTTCATCCATTGTTTGTTTACGTTTTCTCCATATAATGGACTTCAGTGGGCACTGGGAACCAAACAGTTCAAGGTCCAAAAGACAGTTTCAGTGCAAACTGAAACGATCGCTCATTTAAAAAATAAATAATAAAGTTTAAGTTTTATAAGCTCAAATGCTCACTTTGCTCTGTTCTGTGACGCACGTTTGTGACTTTCCTGTTCGAATTCGTTCATCAAAATGAACAATTCTTTTTCCCGAGTCATTTGGTTCATTCAACGAACGAAACGAACATAGTGACTCAGAAAAAGATTTGTTCATTTTGATGAACGAGTCTGTGTGCAAGTTTTGGATGTGTGCGCGTGGCTTTCTTGCACTTGAATGGTTTAAACTCGTATTCAAATGCACACAAAAGAATTAATACGAGGAATCGATATTTTATAACAAGTATCCAATTCCAGAATTGGAATCGATTTTCAAATCCCAACCCTAGTCAGGATGCCGCCTGTGTACATGTTACTCTACTGTTTAGAGCCTATTAACACCACAGAATAACAAACAAACAGTGTGATTGAAGATAATGTCTGCACTAATGTTTTTCCTTTAATTTTCAGTGATGGATCCTGGATAGAGTTGAGTATTTATCACCTCGTTCTCACGTCTCTCTGCAGGTCTTAAAAGGCTTTCCTGAGTGTTTGCAGGCAGATATTTGTCTCCATCTGAACCAAAGTCTCCTTCAGGGATGCAAGGCATTCGAGGGTGCGACTCAAGGGTGTCTGCGTGCTCTCGCCATGCGCTTCAAAACCACGCACGCTCCTCCTGGAGACACACTCGTGCACTGTGGAGACGTTCTCACCGCTCTCTACTTTCTGTCTCGAGGATCCATTGAGATCCTCAAGGACGACATAGTGGTGGCCATTCTGGGTAAGAGCTCACAAGCTTGTTATAAAGGAAGCAGATTAGTAAAAAAAAAATCATTCACTTTGGTATAGAAGCTTGAAATTTGGTACAGATGCGCTCTAAGGGCCACTATTTTGGAAAAAGGCATTGGCCATTGAAAAATTCAATATGGCGGCCAATTTTCAAGATGGTCGCCATTGCTGTTAAATGCTCAGTATATCAATTATTCAAACAGTGACATAATATTAGATACAAAAGAACTCTCTAAAGAACATGTTGTTGGAATAAGATGCTGTCCCTCAAAAATTCAAGATGGTCGCCAAGATGGCCACAGTTCCTTTTGAATATGAATTGTTTAAATTGTTCAAATGGGGATGCAAGCATAAAATTAGGCAGACATACTCTTCAAGGAACACTCTTTTGGAAAAACTAAGGTATGGGCCACTCAAAAATCAAAATGGTCACCATCTTGAATTTTTGAGTGGCACACACCTTTGTCCATGATAATGTTCATTGAAGAATATTTGTACCAAATTTCATGATAGCATCACCATTTGAAAAAAAGGTAACACTTTACAATAAGGTTCATTAGGAAACATTAGTAAATGCATTAACTGACATGAACTAACGATGAGCAATGCATTAGTTACAGTGTTTATTAATCTTTGTTAATGTTAGTTAATACAAATACAGCTGTTCATTGTGCGTTCGTGTTAGTTCAGTCCATTAACTAATGTTAACTAATACAACCTTTGATTTTAATAACGTATTAGTAAATGTTGGAATTAATATTAACTAAGATTAATAAATGCTGAAGAAGTATTGTTCACATGTTGTACATGTTAACTAATGTAGTTAACTAATGAACCTTATTGTAAAGTGTTACAGAAAAAAAAAATATTTAAGGATTCACGAAAAATGGCGGCCATCTTGAAAAAAATAGTTACCATCTTAAGCTTTTTAAGGGGACAAGCACCGTTTTTTGAGAGAAGAGAGTATTTTTACACAGTAGTTTGAACGGTTGACATAATCAGCATTTGACAGAAATAGCGGCCATCTTGAAAAAATGTCCACCATGTTGAATTTTTGGGTGGCCAACGCCTTTTTGACAAAAAGTGACCAAATTTTATGCTTCTATACCAATTTGAACGATTCTCTTGAAATATGGCATTAATCTGCTGCACTACTAATGGAAAATTACATCAAATGAAAAACATGAATATAAAATTAATAAATAAAAATATTACTATAAAATTACACAAATATGTGAGATATGAGATATTTCATTATACATATAATTCATTACATTTTATATAGCACCTTTCTCTGCACTCAAAGCCACCACCAATGTGCAACACCACCTAGATGATGCGACGGCAGCCATATTGCGCCAGAACACCAACACACACCAGCTTACTGGTGGAGAGGAGACGGTGATGAAGCCAATCAGCATATGGGGATTATTAGGAGGACATGATGTACAGGGGCCAATGGGAAAATTTGGCCAGGATGGGATTTTTAATGACCACAGAGAGTCCTCGGTTTAACGTCTCGTCCGAAGGACGGTGCTCTTTACAGTATAATATCCCCATCACTACACTGGGGCGTTAGGACCCACACAGACCACAGGGTGAGCGCCCCCTACTGGCCTCACTAACACCTCTTTCAGCAATAAAACCTTCCAGCAGCAACCTTTAGTTTCCCAGGAGTCTCCCACCCAGGCACTGACCAGACTCAGGGGATTATACACACACACACACACACACACACACTTTTATTTGATCAAAAATACAGTAATATTGTGAAATATTATTACAATTTAAAATAACTATTTTCTATTTGAATATATTTTCATTTGTAATTTATTCCTGTGATTCAAAGCTGTATTTTCAGCATCATTACTCCAGTCTTCAGCGTCACATGATCCTTCAGAAATCACTCTAATATGATGATTTGCTGCTCAAGAAACATTTCGGATTATCAACGTTGAAAACAGTTTCATATTTTTGTGCAAACCATGATACATTGTTGTTTTCAAGTCGAATAGAAAGGTAAAAAGAACAGCATTTATTTGAAATAGAAATATTTTAGAAGATTATAAATGCTTTATTGTCATTATTGATTAATTTAATGCATCATTGCTGAATACAATTATTTTTTTAAATAATTGTAATATTCATATTAAATTTAATATTAATAACTGATAAATAATCTTACTAACGCCCAAACTTTTCAAATATTAGTTTATATAAAAAAAAAAAAGACTATTATTCAGTCGCCTTTAGAAGGACATTTTTAGATTAGACCTCTTGGAAGCTCTAGATATTTAATTAAGGAATCACTTTTTCCACTTATAAATGACTATTTTAATCAAGGGTTGACTATTTTTAAAATCTTGCATAAGAAATATGTCATTGTCTCATTATTTCTCTGTGGTCTTGTGATGGATGTTTTCGAGAAAGCCGATAATGCAGTTGTGTGTATTTGTTTCTGCCGAGGCATGTTGTTTACCACTGCGCCGGTTAGCAACGAGAACGAGCGAGCGAGTAAGAGAGAGAGAGAGAGGGCACACGTTGTCTCTCCCACCGGGTAGTTGTGCCATTGTCCCTACAAGCTTAAACACAGCAGCAGAGAGCCCAGGAGCCCATAGTGCCGTCTACAAATCAAAAGGCACAGTTATTGTTCTCTCAGAAAATGTCAAACACATGAGCATATTCTGGAAACAAGCCTGTCTTTCCTTTTCAGGTTTTATGCATTGTGTCCCATTCTGTGTCTAGAACCGTGTCTGATAAGAAGAGGCTTCTGACATTTCTATTAAGTGGCTCCTGCTGGATGTGTTTGGCATCTTCAAAGAGAGAGAGAGAGAGAGAGAGAGAGAGAGAGAGAGACACTGGGCTTTTTATAGCTAACATGAGAACATGTGAGGGAACGAACTAAAGAAGGAAACTGTAGATGTTGTCTGGTATACTACATTAGTAGTGGTTGACAAATGAGTTTTTTAATGGCAGATGCTAATACTTATAACTAAAGATGATGGCTGATATACAATTAGATGGACAAATATATGGTATACTTTACCATTCAAAGGTTTTTATACAAGAAATGTATTATTTTATTCAGCAATAATGTCAACAACATATTTGGAGTTTATCTTTAAAATCTCTAACGTAACGTTGCGTTGTACATCATGTCACTTGGCTTCATTAAAAGAGTAGTTCACTGATAATTTACTCACCCCCATGTCATCCAAGATGTCCATGTCTTTCTTTGTTCAGTCGAAAAGAAATTAAGGTTTTTGATGAAAACATTCCAGGATTTTTCTCCAAATAATGGACTTCAATGGGGACCAAAGGGTTCAAGGTCCAAAAGACAGTTTCAGTGCAAACTGTTCAAAGGGCTTTAAACGATTCCAGACGATGAATAAGGGTCTTATCAAGTGAAACGATCACTAATTTAAAAAAAAAAAAACAAAGTTTAAGTTTTATAAGCACAAATGCTCACCTTGCTCTGTTCTGTGATGCGCGTTCGTGACTCTCCTGTTCGAACTCGTTCATCAAAATGAACGAATCTTTTTCCGATTCGTTCAATTCGTTCATTTCATTCGTTGAATGAACCAAATGACACGAAAAAATATTTGTTCATTTTGATGAACGAGTTTGAACAGGAGAGTCACAAACGCGTATCACAGAACAGTGCAAGGCGACCATTTGTGCTTATAAAACTTAAACTTTGTTATTTTTTTTTTAAATGAGCGATCGTTTCGCTTGATAAGACCCTTATTCATCGTCTGGAATCGTCAAAGCCCTTTGAACAGTTTGCAGTTTGCACTGAAACTGTCTTTTGGACCTTGAACAGTTTGGTCCCCATTGAAGTCCATTATATGGAGAAAATCCTGTAATGTTTTCATCAAAAACTTTAATTTCTTTTCGACTGAAGAAAGAAAGACATGGACATCTTGAATGACATGGGGGAGAGGAAAATTATCAGCAAAAGTTTTTTTTTAAAGTGAACTACTCCTTTAACTTCAACACTGTTCTAAAAGCTCAGTGTTTTCATCAGATGAATATTCGGTGGCATAATAGAGTAAAAACAAAGAACGGTGCAGACGGCCATGTTGAAAAGTTCTCAAACCTCACAAAGTGACTCTGAACTCGCGTTGAACCCCGAGCCTTCATTTAATAATGTTCTTTGGATCCATTAAAAAGAGAAAGTGCTTCTCATCCCTCCTGTGCTCCACTGGACGGCCCACAATGCTTCACTTCTACTGCTTCTTCATGGGGAGATTTAGAAAGGTGTCAGATCCCGTATGAACAGCTGTGTCAGGCATTTTAGCCAATTGAGTTTAATGTCACCTGCAGCTCAGTCACGTCTCTCTCATTTAAAGCAGAATCACTCGGCGGGCCTGACATTTACCCCGGACGCACCCCAGCTGAGAGCACACTGATTTAAGAGATAAACTGCAAGTTGAATGGACTTCGGTGCTGGACGTTTGTGCTATTTTATAAAACATAAGAGACAATGGTAAGGAAAGATGTATAATTAAAATAAAATATATTTGCACTTCCTGAACAGCAGTGCTTGTAAAGGTAAAGGTTGAGATATATTACTGTTCAAAAGGTGTTGTTTTTTAAAAAGATTTTTTTTTTTATTCAACAAGGTGTATTAAAATTGATTTAAAGTGACAGTACAGTCATTTGTAATGTTACAAAAGATTTTTAACTTACTATTCATCAAAGAATCTTGAGTAAAAAGTACCACCGTTTCCACAAAAATATTAAGCAGAACGACTTTTTTGAACATGGATAATAATCATAAATATTTCTTGAGCATCAAATCAGCATATTAGAATGATTTCTGAAGGATCATGTGACGCTGAAGACTGGAGTAATGATGCTAAAAAATTAGCTTTGCATCCCAGGAATAAATTACTAGGGCTGTGTATTGACAAAAATTTCACAATTCGATTCGATTTTGATTCGATTCGACTCAATATTGATTCTTTTGGATATCTGTTACAATAAATGGCAAATTTTCACAAGGAAATCAAATCTCTTAACTAATGCTGTAAACTATGGGAGTCTAGTTGTAGCCTGTAGACTTCATTAGTCTAATATGAAGGTAATAATAAACTGTTTTGTAGCTATACAAACACTTAAATTACACTTTTATTTATTTTCATAATAAGAAGATGATATGAAATATAAACATTTAAATGGTGGCTGCCATATAAACTTGCCAGATTTATTAAAATATGCATTAAATATTGAAGAACGTTAAGATTATGATGCATATGTATTATGGTGTATATATTTAGCGAAATGCTCCTCTCTAAAGTTATTTTTTCTAGCTGACTAACGAATTTATGTGGGTTTTAAATATGACGATACATGACATTGATTACAAGCTGTTTAACTGACGTCTTTCCACGGTTGAAACGCTGATTGAGCAAATCAATGTGACATGATGATACGGATTTCGATAAGTTGTACTCTATCGTTTAACCACAGCGCCAACGCGTTATTTATGTTTTTGAATTTCTAAAGAAAATGGACGTAATTTGAAAATTGAGACTTTGTTTCATATCAATAGTAACAAAGGACAAAGATTATTGTGATTTTTTGGATGCGTGCAGTCGCGATACAACGATCCATTCATTCAAATGAAACAGGATGACTAATCGATTCTTGAGATTTAAGAATCGATATCGGTTCGTAAAAATGAGAATCGATTAATATCGAGAAATCGATATTTATTACCCAGTCCTATAAATTACATTTGAAAATATATTCAAATAGAAAACTGTTCATTTAAATTGTAATAATATTTCACAATATTACTGTTTTTACTGTAATTTTTGATCAAATAAATGCAGCATTGGTGAGCATAAGAGACTTTTGAAAGTTAGTGTAAGTTCAGGTTTTTCATCGTCTCTTTTGTTATATAAAATTCTTTGTTTCTGCTATAATAAAATGCTGCATCACAGCTGTCATATCACTCAGCACACGTGTTGTTTTCAACCGCACACCAGAATCAATAGTGTAAAGATGGCTATCAATGATTAAATATATGCAAGGAAGGCAAGACTAATTACAATTCAGAATGCAAACAGAAGAAAGAAAGAAAGAAAGAAAGAAAGAAAGAAAATGAGGGGTTTAAAGAGACTGCAGTGTCTATCATCAAACATTTCAGACACTGTGAGAAAAGAACAGAATCTGCAATGGATAATATGTGACGATTCAAGTGTTTTTTGAGCTTGGATGCATGTAGACCTCAAAAGCATAAAAGTAGCACTTTAAACCACTTTAATTCAAAAGAGCAATTCAAATCCTGTTTTCTGAGATCTTTAAAGAAAGGCAAAAGAACAAACTGTTATTATTCAATGAGAGGTCGAAGGGAAAAGAACAGCATATACAGTGCTTGACATCATCGGATTCATAATCTCCACAGATAATCCGCATGCACGGACTCTGACCTCGCTTGTCCAGACACACTGACTGTAGAAACACACACACAACATCTGAAAGCCCATGCAGATGCATATAGACAGATCCCTGAGGTCGCGGTGTGATACGGCTTCTGACACAGTAGTAGACTTGTAGTTAAGACCGCCTAAACCGAGACCAAGACATTACCAAGAGCAGAGGGTATCAAGAAGACCAAGACAAGAGCAAGACCAAGACAAGAGCAAGACCTAGACCAAGACCAAGACAGACCAAGACAAGACAGAATAAGACAAGACTAGAACAAGACAAGACCAAGACCTAGAAAAGACCAAGACCTAGACAAGACCAAGAGCAAGACAAAATCAAGACCAAGACCTAGACAAGACCAAGACAAGACATATAAAAGATCAAGATCAAGACCAAGACCTAGACAAGACCAAGATCAAGAGCAAGACAAGACCAAGACAGACCAAGGCCAAGACAAGAGCAAGACAAGAGCAAGAGCAACACCAAGACAAGAGCAAGACAAAGACAAGACAGAACAAGACAAGACCAGACCAAGACCACAACCTAGAAAAGACCAAGACAAGACCTAGACAAGACCAAGATCAAGACGAAGACAAGAGCAAGACGATACCAAGACTAAGGCCAAGACCTAGAAAAGATCAAGAAAAGATCAAGATCAAGACAAGATCAAGACCAAGACCTAGACAAGACCAAGACAAGACCTAGAAAAGACCAAGATCAAGACCTAGACAAGACCAAGATCAAGACAAGATCAAGAGCAAGACAAGACCAAGACAAGACCTAGATCAAGACCAAGAAAAGACTAAGATCAAGACAAGATCAAGAGCAAGACAATACCAAGACCTAGAAAAGACCAAGGCGGCAGTGGCTCAGTGGTTCATGTAGGTTGTCTACAAACCGAAGGGTTGGTGGTTCAATCCCCGGTTCCACCTGACCAAGTGTCGAGGTGTCAATGAGCAAGACACCTAACCCCAGCTGCTCCCGACGAGCTGGATGGCGCCTTGTATGGCTGCCGTTTTGGGCAAATTGTAAAGCGCTTTGGTGGCCAGTGGGTCTATGAAAGCGCTATATAAATGCAGTCCATTACAAAATACCTAGAAAAGACCAAGATCAAGACAAGATCAAGACCAAGACAAGACCTAGAAAAGACCAAGACCTAGACAAGACCAAAACCAAGATCAAGACAAGATCAAGAGCAAGACAATACCAATACAAGACCTAGAAAAGACCAGGACCAAGACCAAGAGCAAGACCTAGAAAAGACCAAGACCAAGACAAGATCGAAACCAAGAGCAAGACCTAGTCCAAGACAAGACCTAGTCCAAGACAAGACCTAGTCCAAGACAAGACCAAGACCAAGAAAAGACCAAGACCAAGATATCTTGCCTGCCTATCTCTGCCGATTTCGAAGTCTCCAAATAAATCCATTATGCAACTTTTAAATACAGAATTATATTTAAAAAAAACGAAATTATAAGCTTAAGTGCAGGATCCAAATGTTGGTCGTTTTGTCGCTATGGTTACACACACACACACACACACCGTTGGCGCTACGCTCAAAGTCATCTGTCAGTTGTGCAGTTACCCAAAATCTCCTAAATTAAGTTAAAACCCATCAAGTCACCGATATGTGTTTTACTAAATATTAATACATCAGAAACTGTACATGATGTGTGTTTTTTAAATCTATTGATCAAAATGCTCGCTGAGATCAGTGGTCTCGTGTGGCTCACGCACACCGCACTGTCTTCACTCGGACGCATGGATATTGTAGTATTGTATTGCTAAATCCCCTGACCACTATGTCGGTCTGAGACACCGAGACCTAGACAAGACCGAGAGGTCCGAGACCAAAGATCGTCAAGACCGACACATACATCACAACACAGTAGTGCAAATAAAAATAACGTCTAAACATATCAGGCATCTGTGTTCTAGACTAACGACAAACCTAACCTAAATTTGTCCTTCGTTCTCCAGGTAAGAATGATATATTCGGAGAGATGATCCACCTGTACGCGAAGCCGGGGAAGTCGAACGCTGACGTCCGAGCGCTCAGCTACTGCGACCTGCACACCATCCAGAGAGAAGAGCTGCTGGAGGTTTTAGACATGTATCCAGAGTTCGCTGACTACTTCCTCACCAATCTGGAGCTGACCTTTAACCTGCGGGATGAGAATTCAAAGGTACTACCCATCAAAAGCAAGAACTAATACACAAAACATATGAAATGAAAGCATTTCTCGGTCACCCCAGAGATCATTATTGCGTGTTGTTTGTTGGGCTCTTCCCTTCAGAGCATTTTATCACAAGCCAGTGATTCAGACGGAGAGGACACGAAGAGTCGAAGGAAGATCTCCTTTAAACGTAAAGCATCACATGGTGAATATGATTGACTGACTCCATTACACCACGCCACTGTTGCAGGAACTTAAGGACAAAATGGTTAAAAATGTCAGGGTTTGGTTTGTATCAGTTTCAGGGGTGCGTTTTTTTGGTTAACTACCAGAGTATGAGGCGTCTTTGAAGAAATCAACAAGCTAGTCATGACTGAGATCAAAAATGAATGCCATATTTTTGGCTATAAATTCTGGACATGGCATCAGAGGACTAATTACATTTTTTTCCTCAGTTATTTTGCTTTATTTCAAGATTCAAATCATAGTCTCGTTCTTACGTACGAGAGCATATACAGACATGCACACTCTTCAAAATTAAAGATACACTCTTAGAAGAAAAGGTTCTATATAGAACCTTAAAAGGTTCTATCAGCGCTACGTATTTGGAACCCCTAAAAGGTTCTATACACTCTTAAAAAAAGGGTTCCTCTGGGTTCTATATAGAACCCTGGGGTTCCATACTTGGCCAATAGAACCTTTTACCAAAAAAATGGTTCTTTATAGAACCATTTTGGTGTTCCATATATGATGCGGGGGATGGAACCATTTCTGGTTCTAAATAGAACCATTTCTTCTGAGAGTGTATATATATATATATGAAGAGTTCAGATGCAAAAGCCTCTAAGTGCCATTTGAAATTTTCTTCTAGAATGATCATTTTTATCAAGCTTGTATATTTAAGTTCAGTGATTTCACTTAAATGGCAATGATAATTACCTATTAATTGTTATTTAAGTGAAATTACTGAACTTAAATATACAAGTTTGACAAAAATCATCATTAAAGAAGAAAATTTCAAATGGCATTTAGAGGCTTTTGCATCTGAACTCTTCATATACACTACCGGTCAAAAGTTTTAGATCGGTAAGATTTTATGTTTTTAAAATAAGTCTCTTCTGCTCACCAAGGCTGCAATTATTTGATAAAAAAACAAAAAACAGTAATATTGTGAAATATTATTACAATTTAAAACAGCAGTTTTCTATGTGAATATATAGTGAATATAATTTATTCCTGTGATCAAAGCTGAATTTACAGCATCTTTACTCCAGTCTTCAGTGTCGCATGATACTACAGAAATTATTATAATATGATGCTCAAGAAACATTTATGATTATTATCCATGTTGAAAACAGTTTTTTATATTTTTATTTCAGGATTCTTGATGAATAGAAAGTTCAAAAGAACAGAATTGATCTGAAATGGAAATTAACCTTTTGTAACATTAATCACTACCATTCAAAAGTTTGGGGTCAGAAAGAATTTATTTTGTATTTTTGGGGGAAAGAAATTAGAAAATACTTTTATTCATCAAGGATGAGTTAAATTGATCATTTATAATGTTAGAAAAAATAATATTTTAAATAAATGCTGTTCTTTTGAACTTTCTATTCATCATAGAATTTTGGGGGGGGGGGGAAATGGTACACGACTGCTTTCAACATTGAAAATAATAATTGATGTTTTTTGAGCATAAAATCAGCATATTAGAATGATTTCTGAAAGATCATGTGACACTGAAAACTGATGTGTAATCAGCAACAGTAATGATGTTGAAAACTCAGCTTTCAAATTACATTTTAAAATATATTAAATTAGAAAACAGTCATTTTAAATTGTCATAATATTTCACAATATTACTGTTTTTTTTTTTCATCAAATAAAGCAGCCTTGGTGAGCAGAAGAGACTTCATTTAAAAACATAAAAAATCTTACTGATCTAAAACTTTTGACCGGTAGTGAATATTAAATCATTTACTAGATTAACGATCCATCAATCAACAAATTAAACTCACTCATACTGTCATAAATTATTAAAGAGTCATTCAAATTTGTCAAATAATCAATTTTCTTGTCCCTAATAGTCAACATAATGCAGGGGAAATTGTTAAATGAACTGGAGCAGTGCTAAACATGCATCATAAAATTACAACACTCGGACTATAACGTTAAATGTATGAATTAAACTCACTGAGACTGTCGACAGTTTATTATCCATGTATGTGGTTACAGTCAAATCATATAAAACAGTGAAATCATCCTCGAACTCTTCTGTCTTGCCTGCACTCGAGACGGTGACGCGTGAACTCCACTGAAAGTCTTCTTTCCTATTGGTTGTCGCTCGCGAAAATCGCTTCTCATTTGCCTAAAGTTGAAATTTCTCAACTTTTTGAGAACTTTTTCTGTCTTTTTCTAAAATTTCTAAAAATTTTTCTGTCTCTTGCCGCTTGACACGCCCACATTCTGTCGCCAACGGTCACTGTCGCTCGTGTCGCCGGAAGTCGCCAGCGCTCCATTGAAATGAATGGGATCTTGTCTGAACGGGGCTTTACTGATGGAGTGTGTAACTTTTCATTTCGTAAACAACCATATATGAAGACACATCATCATGGCCATATTCCAGGATGACAATGTCAAGATTAATCCGGCTCAGATTGGTTGTGAGGAGCGTGAAGAATCATATTCACACATGAATCGGCTCCTCTGAGTTCAGATTGAAAGTCTTTGGGATGTGCTGGAGGAGACTTTACAGAGTGCTCGACTCTTGCATTGATAATACAAGATCTTGACCAAAAATTGATGCTCTTCTTGATGGAAATAACATCACCACATTTATTTCCATTAAGAAGAGCATTCAGTTTTGGTCAAGATCTTGATCAAGTCTCCTCCAGCACGTTAAGTTGTATGACTTGTTTAAGAGGCATCATTATAGTGTTACTATTGCAGGATAAACTGCTGTTTTACAGCTGTAATCATGATGAACATCTACGTCTCTGGAGAGCTCCTAAAACGCCGTTGGGACATTTTAAAACACTTAATGCACAACTTCAACGACCAGGGAGAATCACATTTATGGTCATAAAAATGATCTACTCCGTGGTCCAAGGAGAAAGTCAATATTTTTTAATGTGAAGCGTTTTTGACCTCATTGACTCCTATTACAAGGAAACAGCTCAACTCTGCTTAATGTACTGAGACAGCGACTGTACAAACTCTCTATAGATCAGCCCATGGTCTTACTTCTTCTGTACTATAATAAACATGAGCAGTGAAAAGAACTGTAATGTCACCCTTATGCTTGTAAACAGTGTTTATGATTCATGATCAAGGATTGAGAGAAATTACGTTACTGCTTTGGTACGTTGAAACTATTTCTTTATAACAGGCTTATATGGGAAGAAAATGGTCATAATAAGGTTTCATTTGTTAATTACACTATTAAACATAATTAAACAATACTTTAATTAATTTTAATATTTACTAATAAATTTTTTAAATCAAAATTGGTATGTGTTGACATACTTTATTAACTTACATTAAAAAAGATGAAATTCGGTACTAAAATACATTTCTCAATGTTAGTTCATGTTAGCTAATGCATTAATATACAAATGGGATGTGAAATGATTAATCGCATCCAAAATAAAAGTTTGTGTTCACATAATATATGTGTGTGTAGTGTGTATAATTATTTTGTATATATAAATACACACACATGCATGTATATACAGTATTTAAGAAATATTTACATGTATATATATTTATACAAAATTTATATTATAAATAAATATAAATATTTGATATATTAATAAAACATTTTTCTTAAATATATGCATGCATATGACTGTATTTATATATACAAAAAAATTAAATGGGATTATTCAAAAACACAAACTTTTATTTTGGACGCGATTAATCGTTTCACAGCCCTAAATTGGATCTTTATTGTAAAGTGTTACCAAATGCATTGTTTGTCAAATTATATTTATGGTTTGGTTCAAATCTTACATTTGATTTAATATTAAACATTCATACCAAGTAAAAAGATTATCTATTATAAAGACTATACTTTTATTGAATTTAAATTAGCTATAATTGTCTAAAAGTGTATTTTTTTCAGTGTACTCCATCCATCTGATTCATAGTCAGATCTCTTTCTTGCTAAAATCATGTTTGGACTATATTGTTTTTCATGGGATCTGATCTTCAACACGTTTTGTACCCCTGAACGATCGTCCCGTAGGAGGAAGCCTCAAAGAACCGGACAGCAGCGAGTGCCGGACAGAGCGGCGAGAGTCTCGTCTCAGCTCTAAGAGAAGCTCTGAGGACCGTCGCACCTCCAGAGACGAGCAGCAAAGGCTTCTGGGAGCGACAATAATCGAGTATCCATCCGTACAGAGCTACACCTCCATGCCGGGCTTCAGTCCTCCCGTAGAGGACGCTGAAAAAAAGACATATGATGGTGAGGATTTATCTTAAAGGGATAGTTCACCCAAAAATTTGAATTATTCACCTACAAGACATCCTAGGTGTGTATAACATTCTTCTTCCAGGCGAATACAATCGGAGTTATATTAAAAAAAAAATGTCCTGGCTCTTCCAAGAAAATAAAAGTGCATCTATCCATGATACAAGTGCTCCACACGGATCTGCGGGGGTTAATGAAGCGATGTGTTCATGTAAGAAAAATATCCATACTTAAAACTTTTATCGAATAAAATAACTAGCTTCCGGCAGACGACCTACGCCACAAGAGTAACCAGTGACGCATGTACAGTGTTGGGTAAGTTACTAGTTACTAATTACCTCTTCAACAGTGTAATTAGATTACTGTACTCTCTAAAAAGTATTTAATTACTTTTAATTACTAATTACTTTCAAAATCCCATATCAATCTCAACCAGCTGAATAATACAAGGATAGACATGAATCTCTTTTAATTCTTTGAAATAAATACTAAAAAAATTGCATGAATTATCCTTAAACAGACCACGGTGGAGAAAGTTACATTATAAAAACATACTTTTTAACATCAGACACTTTTCACACTTTTTTCATACATATTTGACAATAATTCATATGAATTTGTACGAGTGTGGTCGTACGATTTAGACACCTCATAAAATGCATACGAATCACTGTGAGATCGGATTTTCTCTATACACAGTATTTACCTCAATTGCATCAGAAGTAACTGAAGAGTAATCCCTTACTTTACATTTTCAAGGGAAAAGTAATTAAATTACAGTAACTAATTACTTAGTAATTAGTTACACCCAACACTGCGCATGTATGACGTAGATGTTCGAGTAGCTTAAGTTTAGACGCCTCTCGCGGCTCAAACAAACAAGGGCAACAACAAACTCAAACTCCGACATTTTTCTTTAAAAATTGTCGTTTTAGACTTCTAATTCGTGACTGGTGTTTTGTTTTGCTCTATCCTCTGCTCTTTAGCGTTTGTCAATGCGCCATGTGTCGGGTAAAATGATGCGTACGCATACGGCCGTATGCTAGTTATTTTAGTTGATAAAGTTTTAAAGGGGTCATGAACTGGCTTTTTTAATTTATTTATATTGCTATCTAAGGTCAACTTATGACGTTCGCTTGGTTTCTACATTAAAAAAACATCAAAATGTATAAGTAATAGGATATTTTCTACCCTAGTTTAGGCCCAGCTTCAAAAACGCTCAGTTTTTATGGGCGTCTCGCATTGAAGACTTGGAAGTAAACGCCCACTGCTGTGAGTGGAGAACAGTTTAGCATATTATAATGAGTTTCGACTCTCGATCCGGATTGTCATCACGAGGTAGGCCTAAGTTATTTAGCTATGCGTGAAATGCGCGAATCGGTGGGCGGGGCTAAACCGACCATGTTGAAGTAGGCGTCGATCTTCTTCTGCGGGGGTGGTGTTTTATCCTCTTTGACGTCATAGTTCCCCACTTTGAAAAACGAGTCGTTTGCCGAGCCTGGTGTCAATAAAAGCTTTTATTGGACTAACAAGGAAGTTTTCAGTTCTGAAACTTACAGGATATTCTCATAATATGATGACCTCTTAGATGTCAAAAGCTCAAGGAAAATTTGATTTCTCAGTTCATCACCCCTTTAAATATGGATATTTTTCTTGCACAAACACATCGCTTCACTTCAGAAGGCCTTTATTAACCCCTCATGAGTCGTGTGGAGCACTTTTATCATGGATGGATGCACTTTTATGGACTTCAAAACAGAAACTGCCATTATAAAGCACAGACGTCAGCAGCGTCACTGAACGCGGATCCACAACAGAGCCGGAAGACAATACAATGCTGAATTTTTCTTATTTTTGGACCAAAATCTATTTGCGATGCTTCAAAACATTATAACTAACCCACTGATGTCACATGACTACTTTGATGATGTCTTTATTACTTTTCTGGACAAGGACAGCATACCGTACACACATTCAATGGAGGGACAGAAAGCTCTCGGACTAAATCTAAAACATCTTAAAATGTGTTCTGAAGACGAACGGAGGTCTGAATGGCTTGGGGCGACATGAGACGAGTCATTAATTTTCATTTTTGGGTGAACTAACCCTTTAAAACACTGCTTGACAGGGTATAACAGGAAAGCAGAGCTCAGACACTGGGAAAAAAAAGTATTGATCGAATCAGTCTGTTCCTAAATCCAAGCTAAAGCAGCATGATGAGCGAAAGAGAGAGAGAGAGAGAGAGAGAGAAGTAGATGGCACGGTAAAACAGGGTCTTTCAGGAGCTTAAGGCACAGTGCGGCCCGTTTTACAGGCTTTAGGAAAATCCGCTGGGCATCTATTCCCTAACTCTCCTCAATGAGTACACAATGTTCCCTCCTGCGCTACACACAGGCAAGCTAATGCCCACCAAACACTAGAGAGGGGATTGCCATTGGAATATGACCTCCACACACACAAACTCGCTCAAACCCTCTAAACTCAACATGATTATCATGGCATTGAAATATTAAAGCAGCACTATGTAACTTTTTCAACCTTTATAATACTTTTCCACATCGACTACATCAACTTACAATGGGTTGAATGACAGGTCTGCCATAGCCTGACGGTGTCTGTATCACTTTTACTGGCACTCTGTGACTTCGGGGGAGCGGGTAGGGACCCGAGCACAAAAAGAACTACAAAATTCGACTGCTTTAGGGCATATGTCACTTCCCCCACTTCCTCAAATACCGACGCGAGAGCCCAACAAGCGTTTTTTTTTTACCTCTCACTCTTAAAAGAAAAGGTTCTATCAGCGCTACGTATTTGGAACCCCTAAAAGGTTCTATACACTCTTAAAAAAAGGGTTCCTCTGGGTTCTATATAGAACCCTGGGGTTCCATACTTGGCCAATAGAAGCTTTTACCAAAAAAAAGGTTCTATATAGAACCACTTTGGAGTTCCATATATGAAGCGGGGGATGGAACCATTTCTGGTTCTAAATAGAACCATTTCTTCTAAGAGTGCTGTATGTCGTCATGGCTGAAGCAGCAAGTAAAACCAAATGTGTTTAAAAAAGTAAAATTCGATTTTTAAAAAAAAATAGTATTGCCATTAATAATCCATTATGCAAAACCGGTGCTTTTTGTATGTCATTAAAAACATTAATTATTGACAAAAAAATTTTAAAGATATTATTTTGCTTAATCTAATTTTCATCATTTAGTACTGCCCTTCAGAATATAAGACTTTTACATGTTTCCCAGAAGACTTATTTACATATTATTATTTTTTTCTGTTTGTTAAACAAAAAAGATGATATATTACACATTTACAGTGCATAATTTTAATGCCATAGAGGCGAGTAAATGACAACAGAATTTTAATTTTTGCCTCAACTTTATTAAAAATTCAATATATAATTAATTTGTCAGCTTTCATGTGTTGGATAAAGCAAACAGCTCTTGCTGTAGGCATCTTCCTTTCAACTCTATTCACGTAATACACATAATACATGATTACGTACCATACTTCATCTGATGTGAGCGGACATATTAGAGGTCATGCGAGTTTCCCTGATGATGTCTTTTTCCAGTTTAATGTCCAGGGTTATTATAGTTTAAAAAAACAAAAACCATAAAAAATGTCCTTACTTTAAATAAAATAAACAACTGAAAATAAAATATTTTAAAAAATAATCAGGAGTGCATTTTCATTTTCTTCGAAAAATCGAATAAAAATGACAAGAAAACATACAAAAACTAAGTAAAATTAAAACAGAAAACGTAAATGTAACGGATTCAAAATATTAATAAAACCTATAATAGTATCTCAATGATACTAAGTATTAACCCTTTCGACATATTACATATATTCACTCATCTATATGCAAGTGTACTTTTACAAGGTGACGAAATTAACAGATTTATTCACACTTAAAATGTCTCTTCCAGGGAAAAATTGAAAAATATTGATGCCAATATTCGATATTCCCCAACTTCCGGTCGTTTTATGATGCTTTTAACCTTCAAATGGCCTTCTTTTCCTGTTTACACTTCTGGGCTTCGGGGTCTATACGACCCCAACAATTGATTGAGTAATTGTACAAAAAATATACATTTTTAATCATACAAATAATATATCTTTTTTTTTGTTTGTTTGTTTACTTCTCATCTATGCATTAATGCTGTGTTTTTGGAGATATAAAGTACTTTTGCATCCATATACCACACAATTCCTCAACTACACCATTAGCTTGCATATGAAACATTTTTTTATGATACATTGCACTAGGCCTTCATTTCTGTGTAAAAACGTTCAGATTTATGCCGGATTTGTTTTTGTGTTTTTTTGACACATGAAGAAAATATATTTAGTTTTTGTACACATTTTCCATTCATTTCAATGTCGGGTCATATTCACCCAAAGACCAGAAGTGTAAACATTTTTTTTGCAACCGAATCAAGCCCAGTTTTTTGTGCGTGTATAGATAGATAATGTATGAAAACTCCACTGAGATGAAGTAAAAGTCGATTGGGGTCATATAGAGTAGACCCCATGACCCGATTGAGGGCTACAGAGAAAACTCACCCGTGGTTGAACACGTTTGACGTCAGGTGTCTCCGTCCATGCATGAGGGTGAATCTGTCCTGGAGGAAGGTGTCATTTCCCTTTTCCCTACGCTGGACATGAGCGTAGGCAGCCGTTCTGATCAGCGCACAGGGAGCAGGTGTCTGTGAGAGATAACCATTGGCTTTAGTGTTTCTATTAGTCCTGAGTCTCACGATAGGAAAGTCACAGCAATATAACACCAATGCAAGCACTAACACAGAGACAGCGGGTATTTACACACACCTGACACGCAATTTCTCCGTCTTTTCATTAGATTTTGTCACAGGTATTTTCAACTTACAGGTTTGCAGGTGTGTTTGTTTGGAGAATCACGGACAACACAGGAGATTCCAGTTAGCAATCAACGCTAACTGGAAAAAATGAATGCAACCAATATTATAATCATGCATCGTAACAATAGACTAATCAACAGATGGAGAAAATGCATCCTATTGGTTTTGCTGTTGATGTCGAAGGTCATGCGTCCAATCAAAGTCTATTGTGTTTTGATGCAAATTAATTTCTCACTTGTAAGAAGATGCATTTTTACTTCCTTTTGCATCTTCCTAAATTCAGTGGGTATTTTTTAATGTTTTTTCGGGCTAAATGCCTGAAATAAGGTCTGTGCTGAACACAAGCCCAAGATATTTTCAAGTTTTATTCTACTTTCCCACACTTTTTTTATTATCAAATGCGCTGTAAAACCAACACAATAGCCCAGCTTTAAAATGAACAATAATGCAACACTTGGATGTGTGTTTTTTACCCGTTTCAGATCTCCAGACTGACGGGTGGTTACCTGACAGTGTTAAAGCGCACGTGGACACGACTGCACAGGAACAGGCCGGCGCTGAAGATGAAGACCTGGACGGTGACATCACGTATGGAGAAGTGGAGCACAGGCTAGACCGACTGCAGGAACACCTGAGCAGGTGAAATAATGCTTCGTTAAACAGAGCACTCGGGTTTGATGACATCACAACACAAGCTTGGGATTGCTCAATCAATATTAATGCTTTTGATGCAACAGTTGATTTCATACTGGATGGTAATTGATTGACTGAAGGAGAGGAGTTATGTTATTTCATATTTTCCCTTTCATACAGTGTGTAATATAGCTGTCTGTGAATATAAAATGTCTGCAAAGTTAACCCCTTAACGGTCACCCCCCCCCCCCCTTTTGAGAATGGGGGTTAAATGCTCTATTCACACTTAAATGGTTGTAATTCAAGAATGCCTTGGAATATATACCCAAGTTTGGTCTTGTTTTAAAGAATACACTCAGCAGATTATTGCTGAAGTGAAAACACTTCAAAAAATTAAAGTATGAAAAAGTTATAGAAGTTTTAATTCACAGTAAATCAAATATACTGTACTATATATTTTTTATTTTATATAAAATATATATTTTACAAAATATTTTTACTCTAAAATTACTATAAAATCAAGGCCATAAATCTAACCAAGTTATGTTCCAAATTTGAAGTTAATATCACAAAAATTGAAGTTCCCATGAGATTTTGTTTAGGCGTAGTACCAAAAATAGCCACCGGGTGCCATTGAATTAAGTTGTGTACATTCTGCCTTAACAAATTAATACATTTCTGTCCAAATATCAATTTTGTCACAAAATTTGGAACCTTGAGACTCAGACCTTTCTGACAATATGTGTTTTGTCTAGATTAGAAAAGGTTTTGATCATAAATTATGAAATATAATGATGCCCAAAAGGGGAGGAGCCTCATAAAATAAGTACCGTTTAAATGGTAACGCAACATTCAATTATAAAATGGTTTTCGCAGGATGAATTCTGAGTTTATAAGCTTTCAAATGATGCCTAATTTATGATAACTACTAAAATATGTGATATAATAAAAAAAGGTGATAAAAAATATTATTATATTTTAGAGGATAATATATACATATATATTATAATTTTAATGGATAATGTTATACTATACTTTTTATTTTTTATTGAAAAATACTAGATTATATGTTTTATTATGAACCTTTAGCATACAAACAGAAGTTTCAATGATTAAAAGTGGGTGCATCAACTTTTTGTGACAAAGGTCAGACCTCCTGTTATGATGCAGATTTTTTTAGGTGCACTCTTGTCATAAATTCATTAATTACTCTTCCTACATAATTTTTAACACAAAACATGGGTCGAATATTTAATTAGAAGTCTTAGACTTTTCCAAAAATATATAATTTGTCATAATTAGATTAGGATTTAATAGAAATATAGTGAAGTAAAGTTAGGCGTCCCGGTACCGGTATTGACAGTTAAGGGGTTAAAGATCAAAGTGCACAGTTTCCCAAAAGAAAGAATCAATTCTGAACTGCTGAAACGAGTCGTCAGTAATTCCAGACTCACCTGTAAAAAAGGTGCATTATGCCAGTCTATGGTCTTCATTGGCTGCTGGAGAACAACGGTCTGGACTACTCGACCGCCCTCAAACACTGTAGCTGTAGGTGAGACTTGGTTCGTGTTGAGAAGATGCTGATTCCACTTTACATGCATTTCCAAAGGATGACGACTCAAACTGATACGGTGAAACCGACCACATTTGCTACTGTTTGTATATCTGTACATCAAGCTCTGAGGAAGATCTGAAGCTGAAATTTGGATATGGTAATGGGAGTTTCGTTTCTGACACATGCTGTCAGAGGCAGACCAATCACAACAGACTGGGTCATCTGACCAATCAGAGCAGAGTAGCTCTCAGAGAGGGGTTTAAAGAGACTGGACTCTTTAAGAAATAAGGTGATGTCCAATGTATATTATGAGAAAATTAGACAGTTTTTTGACCTTTGATGCCGGTAAACCTATTGTAGTAGACCTGCAAAACAAAATCAGGAACCTTTAAAATAGCATAATAAAAATTAAATAACATGGAGTGATGCATTCATGAGCAATCATAACAGTCATAACATGGAGTATGGGGGAGGAGAGAGAGTGAGCCAATCAGCAGTAGGGGGCGTGTCCACTCATGAGTGAGAAGAGAGAGTGAGCCAATCAGCAGTAGGGGGCGTGTCCACTCATGACGAGTGAGAGGAGAGAGTGAGCCAATCAGCAGTAGTGGGTGTGTCCACTCAATATGGGGGAGGAGAGAGCGAGCCAATCAGCAATAGGGGGCGTGCCCACTCATGATGAGTGAGAGGAGAGAGTGAACCAATCAGCAGTAGGGGGCGTGCCCACTCATGATGAGTGAGAGGAGAGAGTGAACCAATCAGCAGTAGGGGGCGTGTCCACTCATGATGAGTGAGAGGAGAGAGTGAACCAATCAGCAGTAGGGGGCGTGCCCACTCATGATGAGTGAGAGGAGAGAGTGAACCAATCAGCAGTAGGGGGCGTGTCCACTCAATATGGGGGAGGAGAGAGCGAGCCAATCAGCAGTAGTGGGTGTGTCCACTCAATATGGGGGAGGAGAGAGTGAGCCAATCAGCAGTAGGGGGCGTGTCCACTCATGATGAGTGAGGAGAGAGAGTGAGCCAATCAGCAGTAGGGGGCGTGTCCACTCATGATGAGTGAGAGGAGAGAGTGAGCCAATCAGCAGTGGTGGGTGTGTCCACTCAATATGGGGGAGGAGAGAGCGAGCCAATCAGCAATAGGGGGCGTGCCCACTCATGATGAGTGAGAGGAGAGAGTGAGCCAATCAGCAGTAGTGGGTGTGTCCACTCAATATGGGGGAGGAGAGAGCGAGCCAATCAGCAGTAGTGGGTGTGTCCACTCATGATGAGTGAGGAGAGAGAGTGAGCCAATCAGCAGTAGGGGGCGTGTCCACGCTATATGGGGGAGAAGAGAGAGTGAGCCAATCAGCAGTAGGGGGCGTGTCCATTCAATATGGGGGAGGAGAGAGAGTGAGCCAATCAGCAGTAGGGGGCGTGTCCATTCAATATGGGGGAGGGGAGAGAGTGAGCCAATCAGCAGTAGGGGGCTTGTCCATTCAATATGGGGGAGGGGAGAGAGTGTGTTTGTTTGGGTTGATTAACAATGTTTAACAATTTTTCTCAGAAATCGCTTACTGCACCTTTTAGAAACATCTGAACTGCCAAAATACTGCATCTCTGAGAGGCGAGTGAGTCTTCCAGTACATTACACTATGTTTCCAGGGGATCCCAACAAATTACACTAACCACATGCACGCCTGTAATAAGCATCACTAAACAAAACATTGCTTGTGGTCATCATTCACATGCACATGAAAATTAGCTTCAGCTGACAAAACAAGTTTAGATAACAACAGTTAAAACACACACACACACAGAGAGAAACACATACGCACACACACTGACACTGAAGCAGCAGGGTGCAGAATCTCAGCAGGTGGTATTTTTAGCTGTAATACTGGCTTAGAGAGGAAGACACACCAGGCAGCAAAAACCCTGCATCAGCTCAGCTTCATATCACACATCTTACAGCACAGAATCTGACGAGGCCTGACAATTGCAAGTACAGGACATATTTCACCACAAAATATAACATCACATTTATATTAAAGACAATGAAGCCTGTTTTCGGGAAGTACTAAATTTTCTTGCATTGTGACGACATATTCAGTCACATTTTCCTTTTTACATTAGGTCATGAGGTTTTACATTAAAGAAATAACAATATTATATACGTACATAATATTATATAAATATAATATACATGTAAAATATGTATGTATACATACTAGATATTAATATCATATTACAATGCATTTTACTAAAAATTAAATATTCTTTTTTATATATTTATTTTACTTTTATACTTTTACCTTTTTTTACATTTTGCTTCAATTTGTGCCATTATATATATATATATATATATATATAGTAATACAATAAAATATGGCAAACATTTTGAAAAAAGTAAAGCATCAGTACAGTAATGGCAATTTAGTGGTTAAATTGTGCCTAATAACCATGAAAATGTGAACATTATGAAAAATAAGTTTTAAATTTTCTTTAAGTTTTTTTTTTTTTTTTTTTGGGATGTAGTGAAATTACCTTGACTTGTTCTTGCCAGTTTTTACAACAGATTGAATGTAAAGATTTCAGGGAAAATCTAGGTAGTCCATATGCTCACATACAAATACACATATGCTTATACAATGCATTTAAAACCCACTGTATACATCACCTCTTTGAACTAACTATATAATAGATATACAACTAGTTTTCTCAAGGTTTTTTCTTTTTGGATATGTAAGGCCCGTATCTTGCAAATGTAACCCACGCTGTATGTTTCTGCACACAAGATTGATTAGCTTAGCTTCAGATTAGCTTCAGTTCCATAGAGAAAATCAACTCTCTCACATCTTTGAGTCTCTCAGTTCTGCACAGAAAGTGTTTTTGGTCTGCGCATGAGCGGCATCAGAAGTGTGTGACTCCAAGAAAGCATGGATCATCTTATTCCTTTGTTTTCTGAGAGCTCCAGTTAATGGCTCTCTGTTTTAATGACTAGGTGTGCCTTACACACGGATTAAACCTGCACCGGCTCATTGAACACTCATATCACATATTATTAATGATAGCCCTGTCCTCACTGTACCTCCGCACATGTCCATTAACTGGATGAAAAATGAACACGCCTCCTTTCTTCCAGGAATGTTAATAATGAACGCGGAAATGTTCGTGAATGCTTATCGAGTATTTATGTGTGAAGGAGCAGAAATTGTATTAGGGTCATCTCTCTCTTCTAGGCCCTACAAACTAGGTCATAAATAACTTTCTCATCAAAGTTTAGCAGGTAAAGTGATAAAGTGGGAATAAGCATTCAGACGCATGCCACACGTACAGGATCAGTGCAAGAACTCCCCCTGCTGGACAACAACAGTCAACACCAATCAACTACACACATTTAGTCACAAAACGTTTGCTTTGATCCTGTAAGGTCTTCATTTAGCTTTTACGGGTCAATTAAACACACTTTACTGCAATTATGTTCTATACAGATGCTTCAAAACATTTTTAAAAAGCACTACTATAAATCAATGTTTTTTTATTACAGCATTTTCTCCTCTAAATCTAGGTTTGTAGAGTTATTTTCAAAATTAATTTTTATGTAAAAGTATGAAGAAAATTCTGTCTGATTTTTCCCCTTATACTAATAAATATGAATAGGGACTGTTAATAAAAATGACCAAGACAGTAAACCAGTAAAGCGCGATGTTATAGATGCCAAACCCAACATGTCTATACACTCAAAAAAATGCTGGGTTGTTTCAACCCAAATTTGGGTCAAATATGGACAAACCCAAATGTTGGTTTAAAACTGTAATCAAAAAATGTACCGTTGAAAGTAAAAGTTGAAGTTGGGTTAATATTTTAAATGACATTTTTAACCCAACATTTGGGTTTGTCCATGCATATTTGACCCAAATTTGGGTTGAAACAACCCAGCATTTTTTAGAGTGAAAGGGACATCTAGCGGTGAAAATGTATTTTGCATTCAAACCAATTGTGCTCTCCAGCGCCTGGCTTTTTCAAATGCTCGTTGCATCTACGGTAGCCATTATGTACCAAAAAGCTATGATAGGATGTCTTCTAATAGCTATTTCCAACAAACAGCAACTTTACTGCTCAGTTACTGGGATTTTCACGCACAACCATTTCTAGGGTTTACAAAGAATGCTGTGAAAAGGGAAAAACATCCAGTATGCGGCAGTCCTGTGGGCCAAAATCATTTGTTGTTGCTGGAGGTCAGAGGAGAATGGGCCGACTGATTCAAGCTGATAGAAGAGCAACTTTGACTGAAATAACCACTCGTTACAATCATTTGTGAAGCCACAACACACACAACCTTGAGGCGGATGGGCTACAACAGCAGAAGACCCCACCGGGTGCCACTCATCTCCACTACAAATAGAAAAAAAAGAGGCCACAATTTGCACGAGCTCACCCAAATTGGACAGTTGAAGACTGGAAAAATGTCGCCTGGTCTGATGAGTCTCGATTTCTGTTGAGACATTCAGATGATTTGGCGTAACCAGAATGAGAACATGGATTCATCATGCCTTGTTCCCACTGTGCAGGCTGGTGGTGGTGGTGTAATGGTGTGGGGGATGTTTTCTTGGCACACTTTAGGCCCCTTAGTGCCAATTGGGCATCGTTTCTGACCATGTCCATCCCTTTATGGCCACCATGTCCCCATCCTCTGATGGCTACTTCCAGCTGGAATCATTTCAAATTGGTTTCTTGAACATGACAATGAGTTGACTGTACTAAGATGGCCGCCACAGTCACCAGATCTCAACCCAATAGAGCATCTGTGGGATGTGGTGGAATGAATGGATGTGCATCCCACAAATCTCCATCAACTGCAAGATGCTATCCTATCAATATGGGCCAACATTTCTAAAGAATGCTTTCAGCAGCTTGTTGAATCAATGCCACGTAGAATTAAGGCGAAAGGGGGTCAAACACAGTATTAGTATGGTGGCCCTAATAATCACACAAACACACTCTCTGTTTATGTTCCATGGAAACACACAAGTCATATGGGTTTGGAAGAACATGTGTTCCAGTCAGCGCTCTGGTTGGTTTCTCACCAGGTTAGAGTCTCAGATGACGTCAGATATCCAGAGTGTCCTGACGCTGCTTCAGAGACAGACGTGTTTGGGACCTCCGGCCTACAGCAGCATCACGGGGGATCCGGAGTACAAGAGACCCGTCGCTGCACAGGTACACAACCAAACCACTCATTTTATTACTTGCCACAGTAGCATTTCTAACTTTTATATTTTATTTAAGCTTTATGTCAATAGATAAACCATTTAAATAGTTACCGTTTTAGTTACCAACACTGAACCCTACTAAACAAAGACATTCACATACTGTACTTGGTTTATACTGTATGTCATTGTAGACCTCATTTATTTTGGCAGGAACAAACATATTGCACTGCGTATGAAGTATGCATTTGAATAATTTGATAAAAATGAATAATTAAAGCTAAATATTTTACCATTGACAATATAAATAAATGGCAAAATAAGTATATATTTTACATTCTGATTCTCTTAAGAGCACTGAAAAGTGTGTTTACTGGTTATATCATGACACAGAGTGGCTCGCAGACTGTGAGAAACAGGAGTGAGATCACATGGGCAGCTGTAGAGCGCCACCTGCTGCACACTCATTATTTCTCAACAGTCAGTGAGGACTAGTGCTGCTCAAAAGTTTACACACCCCTTGCAGAATCTGTGAATAATTTAACAATATAAGAGGGATCATACAAAATGCATGTTTTTGTTTTATTTAGTACTGTCCTGAATAAGATATTTCACATAAAAGATGTTTACATACAGTCCACAAGACAAAAAAAAATAGCTGAATTTATGAAAATGACCCAGTTCAAAAGTTGATGTACCCTTGAACAAGAATACTGTGTTCTTGTTCTCGAGTCCCTTGTTTGATCCTTCAGTTTTCCAGCATCTTTTGCATATTTTAACCCTTTCCAGCAGTGACTGCATGATTTTGAGATCCATCTTTTTACACTAAGGAAAATTGAGGCACTGTCGAATTCAAAAAGTTTTCACCCCCCGGCTTTACATACATCATGTTTCGTTCATCAGTGAACAGTGGAACCTTTTTAATACACTTTTTAACTGGGTAATTTTTATAAATTCAGCTTTTTTTTTTCTTTTTTTGTCTTGTGGACTAAATGTAAACATCTAAATGTAAAATATCCTATTCAGGACGGTATTAAAAAAAATAACATGCATTTTGTATGATCCCTCTTTGTTAAAATTATTCACAGATTCTGCAAGGGGTGTGTAAACTTTTGAGCAGTAAAAGTTAAAAAAGTGTGTATGTGTATATGAAGAGTTCAGATGCAAAAGCCTCTAAGTGGCATTTGAAATTTTCTTCTAAAATGATCATTTTTATCAAGCTTATACTGTATATTTAAGTTCAGTAATTTCACTTAAATGACAATGAAGATTACCTATTAATTGCCATTTAAGTGAAATTACTGAACTTAAATATACAAGCTTGATAAAAATGATCATTCTAGAAGAAAATTTCAAATGGCACTTAGAGGCTTTTGCATCTGAACTCTTCATATATAACAAAAAATGTTATATCTTCAAAGGACTAGACTTGAATGAATTCATCATTAATAGTGCAATTTCCAGATTTTGCTTCTAATAGTACGGAAGTGTATTGCATTCACTTAAGGAAACAAAATCTACTCTGTTTTTCTGAATTAACGAGTTAATTATGTCACAATTATGAGATAATTTTTCATGGAAAAACGTTTTTGCTCTGTTTTTCTGAAGTAATGAGTTAATTATCTCAGAATTACAAGATCATTTTTCATGGAAAATAAGTTATTGGTCTGTTTTTCTGAATTAATGAGTTAATTATCTCAGAATTATGAGATATGTTTTTCTTGAAACAAAAAATATCACTCTGTTTTTAGGAATTAATGAGTTACTCCTAATTTTTGAGATAATGAAGACATTAATTTAGAAAAACAGAGCAAAAAAAAATTTCTGTGAAAAATGATCTCGTAATTCTGAGATAATTAACTCGTTATTTCAGAAAAAACAGCAAAAACTTTTTACCATGAAAAATTATCTCGCAATTCTGAGATAATTAACTCGTTAATTTCAGAAAAACGGAGTAGATTTTTTTTCTTCAAGTGAATGCAATACGCTTCCGTATAATAGTTACTCCTACATTATTATTTTTTTTTTATGTTGAAGTTCAAACACCAAATGGATTAAGCCTAGACCTTTAATTTCAATAATGCAATTCCGAATGGTGCAAAACACCAAAATACATACCTAAAACATCTATAAATTCCTCTTTTCCCAGGAACTTTTGGCCATGGCAAACATCCATCCGAACCCCAGAGACTGTCCGTCGGGTGTTTCCACACAGGACTCCACTGCCATGTACAGTTTGATAAACAGCCAGACTCTTCCTCTGACACGAGAGCATTCGAGATCCCTTCTTCCAGTCCAGCCAGCGAGCGGATCTCTGGATCTCCACAGACCGGGGTCTGATCCAGCGCTCCTGGAGGACCAGCACTGACGCTCTCGTCCAGGACGTCCCACGGCTCTTCCACTGGAAGGACAAAGGACATTTTCAAACAGGCATTGGCCAAAACTTTAACACCAATGCAAGATTCTCCTCCGGCACTCGCCTGTATTCTCTTCCTCTGTGATGTCACTTCCTTCTCCTGCGTTACGGTCGAGGAATATTTCAGACTTCCATTTTCAGGAAGTAAATCTCTCTGTGTTCTGCACACGTTTACACCGGTGTAAGACTCAGGATATTGACGTCAGTTCATAAACATCACACTCATTCTCTGGCACAATTTCTCCCATGTTTTATCATCATCAAATTCTAAATGATAAATAATGTAATTTTGCACTTCCATTTGCAGAACTCCGTGGTGCACTATTGAAAATGACTATTTTTTTGTATTCATTTCTTTAAGAATTAAAACAATCGGTTATACAACATATTTTTGACAAAATAGATTAATTTGACATTTCAGTTGGCGATATTATAAAAAATAATGAAACATGTCAAACTGTAACAGACCAAAAATGGGAAAAAATATCATATAGGCTTATAATTACTTTATAAATTAAATCATTAGCTAACATGGAAAAGCCATTTATTAATCTTAATGTTAATTTCAACATTTACACGTTATTAAAATATTATTTAATGGATCTGAGCTAACACGAACCAACAATAAACAGATGTGTTTTTAGCAACTTACATTAATATTAATAAAACACTAAGAAACACTAAGGAATGTAACCGAGACCTTATTGTAAAGTGTTGGTATAATAATTTGAGTGAAAACTTAAATGGCAGCACAGATATAAATAATTATGTGAATTGTTATTCACTTATTAATTCAATGCATTGTAATGTAAACGAATTTTACAATCATAGTTACATTTTGAAATTGAAAAGTTAAAAAAGATTTTCAATGTGCTCTCAGAGTTTTGCAGCAAAATATTGGTTGTTTGCAAATGTTTATGTTGTACATACATTATACCCCTCTATTAAAGGAAAAGAGACGCATGGCTGAAGGTTTTACCCGTTGCATGTTTACTGCAACATATTGGGAAGCAGGTTTATGTCGGCACTAAATGCACTCTTTAATCCACTCGGTTTATTTGCACATGCTAAACGGCATTAAACAATTACACTGATCTTTGCAAGCACTGGCGTACAGTACGAGACGGCCTCACACACGGGGTTATGAGACGTGAAAATCTGCTTAGATCTTGGAAAACAAGGTGCTGGAAAACCATGCATATGTATTTTTCATTTTTAACAATTTACTTGAAGGGGTGTGCATAAGACTAACATGACACCTTCATAATCATGACATGATGGTTTTATGCATGTTTATGTCTTTGTCATGACAACTTGACATTATTTACTAAGACAACACAACCTGTCATAAACATGACATAGCAGATTAAAACTGTCAGGTGGTTGGTTTTGACATTGGCTGTCATGAAGCCATTATAACTTTTTAATGACAAATTCACTTAGTATCACTGTAGTTGAGGTCACGAAAAATATTCATGACGCAGTTATAATGCCTCATGACAGCCAACCACATGACAGTTTAACCTCGTTTAATGTCAAGTTGTCATGACAAAGACACTGACAGGTTATGATGTATTGGTTTATGTCAAGATGTCATGACAAAGACATCTCAATGTCATATTTGCATTCAAAATGTCATTATTGAGCGAAAGACACTTAATGACAGTTGTCATAAACATGTATAAACCCTATGACATACAGTATGTCATGATTATGAAGGTGTCATGTCAGTCTTATGCACACCCCTTCAAGTAAAGTGTTAGCAAGTGCTACCGCTGTGCTACTCCTCCGAACTAGACTCGCGTGCGGCCGTTTCTGGAAGCCAGAACTTAAGTTGTAAATATGGATATTTGTCTTCCATAAACCCATGGCTTCTCTTCAGAAGGCTTTATTAAAGGGATAGTTCACTATGAAATTAATTTTTGGTATGTTTTATCTTACCTCAAGGGAATCCAAGATGTAGGTGTCTTTGTTTCCGCTGTAGTTTCAATTTTGATATTTTTAGGTCAAACCGTTCTTGTCTGTCAGTCATATAATGGAGGTCAATGGTCACCACTTAGCATGCACAAGTCCAAACAATATAAATACTGTTCGTTTTCTACCACAAACCACTCGTTTCGTGTCTTAGGCCATCAATGTGTACTTACATTCACGAGTCATTAAATCATGTTTAATTTGGACTTCTCTGCGCATGCTCTTTGAGGTGGTGACCATAGACCTCCATTATATGAGTGACAGACAAGAACGGTTTGACCTAAAAATATCAAAATTGAATCTACTGCGGAAACAAGACACCTACATATTGGATGCCCTTGAAGTAAGATACAACATACCAAAAATTAATTTCAAAGTAAACTATCCGTTTAATACCCGAGTCGTATGGATCACTTTTATGATGGATTGATGTGCTTTTTTGGGCTTCAAAATCTCAGGCTCTTTCCACTCTCATTATAAAGCTTGGAAGAGCCAGGATATTTTTTAATATAACTGATTGTGATCATATATTGAAAAATATCATATCCAGTCATATGGCTTGAGCGTGAGTAAACTATTGGGATAATTTTTATTTTTGGATGAACTAACCCCTTTCAACGCTCCAATAATGTTGGCTTCATCAAGTCACTAGAAAATTTAAATCTTACAACAAAATCACTTTGTTTTCCAAAAAATGTAGCCTAGAAAAGCTTTCTGTCACAAATTCTGCTAACAATAATTATAAAACACTTCGGGTGCGTCCAAAATCGCATACTTCTTTACTATATAGTAGGCATAAAACTGTATGTTACCAAAAAAAAGTATGTCCGAATTCAAAACGGTAGGCGACAAGTATCCGGATGACCTACTATTTCCTGTAAAAGTCTGAAGTGTGCATGTGATGGAGACTTTACTATCCCATGAGGCCACGGGAGAGGATTTATGAATGAACCTGACGCTGTAGGTCACATGATAATGACATCATGATGAATGTAGTATGCCCAGATTACATTCAAACTATATAGATCACACATTATAGCAAGTGTGAAGCAAGTATTTATTTAAAATACATAACTAGTGTGCGATTTGGGACGCGGCCTGGATCTTCACACACACGTTTCTCGCCAGACCCACTGCTAAAGGGTTCATTTATCATGCAAAGATTGTAATATTTTAATCTGGGAGGGGATTTTTTTTGCATCTGTTTCTTTTTCGTTTCTAACTTAAAATATGTATTTATACATATTTATACACCATAGGTTTTTTTACGTGCAATAAACGCTTTCTTAAATTATGGTTTAAATTTCTCTCAAGACTGAAAGTTACAGCTTTGATTTGAACTATGTTTATTTTTATATGTGACTGTAAAACACTGTACTTTGGGTCAAAAGCAAACATATATTAAATTTGCACATCAGCATGTAAAATTAAGCATAATCACACCCAAGCAAATATCAAATATGCAGATTTATTATCTGCACTTTATTTCAAAATAAAGACTCCATGCCCTTAAAATTAATGTTACCATCCTCAGCATGAGTGTGAATGTGTTTTGAGCGCTGGTAGATTGTGTGTGAGTGCGTGTATGTGTCTGTCTTTATTTTTTTATTTCATTTTTTTTTGTGTCACAAGCATAATAAAAATCATATATTAAAGGCCGCCGGAAGCAGAGGTGGCTTTTTATTCTTATTTGGGAATATATTAATACGGTTAATAATCCCGCAAACGTTTGCACGTAACACTTTCACTTTTTATCCCGCTTTTCACTTGCACTGAGTTGTTTTTTATAGTTTGCACTGTATAGTTTGTACACCACAATACTCTACAGGTGTTTTGAATGTGTCTGTTATTATAAGATTTATTATATTTAATGAAATTGCTTTAGGCAAGTACTTTTGACTAACTGTACTGTACAAAAAGCATATAAATAAAAGGAAAGCTTATCAGTTTGTTGAGTGGAAATGTACTTTTTAAGAGAAAAGCACTGAATAACAGGGCTACTTATGATGATTTGTAGCACATATTAAAATAAATATTGCCATGCATTTATTTAATAATAACCTAAAAATAAAAGCTGATTCTAAATGTTAATAATAATGGTACAATATTTATTTTGTAAATAAAAAAATGACTAAAACTTAGAATCAGCTTTTATTTACAATTTTAGTTTAAGTTTTAGTCATTTTGTTACTTACAAAATAAAGATATTATAGCCTACTATTATTATTAACATTTAGAATTAGATTTCATTTTTATATTTTTAGTATAAGTAATTTTGTTATGCTTTTTGTCATTTTATTATTTTTTGTTTTGTTTGTGTAATTTTAGTACTTCAGCTTCAACTTATTTTAATTAGTTGCCAAGCAACATATTTCAGCATTTTCACTCAGTAAATATAGTTTTAGTAAACAATAACACAAATGAGCTGTGAACTGATCAGTGAGGCCATTGTTTGATTTTGAATTTATTGTTTTGTACTTTATTATGTCAAAATCATTTAACACAATCATACAAATAAACATTTTTTTTTCTCAGAAATTGTTCCTTTTCTTCCCCTTAGATTTTTTCATTTTGTCTTTTGATAATCAACATAATAATTACAACAATAACCAAGAACATATTTAGATACTTTTGCATTTCAAAAAAGTAATTAACAATTAAATTAATTTAATTAAAAATAATGTAATTAAAAGTTAACATTAAGACCAAACTCCTAATAAATAAATCAAATTATATTAATTAAACATCAAATAATAATAAATCAATAGTAAATAAATAAAATAATAAGATGCATTAAAAATAATAATTTTTAAATTAGATTAGTGAATCTAATGATAATCCCTGCTTATCCTAATTACAACTAAAGCTCTTTCAAGATTTTTATGACAAATAACAAAATCAATATTCAAAATGATATTTATATTATATTATTAATGTATGGCATAAGGGATTCTGTCGACATAGTGTTTATTATTTATCTAGTCTAGTGGTTAAAATTTGCAGAGAAAGTGTAGCCTACACAATTTTCAATGCCCACAAAGTAGATTTTATTCTAACAATAAAAACATATTCATGAAAATAAATAAAGAGAGAACATAACTATTTATATCTCGTCTCTTTAAATAAGGTTGATATTGATATCATCTGACTGATTACGTTTGTAAACCGGGACCATAAACGAAACCGAAACCGAAAGTCAGCGAGTCCTGGGAAGTTCAAGCGGACTCATCAGTTTAGTAATCTCTAATCTAGTTTTAACAAACATGAGCATTGATCAGGACGCCGAGACGCGTCATATTCTGGACTGTTTCAGAGACAGACTGAAGCAGATCATCCAGGTCGAGCCGCTTCTGGATCAGCTGCACTTCCTCGGACAGGATCGAAAGGACAAAATAAGGGCCAAGTTACGGGCGGACGGGGACATAAGCGCCGCAGCACTCCTGATCGACGAAATCCTCCAAACACAACACGACAAGGGATGGCCGAGAGAGCTGGTCACCGCGCTGGAGACCGCTGGATGCACACACGCGGTGAACTACGTGCGGAACAGCCCGCCGGAGCCGACAGAAGAGGCCGAGAACGACAGCTGTGTCCGCCTGATCGATCTCATGCAGCTGACCCTGGTCAACATGAAGACCACAGACGTGTGCGCGCAATGCTGGTCACTGGGGCTCCTGACGCCCGAGGACAAGGAGAACGTGAGTGACCGAAGCCCGGGCATTACTCTGAGCTGGGGTGAACTATGGGTCCACGTAGGACGGGGTTTGTCTACTGATGGAAAGTTACAATTAAATAAAGAAGTACAATTTCAATAAGTATTTAAAAATCAAAAAACAAATACATAAGATGCGATAGTCAGAGTCAGACAGTAGATAGATAGACAGAAGACAGACAGACAGACATAAGATATAGTCAGACAGACAGATATAGACAGACAGACAGATATAGACAGACAGATAGATAGATAGATAGATAGATAGACAGAAGACAGATAGATAGACAGTCAGACAGACATAAGATATAGTCAGACAGACAGATATAGTCATACAGACAGATATAGACAGACAGATAGATAGATAGATAGATAGACAGACAGATAGATAGATAGAAGACAGATAGATAGACAGTCAGACAGACATAAGATATAGTCAGACAGACAGATATAGACTTTATTATAGAATTTATAATCTGTTACACTGTTATTTTTTGCAATTAATTTAATTTGTACATTTCAATTTAAGTTGTTATAATGCTTTGTTTTTATTGATGTCTTCACTATGCTATGTGTTACAACTAAGCTTTGGCAATATTGTAATATGTACAGTCATGCCAATAAAGCAATTTGAATTGAATTGAATTATAGACAGTCAGACAGACAGACAGACAATCAGATAGATAGATAGATAGATAGATAGATAGATAGATAGATAGATAGATAGATAGATAGATAGATAGATAGAGAGACAGTCAGACATAAGATATAGTCAGACAGACAGATAGAGACAGACAGACAGAAAGTCAGAAAGATAGATGCGGTATACAGTAGATAGATAGACATAAGACAGACAGATAGACAGACAGAGAGACAGACAGAGACATAAGATAGACAGACAGATAGATAGTCAGACATAAGATATAGTCAGACAGACAGACAGACAGACAGATACAGACAGAGACAGACAGAGACATAAGATAGACAGATAGATAGATAGACAGACAGAAAAAGATGATAGATAGATACACAGACAGACAGACAGATAGATAGACAGATAGATAGATAGATAGATAGATAGATAGATAGATAGATAGATAGATAGATAGATAGATAGATAGATAGATAGATAGATAGATAGATAGATAGATAGATAGATAGATAGATAGATAGACATAGTCATGTAAAAAATATTATCATCAGTAGAGGGCGCTATAAAACAAACAGAAACAGATTTGCTTTGTGGATTTACTGATGTGGTTAAACTGAAAATTTTTAAGAAATCCTTATTAGTAGAAGTATATAAATGCAGTATAAAATTATTATTATTTTATATTACATACAGTAGTACTTTTAGATATATTTTATATTGCACCCTATTTGTTTTTGTAGTATTCTTTCACGGTCACCACTACTACTAATAACAATTATTATTATTATTATTATTGGTAACACTTTAGTTTAGGGTCCAATTCTCACTATTAACTAGTTGCTTGTAAGCACGCATATTAGCATATTGGGTGTTTATTAGTTGGCTACTTTTGATGAATGCAGGATCATATTCCACATCCCTTAATGCTAATCCAATACCTAATCTTCTTAACTACCTTACTAACTATTAATTAGGAGTTTATGGAGGGAAAAGTCGATGTTAATAGTGAGGATTGGACCCTAAACTAAAGCGTGAAGCATATTAACAAAGCTAAAGTTCAAAACATCATCACATGACCCATAGTGAGTTTAACTGACCTGCCTCCGTGTGTGTGTGCTTTCACCTCTCACTCATATTAAATACATTAACTATGTTCATCATTACTCCTGCAGATTATGAAAGCCACTGAGAATCATGGGAACATAAACGGCGCTCGAGTGCTCCTCAAAAGGCTGGTGAAAAATGAAGCGGGCTGGTTCTCCAAGTTCCTTCAGGCTCTGGAGGAGACGGAGCACCGGGAGCTGGTGCGCGAGCTGCGGGGAGAGCCGTGCAACGAGGACGGTGAGGGCCACAAATCATCATACACTGCTCTCTCACGGGGAGCAATATTCAGTTTCAAATATAATGTGCAAAATTACAATGCACTATGTAAAATGGCAATACATTTCTATATTTTCCATTACATTTGTACAACATTGGTGCACAAATCAAATATATCATAATTATACCATGGACATTCATTGCAGGAAATTTAAGTGTCTTAACTGTGGGGGTAAATGCAATTAAAAAACAGTTTTTGCTTGAACATGTTAAACATATCATTTCTTATAAAATATGTATTCAATTTACATATTAAAACTAGTGTATGAAATGGCAAATGTAAGTGTAATGGAAAATGTAAATACAGCATTGGTGCATTTCAAACTGAATATTGTTACCCATATGCGTCCACAGTCACAGGCTCTCTTAGAAAAACAATAGTTGGAAACCGGAAACCAGCAGAGGTCAGAGGTCACGCTGTTGTTTAGACTACACATTTGTGGCCTGGAAACCCCGCTGTTAGTGTCTGTCTATCCCTACAAATCTAATTAGCTCTTAAAGGGATACTTCTGTCCTTTGAGAAAAATAAAAACTATCAAACTTTCGTTCAGCTTCAAAGCACAAATGAAGATATTTGCAATGAAATCAGAGCTTTCTGTCAGCTAACTGACTTTGGCGCTTCACAAAGTTCATAAAGAAATCGTAAAACTAATTTCGATCACTTTATTTGATAAACCAATTGAATTAAAATGTAAATGTCTCCCTCATGTTGTCCCGAGCCCGTCAGACCCGTTTAGAACACAGTTTAAGATATTTTAGATTTAGTCCGAGGGCTTTCTGTCCCTCCATTGAACATGTGTGTACGGTATACTGTCCTTGTCCAGAAAGGAAATAAAGACTAGAGCCAGACCGATAAAGGATTTTGAAGGCCGATACGATACAAATATTTTTTTGTTTTAAAATCTGATATTCCGATATATAGCGGCCGATATATATATATATATATTTTTTTTTTTTTTCAGAAACGCACAACAAAACATTAACAGATTTCCCTAACATTAGTTATTTGTAGTTATTTATGAGTTTTAACTAAAATAATATGATAATGCATTTTAAAAAAGAAACTTGTTTCTTTTATCGTCACAACAGAACAGACTGATGATAGTGGCATTAGCTAGCTTTGTGGTTAGCTAGTCTATGATGAGCCATAATTTAGCAATGGTTTAGCAATTTAGCAATATTTTCAATATAACAGGTCAAGGAGAGATGAGACGTCTCATTGCTATAACTGTCACGTGCTATTAAAGAAATACTTTAGTCAAATTGTCAAAAGTTAAAAGGACAGTCAGTCAACTACACTTTAACATTGTAACGTAACTATTACTAGCTAATTCCGCTTCACTCTCGGCTTATTTAACAGCAGCAAAACTGGACATGATAGTCACAAATTTAGTCCTGCTTATTTGAGTTTAGAGAACTGATGGCGATGTTCTTTTAATTGTTATTCAAGCAATGTATGTATCGTGACCAACTCAACGAGTGTTGCCAACAGGAACGGTGTAGAGTGCCCTCTGGTGGACAAACTATACAACTCCAACACTCACGACATGGTTCAAGCGTGTTTCATTCGTTTTAATTTTATTTTTGAAATATTAATTTATCGGCCATTATAACTGCCGATACTGATAGTTTGGAAAAAGCCTAATATCGGCCGATAATATCGGCCTGGCTCTAATAAAGACATCATCAATGTAGTCATGTGACATCAGTGGGTTAGTTACAATGTTTTGAAGCATCGCAAATATATTTTGCTCCAAAAATAACAAAAACTACGACTTTATTCAGCATTGTGTTGTCTTCCGGTTCTGTTGTCCTGTTCTCCATGTACATATTATAGTGATTACAATAACTGGGTACTAGTTGAACCCTGAACCTACCCTTAAACCATGTAGTTACCTTAAATTACCGAGTACTTTCTGTACACGTACTGTAAAATAAAGTGCAACTAACAATTCTTTAGATATGTGGCACGTTTTCATGTTCAGTTTTGACCATAATGGCATGTCGACAGATATTCTGTGCATTGTTATTATGTATTATGAACTCCTGTTGATTACCTGTGTGTGTTACAGAGTCCATGTCAGTCGAGATCAGAACTGTTGAGGAGGGCGAACAGACGTGTTTGGCTCTCGCGAAAGAGACGGACCCGGTCCTGAACGGCTCCATGCCCGTTGTCTCTGCGAATAGCTCTCTTTTGTCGGAGGACCTGGACAGCAGTGTGGACGGCAGCGTTCTGGGGGCGTCTGCCGAAAATGAAGGTGCATATCTGAAGCGAACTCAAAAAAATGGTTAAATCCTGCCATAAACTTGATCAGCTACTCCTAATCTAGCTTTTGCTGTTGTTTTTGTTATTGTTGGCTCATCTATCGTGAGATGTGGATAAAAAGGCGTCTGATAAATATAAAGAAGCCAAACTTACAGCAGTGGATATATTCTCTCACAGATGTAGACATGTACAATGGCCAGGAGGAAGAGGAAGGGGATCCCACAGAGGATGATGATCCGTCAGGTACGGTCAAATGACTTTCATCCAAACGTGTGTGTGTTGGTTCATATCTAACGCTCTCGATCCCTCGCTTGCTCACGCCAGCAATTAGCGTGCTGTAAAACAAGAATTAGTTAAATTACAAACCACGTGGATTTAGTTTCTAGTAATGCCCGTCTCATAAACATTTCATAAATTATTATCCGGGAGGGTTGTGTGCCATTCACTCAGAAATAAACTGAGAATTGCCTTGAGCCTTTATGTATAATGCATTAGAATAAATGTAACCAAAGTTAAAATTCATTATAGGATTTGCAGATTTCCTTGTAACAAATTAGTCATTTGTCATGTTTTAATACATTATACTATTTATGTTACACCTTTAAAAAAGTATATTGTATTATAACTGTGGTTATAATTACTCATGAGACCATGCAATGCATTATATAAGGTGCATTAAAAGCCATAATTAATGCATTAAACATGTTTATAATGCGCTTTTAATGCTTCCTGATCATGTTAGGACACGTATGCTCATCAATTTTTGTGAAGTTCTGACCTTTCCTTTAGGATTTATTGACTGTATTTTGCCACGGACCACCTTCTAAATGACCCTGTTATAGCCAACCAAATGCAAAATTTCATTTATTTTCAATAATTATTGATCTAGAGAGTCCAGTAGACTGGTCTGGTTCCGATCGGGCGAAAAACCAGGGACTAGTTCGCAAAAAAATTCGAAATTTTTCTTGCCTAAATCCAAATCGGAGATATACATCTTGTCCCTCTTGAGCCAAGGATCACAGTGGTGGTATATAAGGTGCATAATTAATGCATTAAACATGTTTATAATGTGTGTTACCAAATGTGCATTTAATTACTACACATTTCAAAATAAAAAAATAAAACATAAATAGACCAACATGAAGCAAGATGGATACTGAATCTGTACATACTGTGTGATTGGCCATTTCAAATTCATAGGAATTACAAGTAAAAATGAATTTTTACCGACACTTTACCAATAATGACGAACAACAATTGAGCCTTGAAATTAGTAATTGAATTTAATGCCACAAAACCCCATTTAATAGATGCTTTTTAATTTGATTCATGCTTTTAATTGTACATTCGATCATTGTTTGAAAGGAAATAAGGCATCAATAAGTTTTTACCCTTTTGACATTTCAGCTTAGTTCTTTTGTGCAATGCATCTAATGACCCACAATCCAAACGTTCCCGGGAGCAATTTAACTGTCAGGACATTTTCAAAGAGTTATTATTATAAAAGCGCATGGCTTAGTTGTGTTCAGCGGCCTGACTCTCAGTGGTTCTCAGTGAGACGTCGACCTCGACCGCATAAAGTTCACCAGTCTCGTCTCCTCTAAAGTGTGTTAAATCACTGTCACATCCAGGGAATATTTCCACTCGCAGACTGAGGCCTGCCGCTTACACGAGGGCATATGGAAGTGATCAAGAACCGGTCTGGTCTTGGTAAATATGCATATGCGGATTTCTGTGAAACACAAGTATTGTTTTCATAATCGCATAATTCTCTTCAGAGACTAGTTTAGGTACACTCAGAAAAACAAAAGCTGTCACTGGGGCTGTACCTTTTCAAAAGGTACACTTTTGTACCCAAAGGCTGCATATTGGTACCTTATTGGTACATATTAGCACCTAAAATGTACATATTAACAATAAAAATGTACATATTAGCACCTAAAATGGACATATTAACACCTAAAATGTACATATTAGCTCCTGAAATGTACATATTAACACTAAAATGTACATATTAGCACCTAAAATGTACATATTAACATGTATTAACACCTAAAATGTACATATTAGCACCTAAAATGCACATATTAACACCCAAAATGTACATATTAGCGCCTGAAATGTACATATTAACACTAAAAATGTACATATTAGCACCTAAAATGTACATATTAGCATCTAAAATGCACATATTAACACCTAAAATGTACATATTAGCACCTAAAATGTACTTAGCACCTAAAATGCACATATTAGCACCTAAAATGTACCCATTAACACTTAAAATGTACTTATTAACACCTAAAATGTACATATTAGCACTTGAAACGTACATATTAGCACCTAAAATGGACATATTAGCACCTGAAATGTACATATTAGCACATAAATGTACCTATTAACACTTAAAATGTACATAATAGCACCTAAATGTACTTATTAGCACCTAAAATGCACATATTAGCACCTAAAATGTACCTATTAACACTTAAAATGTACTTATTAGCACCTAAAATGCACATATTAGCACCTAAAATGGACAAAAGTTTACCTTTTGAAAAGGTACAGCCCCAGTGACAGCTTTTGTACCTTTTTTTCTGAGAGTGTAACTTAGTGGCTAAATAACACAGTTATGATATTGCTAGCATAATGATTGCAAATATACAGTACATTCAATAAATCACTGAGCTCTAGTATTGCTTCAAATATGTCGAGTGTAGTGCAACTGCAGCATGTCAAAACTCACTAAAAACTTCATATTAGAGTGATTTCTGAAGGATCATGTGACACTGAAGACTGGAGTAATGATGCTGAAAATTCAGGAATAAATTGCATTGAAACCAGTTATTTCGGAAGTTTTTTTATTTGCATCTTCTAATATTCAGGTGTTTTACCACTTCATTCACACCAGATGAATTCCAGGACGCATGTGATTTTTGAGCACATTTTAATTATTTGTTTAGTGTATTCTATTCTCCTGCCAAAAATGCTATTAGCCTAACAACCAGTGATCGTACAAGCTTATAAAAGCAACTCGTCCAGATCGATGACTTCTCTAGGAATGCCATATTGCCAGAGAATTATAAACACTAAGTTTCCTGTTAGCGTGTAAAAAATGAGTCTCACCAGCCAACTTCCACTCAGAAAAGTACAGTGGCAGACCAGTCAAATTCACATGCATTTCATTACAAGAACAGGAGTTTGTTTAGTGCATTACTACGGAGGCGTATTGCATTCACTTGAAGAAAAAAAATCTACTCTGTTTTTCTGAATTAACGAGTTAATTTTTCATGAGAAAAAAAATTGCTCTGTTTTTCTGAATTTATGAGTTAATTTTTCATGAGAAAAAAGTTTTTGCTCTGTTTTTCTGAATTAACGATTTAATTTTTCATGGATTTTTTTTTTTTTGCTGTGTTTTTCTGAATTAATGAGCTAATTTTTCATTAGAAAAAAATATTTTGCTTTGTTTTTCTGAATTAACGAGTTAATTTTTCATGGATTTTTTTTTGCCCTGTTTTTCTGAATTAACGAGTTAATTTTTCATGTAATTTTTTTTTTTTTTTGTAATTTTTTTTTTTTGCAAAAACTTTTTTTCTCACGAAAAATTAACTCATTAAATTCAGAAAAACAGAGCAACATTTTTTTTCTCATGAAAAATTAACTCATTAATTCAGAAAAACACAGCAAAAACTTTTTTCTCATGAAAAATTAACTCGTTAATTCAGAAAAACAGAGCAATTTTTTTTTCTCATGAAAAATTAACTCATTAATTCAGAAAAACAGAGCAAAAACTTTTTTTCTCATGAAAAATTAACTCATTAATTCAGAAAAACAGAGCAAAATTTTTTTCTCATGAAGAATTAACTCGTTAATTCAGAAAAACAGAGTAGATTTTTTTTCTTCAAGTGAATGCAATACGCCTCCGTACATTACATTACTTAAACCATAAAGTTACAATCAGGGAGGATGATTGTGACTTTCACATTAGTGATAACTCTCAGATTTGTAATTCAATTCTCCACGTCTAAACTCTTACTGTACATTACTGTTCAAATGTTTGGGGTCGGACAGATTTGTTTACGTATTTGAGAGAAGCCTCTTCTGCTCACCAAAGCTGCATTTATTTGATACTTTTTTTAGATATGCATTATTGCAATTTAAAATAACTTTTTTATTTGTATATTCCTGTGATCAAAGCTGAATTTTCAGCATCATTACTCCAGTCTTCAGTGTCACATGATCCTTAAGAAATCACTCTAATATGATGAATTGATGCCCAAGAAACATTTCTGATTGTTGAAAACTGCTTCATATTCTTTGATGAATAAAAAAATCTGTTTAATTTATTAAAAAGTATGAATGTCTTAAAGCACTTTTGAACAGTAGTGTACGCAACAACCAGCTCATTTGTGTCCGTTTTTGTTTTAGAAGAAACATCAGAGATAAAATAAAAGGCGATACTTGCATAACGCAACTGAGAAATCCATTAAGTGTCTCGACTTCTAAAAGAAAAACATTTGCTCCGGGGATCCTGATTTGTTGCTTCCTTGTTTCCTTCTTGTGTAATGAATTCCCTGAACTAAAAATCATTTCATAAATCAAAGGATCACGTTGGACAGGGTCGGACTCGGCACTGCCTGCGAGCTTGACCTAATATTGAATGATAAATTCAATATGATTCACAATTTAATGCATTCCTCTTGTTATTTATCACTCTTTTTGCCTCGCTATAACACGTTGATTATGAACGATGATCTCTCTGATTAAAACAACTCTCTCCAAGAGCTCGCATGTGGATTAACCTTGTCAAATCATATAAATGAGGGAGTCTTTAGATAAAAAAGGACAGAGTTCAATGGATACAGTGGATTTGGCTCGCTATATTCCCATGATTCAGTTTATCACTACATTTCAGTTTTGCTCTGATTCCCAATGTTATGTGAAATTACAAGTTAATGCAGTATGATTGCTAAAATCTTGCTCGAGAGTGGTTTAAACGTGATGTCATATTCTAGACAAATGTAAAAGATTGATGATTGTAAATATATTCTTAATTTCACAGGTAAAATAAATAAACTCTCTATAAGATCATAGAACTAAAAGAAAGGTTTGAGTTTAAAGATTTCTGTAGCATTATTTTTTCATTTCAATTAAGCATATTTACCCCCTCAAAATACAACAAATACCACAATATGAATGCTTTATGATTGAAATAATATAAATTAGCATAAAATATTTCTTGTTAAATATGTTCTTTTGCTATGGGTTCCCTCTGGAATTTATTTGGAAAGTAAATAATAAAAAAGTGATTTTTTTAAGACAGATAGTATTTTACTGGAATTAAACTTGAATTAAAAATGCATAAATACAGAGGAACTTTAAATTATCTTCTATTTTTTGGATTATAACCATAAACATATATATTGTGGGCGTGCTTTGTTACTGAACTAATTGGACAGGTTCTTAATAGCAATATATATATTTTCATATATACACTGCAAAAAATATTGTTGGTTTAACTTAAAAAAATAAGTAACCTGGTTGCCTTAAAATTAAGTTCATTGAAATGGAAAAATGTAGTTAATACAATGAAGGAGATTGATTTAATCATTAAAAACTCAAAATAATATGTTATCAAAATAATAAGTTGATTTGACAAAAGAAAAAATGTTGTGATTACAAATCATGAAAATATTTTTACAGTGTTTTATATATATATATATATATATAGCAATTTGATACATAAAATAATGTAAAACAGATTGCAACGTTCCTAGTACTAATCATTTGTAATTTTTTCAAACATTTTTCAATGTTTTGTCTTTTGATTTTGAGGTTAAACATAGCACTGTAAAAAAATAGTTTTAAGATTTATCCCAACATTTTTTCTTTTGTCAAATCAACTTAAATAATTTATTTAGTTCAGATAACTTATTATTTTGAGTTTCTGATGATTAAATCAATCTCCTTCATTGCATTAACTCACTTTTTCCAGTAAAATCAACTTAAAAGGTTTAAGGCAACCAGGTTACTTAATTTTTTAAGTTAAACCAACAATATTTTTTTTACAGTGTACATGTTCTTCACAGGTTTGGTGAGGCTTATAGACAGTCTGAGGAGCTTTAGAGAGGCTGATTCATAAACACGTGTTATTTTAACTAGTGAGGGATAAAGAAAACACAGCTGTAATTGCCATATATGAGCCTCTATCCACCCCACGAGACGCCGGATCCCAGCAGGATCATCATGTCTCTCTCCTCTCTCTCTCAGCGAGGACAATTGAACTGCGAGACTATCAGATGGAGGTGGCGAGACCAGCTCTGGAGGAAAAGAACATCATCATCTGCCTCCCAACAGGAAGTGGTAAAACCAGGGTCGCTGTGTATATCACTAAAGAACATTTGGAGAGGAAGAAGCAGATGGGACAACCGGGGAAAGTCGTCGTTCTGGTCAACAAGGTGCCATCCATCATCTACACACATGACAATATTAGAAATCGAATTGAAACTACAATACCATGCTGCTATTACAACAGATCTTAACTGATGAGATCTCAATGTCTCAGACAGAGACAATATTTATTTTGTTTTATTAAAAATCAAACATTTCTCAGACCAAATGATTTGGTACCAACATTAATTCCACAGCCCTAAACTCTCAGTGTATGTCTCATATGAGTGTATTTTTGGAGAAACATTTGAGACAAAGTTGATACTTACATGAGGTCTTGTGAGCTAAAAAAGAAACAACACAGTCCTCCGCGATGAGTTCAGAAGGCACTGAACTGAAGTCTCTGCGAAAAGAAAAACAGAAATGAGACTATGTTTGAGTGTTTGCTATAGGAGCAGAGGGACTTTTTGTCCTGCTGAATCACAAAACTGTATAAACCATGTTTTAAAAGATCAGCAAAAGTGTGGTGCAAACCTACAACTCAGCACCTCGGCCTGTCCAGACCGTTCCCTGCTGAGAAATAACAGACATTTAAAGTGAAATCACCCAAAAAAATGGCATGCAATGCCCTGGCAACCACCAAGAAAACCTTAGCCGCCGGATAATAAGCGGGAGACTACGTGCAGGCAAGTTTTTGTGGTGACAACCATATATAATCCCACTTATTATATGATTACTTGCCACGTTTGAGAAGAAACCCTTTTAAAATCTGACCTGTTTATTAGTTTAGAATCTATTACAATAACTGAGATAACGATAAAAATAATAATAATTCTAATAATTGTTTGAATTAAATAACAGAGCACGTCCGCGATGTGAGAGGAGGATGTTATTGGGGAACAGCTGACCTCGGAATGTCACTGACCAATCAGAATCCAGCATTTCAGAGTGCCGTGTCATAGGTTCCGGAAGTAAAAACTCCATTAATTTTCTCCATAAGGCAATTGATTTAGAACAATAACTTATAAAGCTTTATAGATAGACCTAGTGTGAGATACCGTACGAGGATGTTAATCGATGGTATTTGCTTCTGCGGAAGCCGTCAGCCCACAATATTTCCGCTTATTTTTTAAAACAGTGGAATTCCTGGTTAAAAACTACATTACCCATGATGCTGTACAGAAGAGATCTTTAGCTCCGCCCACTCCCATGAAGCACAGCGAATGGTCGAGTCGATCTCCATACGTTCTACATTCTCAAAACACTAAAAAAGTTTGCATTTACATGCATATGCTAGTTTTTAACTAGGGCTGTCAAACAATTAATCGCGATTAATCGCATCCAAAATAAAAGTCTGTGTTTACATAATATATGTGGGTGCACTGTGTATAATTATTTTATATACATAAATACACACACATGCTTGTATATATTTAAGAAATATTTTCATGTATATAGATTTATATCTAATTTATATTATATATAAATATAATATTTTATATATAAATAATATTTTTTTCTTAAATATATTCAAGCATGTGTGTATTTATGTATAAAAAATAATTATACACACATGCTTGTATATATTTAAGAAATATTTTCATGTATATAGATTTACATATAATTAATATTATATATAAATATAAATATTTTATATATAAATAATATTTTTTTCTTAAATATACAAGCATGTGTGTGCATTTATATATATATAAAATAATTACACAGTGCACCCACATACATGTATACACAAACTTTTATTTTGTATGCGATTAATCGCGATTAATCGTTTGACAGCCCTATTTTTAACATATAATCAACATTTGTAAATGAGTAGTTTTATATTTCACCATCATTTTTAGTTCGTTTTTGTTGTTCGCAATGCTTCATGGGGTTTTAGTTCTTTACCACACTAAATTCACCGTTTTGTATCTTTGTATTTTTTGCTTCAAATCAAATTTTTAATGTTATGGCTTGGTTCATGGCTTATAACGCGTCATTGAAGACCATTTTAAAATCCCTGGAAAAATGAATAAAAAAATATACTTCTGGAACCAGCGCCGCTAAAAAAAGGGGGCGGGCACTGTTACACTATCGTGGAACAGCTGACCTCGGAATGTCGCAACTGACCAATCAGAATCCAGCATTTCAGAAAGCTGTGTAATAATGCCAAATAACTTCTCTCCAGGTTCCTCTGGTCGAGCAGCACTACAAGGCCGAGTTCGGGCGGTTTCTGAAGCACCAATACTCAGTCGAGCGAGTCAGCGGAGCCTCGCAGCTCAAAATCTCCTTCCCACAAATCATTGAGCAAAATGATATCATCATCTGCACAGCACAGATCCTGGAAAACTCTTTAGCCAAAGCCAAGACCGGTGACGAGGACGGGATCAAATTATCACGTAGGTCACATTCAAACAGACTTATTTCAACACTTTCAGAGAGTCAGAGTCCAGTCAAATGGGTTCACCTTCTGTTAGATGTTGAAGAGAGACCAAAGCTCCTCCTTTGAGGTTTCATGTGACAGTGTTTTTCCCCATCAGTCTTTGCTGGCAGATTCAGCTCTCCTGTGAGTCTCTCTGGCAGCGTCCACCCCGCAAGGTGGGATTCCTCATCTGTGGCATATGCTGTTTGTTGATTTCCCCCCTCGTTTTACTCTTAAACCCTTTATTTATTTATTTTTGATTTTTTTGGTCCATGGGCCACACGTCTGGCTGATCAAATTCAGTGGAGATTTGCTGTCATTGTCAGAGTTTCAGAGCCCATTCCAGCCCTCAGGGGCCAAACAGCCAGCGCCTTTAAAGTCTGGTCTGTAAAACGTGGCCACATCACCCACCGCCTCTTTCAGTGTGTGAAATGCAGACTTTTTTTTTTTCTTCTTCCCAGAGTCCCCTGGGAGCGCCGGAAGGCAGAACAAAAACTGTAAACTTAGCCGGTGAGAATGGACTGGAGGTTTACAGCACTCGCCTTTGTTGATTAGAAACATATGCTAGAAAAAATGACCAAGAGCTTTTGCTATTCATATAAAAGCACCATGAACAATGTATTGTTAACATGTGTTATATACACACACACATACTTCTTTAGAACAAAAAAGATATAACCTTTATTTAAACAGGAAATGTCCACACAGTCTCTTTTACAAGGGAGTTCACTTTGAAATTAATTTTTGGTATGTTTTAGCTTACCTCAAGGGTATCCAAGATGTAGGTGTCTTTGTTTCAATTTTGATAATTTTAGGTCAAACCGTTCTTGTCTGTCAGTCATATAATGGAGGTCTATGGTCACCACCTCAAAGAGCATGCACAGAGAAGTCCAAATTAAACATGATTTAATGACTCGTAAATGTAAGTACACATTAATGGCCTGAGACACGAAACGAGCGGTTTGTGTGAGAAAACGAACAGTATTTATATTGTTTTACCTCTTGTAACCACAACCGGAAGTGATCTGTGTACGTCACTCATTGATTTCGGAAGCGTTACCTTTCACTGTGAAGATCTAAACATATTTAGATACACAGGGAATCGCAATGGAAGAAGATTTCGATATATCAACAGACAACGTTGAATTTTTTTCCGCAACCGCGTGAGAGATCACTTCCGGCGCTTTCCGCGCCTTCAGATCACTTGGACGTGGCTGTGGTTACAAGAGGTAAAAACGATATAAATACTGTTTTTTTCTCACACAAACCGCTCGTTTCGTGTCTTAGGCCATCTATGTGTACTTACATTTACGAGTCATTAAATCATGTTTAATTTGGACTTCTCTGTGCATGCTCTTTGAGGTGGTGACCATAGACCTCCATTATATGACAAACAAGAACGGTTTGACCTAAAAATATCAAAATACTGCGGAAACAAAGACACTTACATCTTGGATGCCCTTGAGGTAAGCTAAAACATACTAAAAATAATTTCAAAATGAATCATCCCTTTAACTTTGTTGTTTGGACCCCATCGACTTTCTTTGTATGGACAAAAAAACTAAACATTTCTCTTTTTTGTTTCATGAACTAAGGAGAGTTGTACAAGTATGGCGTTTTGGAATGACAATTATGAATTTTTGATCTGAATTTTCATTTTTGGATAAACTTTTACCTATACACCTGTCTTGCCCTAAAGGGATAATCACCAAATTTTGCCCAGTTAAATAAGGCAATTGTTTTGTATTACGAGTTTTCTGAAATATTATGTTTAAATACGTAAATGATGCATCATCTAAATAATTGCATGTACTAATTTGCACCAGAACAGAAATCTGAACATTGGATAAAGCAGGTTTAAAATTCTTGTTTAATTCTGTTGACATATTAACGTTAAAGGTTTTTTGATATCTCTTTTCATCACTCCATAAATCAGAAAATACGGTCAAAAGCCAGAAAAAAAGTTTTTTTTCCAGTGTTGCATAAACCAGGCAAAATATATATGAACAAACTCCTCTGTTAAAACCTTCAGAATAGAGATAAGAATAAAAGTGTTAAGTTTGGTGTACAGTAAAGTATTGAAGTAATAATTTCTGGTTTAGTGCAAGAAAACTCATTTTGAGAAAATTACATTATAATTATAATGCATTGTAATTGAAATCTACAGAGAAACAAATAGATAATGTGTAATAAACTAAACACTTAAATGTGTATTTTGGATGGTTTCTTTCCACTAAAAAAAGACATGGAAGTAAAAGTTCAAATAACCATTGCACTAAACTAGAGGGACATATATATTCTTAATATATTAATATTTAAACTAATTAATCTATGGTAAATATGAACTGAGCTGAATAAATTCAGATTTCCAATGCTTATTTATTTCCTTACACTTGCAGAGTTCACCCTGATGGTTATTGATGAATGCCACCACACGAAGAAGGGTTATGCGTACAACCACATCATGATTCGCTACCTGAAGCAGAAACACAAGAACCAGCTCCTGAAGAAGCAGGGCAAGAGTCCGGCGGCGATCCCTCAGATTCTGGGTCTGACGGCGTCACCTGGTGTGGGCGGAGCCATGAACCAGCAGATGGCAGAGCAACACATCCTCCAGGTAAATCGCCATCCGAGTCCATCCGCTGATCTGCAGTGACGGCGCAAAGAACAAAAGTGCCATTACTTCAGTCTTCAGTGTCACATGATCTTTCAGAAATCATTCCAATATCATTTCTTATTATTACTATCATTGTTGAAAACCATTGTAGCTGCTTACATTTTTTTTTTTGAGAAAATAAATAAATAAATAAATAAATAAATGCTTTTATTTAGCAAAGGCACATTACATTTTTTGGGTTAAAAATTCTCCAAAATAAATGTAAGTACATAACCAGCCAGTGTTCAACGCTGTCTGCTTGCCATAGCTCGATTCAAAACGGGAAGCCTTTAATAATGTTTTTAACTCCAGTGGTACTGGTGGATTTCCGTATTGCATCATTACGTCACATCTGTACACATAAAGAAGAGTCTCGGCTAGTAGGCTGTGAGTGTGAGGATGTTGGAGAAGGAGATTTATAACCTTTTTCTCACAGCACTTGATATAATTAAACTTATCTATTTGATGGCGAATCCAGAAAGGTTCAAACGACAATCACCAGAATCAACAGATTCACCCGCTGTAAAACACAAAAGACTTCGTTCGGACTTCAGCTTTAGCTAACTTACAGAAAAAAAGAGAAACAAGGATAATATCGGAAGGGCTTTAAATTTAGTCACGCAATGCTGATGTTGAACATTAACAATTTGAGAACCTAGTATATTTCGCACGGTTTGACGTGAAATGATAAGCGATTGTTGGATTTAATCAGCGCGACTTACAGCAATGATTTTTTTCCCCTTGAGCCTAGTTCACACTACATGATTTTAGAACGTCAGGCTGAACTGTGCGGTTCACACTACATGACTTGCTCTCTGCACTCTTAGATGAAATGGTTCTAGTTAGAACCAGAAATGGTTCCATCCCCCGCTTCATATATGGAACTCCAAAATGGTTCTATAGAACCATTTTTTGGTAAAAGGTTCTATTGGCCAAGTATGGAACCCCAGGGTTCTATATAGAACCCAGAGGAACAATTTTTAAGAGTGTATAGAACCTTTTAGGGGTTCCAAATACGTAGCGCTGATAGAACCTTATAAGGTTCTATATAGAACCTTTTCTTCTAAGAGTGTGTGAAATCAGGAGTGTTCAAGTTGTTGAGCTGTTCACACCACACGACACAACGTGATTGATCCGCAACAGGAGGTAACACACTACACGAGTTGACAACTGTCACCCAACGATTCTATCTTGTCTACAAACCACGTTTTGTCATAAAAAATCACGCGATAAAATGAACCGGAAATGATTTGCTCTGAGAAAAAATGCTAAAAAAGAAAAAATAAGATTTACTCGGTGACCTCAACCCATGCCTTGCTCTGATTGGCTGTAGATCATGACATCACGTGAGGTTGAGTCGTGCAACAGCTCTGGATATCTAGCATGCTAGATATTTTTCTGGGGTCTGCGAGGCGTCTGTGAGCGTCTTTGATGCGCTGTTGGCTCTTTCATAGTAACAGATTGGCGCGCGTTCATTCCCCGCGGTTTCCACGTGATAACACCCTGACCTGTCGGCGAGCTCAACGATTTGCAAATCGGGCTTAAAATCATGTAGTGTGAACTTGGCTTCAGTTGGTCAGAACCAGAACAAAACAAAAGTGGATGTTACTTGTTCAGATGACATTTTCCGGTGAAAATTATTATGTTGGTCATACTTCCAAAAATAATAATCTGTGATTGTTAAATTTGATTGAATAATCTGTTGATAATTCCGCCAATGACTGCAATTGCAGATTTCGAACAGAGACGCGACAAAGAGGAAAAACTACGGACTGCAGCTTTAAATGAATAAATATTACCGAAAGAGTTCAAACTTCAAAATATTACCGTTTACTGTATTTTTAATCAAATCTCTGCCTTGATTTGATTTGCCTTTATTGTCTAATGAAGGTTGAATTTATTTCATAAAAAAATTAAATAAATTCAGCCTTTATTTGATTTGACTTTATTGTCTAATCAAATCAAAGTTGAATTTATTTAATTTTTTTATGAAATACATTTTTTTATGAAAAAAAGAAAGAAATTCAGCCTTGATTTGATTAAAAGAATATTTATTCTTTAAATAAATAAATATATATTACAACAAAAGTTCAAACTTCAAAATATTACCATTTATTGTATTTTTAATGAAATAAATTCAGCCTTGATTTGATTTGATTAACCTTTATTGTCTAATCAAATCAAGGCTGAATTTTATTTCATAAAAAAATATAATAATAAATTCAGCTTTGATTTGATTAAAAGAATCAAATCAAACTTCAAAATAGTACCGTTTACTGTATTTTTAATGAAATAAATTCAGCCTAGATGATAATGTTTCCAAAACATTACCCCAAATAATTCCGAACTTTTAAGAACTATAAAAGGAACTGGAAGCAAAACACTTTTGCCTTCAAAACACACTTTTATTGCCATATAAATACACATATAAACATTTGACTTTACTTCTCTAACAGAGAAAAAAAAAATCAATTTTCCTTCCTTTCTCAGATCAAATCTTTCCTAACTGTTTTTCTTTAATCTGACTCTCCCCCACGCACACACACATCCTCCTCTCCCACATCTCTTACGGTTTTCTCCACCGCAAAGCTGTTTCCAATGTTCCTGTGCTGGAGGCAGTCATAAACCTCTGCATGCCTTCATGCCTCTCCAGCCAGGAAAGAGAATCAGCCTGAACCCCGTTACACCATCACCCCGCTGGTCTGCTTCACCACCAATCTTTATGACAACTCCACCACAGCGCCCAGAGAAACTCTTCTGCATTCGTTTCTCAGTGCTAGAAAACAGGGTTAAGAATCCAGAATTGAACAGTTACTACACATCTGCTTTTGTCCACCAATAGGGAACAACAAACATGCAAACAACAAAAGGTTGCACTTTATTTTACAGTACGTGTATTTATTTACCTAAGAAAGTACTGGTTAATATAAGGTTTAGGTTAGGTTGAGGGTTAGTACCTAGTTATTGTAATAACTAATAAGTACATATGTACATGGGAAACAGGACTGTAAAATAAACATCTACACACAAAAAAAAAACATGTGGTTCACAAATCAAATGAATCATGAGCTGGATATTTCAAATCAGTCTTGAACTGATTCTGACGGATAATTCAAGAATCAAATGACAACATACAAGTATGGTCAAAACAAATGCAAAATGGTACTAAATCATCCCTTGATGTGTGTGATCATTTCACAGCTCATCTGTTAGTCATCTACAACCTGGAACTGTGAGTTCATTCATTGTTTTGATGAATTGCAGATCTGTGCAAACTTGGACGCCTTCACAATAAAAACAAAGACTTTGGGAGAAGAGGAGGCCAAAACGCCGTACAAAAGGATTGCAAGAGCAGAAGAGCGGAAGACGGTAATTATGTCATGGATTCACAAAATATTCTTAGAAATTCAATTCTTCTTAACTACCGTTTTGTTCAGATTTTCTTTAGAGAAAAGGGTAACACTTTACTTGAAAAATATGCAAATATGACATTGTTTGAGATGTCTTTGTTATGACACCTTGACATAAACCATAACATCATAACCTGTCAGTGTCTTCCACCACTTAATGAAAAATAAAAAAGTAATTGCGACTTTTTATCTCACAATTCTGACTTTTTTCCTCGCAATTGCGAGTTTACATCTCGCAATTCTGACTTTATTTCTCAGAAGTCAGAGAGATATAAAGTCACAATTGCGAGATATAAAGTCAGAATTGAGAGATACAAGTCGCAATTGCGAGATATAAAGTCAGAATTGAGAGATATAAAGTCAGAATTGAGAGATGTAAAGTCGGAATTGCGAGATATAAAGTCAGAATTGCAAGATATAAAGTCGCAATTGCGAGATATAAAGTCAGAATTGAGAGATATAAAGTCAGAATTGAGAGATATAAAGTCGCAATTGCGAGATATAAAGTCAGAATTGAGAGATGTAAAGTCGGAATTGCGAGATATAAAGTCAGAATTGCGAGATATAAAGTCGCAATTGCGAGATATAAAGTCAGAATTGAGAGATATAAAGTCAGAATTGAGAGATGTAAAGTCGGAATAGAGAGATATATAAAGTCAGAATAGAGAGATATAAAGTCACAATTGTGAGATATAAAGTCACAATTGCGAGATATAAAGTCAGAATTGAGAGATACAAGTCGCAATTGAGAGATATAAAGTCAGAATTGAGAGATATAAAGTCGCAATTGCGAGATATAAAGTCAGAATTGCGAGATATAAAGTCAGAATTGCAAGATATAGTCAGAATTGCGAGATATAAAGTCAGAATAGAGAGATATAAAGTCAGAATTGCGAGATATAAAGTCAGAAATCAGAATAGAGAGATATAAAGTCAGAATAGAGAGATATAAAGTCACAATTGCGAGATATAAAGTCAGAATTGCAAGATATAGTCAGAATTGCGAGATATAAAGTCAGAATTGTGAGATATAAAGTCAGAATAGAGAGATATAAAGTCACAATTGCGAGATATAAAGTCAGAATTGCAAGATATAGTCAGAATTGCGAGATATAAAGTCAGAATTGTGAGATATAAAGTCAGAATAGAGAGATATAAAGTCAGAATTGCGTGTTATTAAGTCAGAATTGTGAGATATAAAGTCAGAATAAAGAGATATAAAGTCAGAATTGATTGATATAAACTATTCTGAGATCTTAAAACTGGCCTGATAACTCGCAATTGCGATTTTATATCTCACAACTTTGAGAAAAGATGTCAGAATTTCGAGATATAAACTCACAATTATGTGTTATAAAGTCAGAATTGTGAGATGTAAACTCGCAATTATTTATTTATTTTTTTTTATTCAGTGGTGGAAAGAAGCTTCCATAGCGCAGAAATAATGCACATCACATTTAATAAATGTTTCGGTATTTCTAAAAAAAATCTGTATAAACAACGATTCTTCCCTGTCAACAATTCATGTGAATACATACATGCTGTGCATTCGGTTCAGAGGTGTATTATTTCAAAATGTCCGTCTACTGCATGTGTAAGGACCCGTTTGGAGACGTGATCAAGAAGATAATGGATGAAATCCACACACACGCAGATCTTCTGCCCTCCTGTGAGCCCGGGACACAGAACTACGAGCAGTGGGTGGTGCAGAAAGAGCAGAATGGTGAGAAAGCTCCCATTAACTGCACTTTAGAAAGACTTTTTTTTAAAGAAATAAGGTTTACTGGGTCATTCAAAACATGGAAATATCAGGGAAAAGTCATAGAAATTATTTAAATCTTAAACGTGCCATTTCTATGAAATTTGCGGCCTTTGCATATGACGATGCAGGTGTTGTTTTAAGCTAATCGCCTATTCTGTAAATGCCATGTGATTAATAACATTACATCAAGACAGCTGATTGGCTGATGACACCACAAAAAGACCCAGTCACAAAATTGTACATCTCTCACAGGTCTGCTGTTATAATTATAATATAATGGCATTTTTACAAACACTTAAAAAGCATTTGGTCAGAATAATAAAAAAAAAGGCTGTAAAGAGAAAGAGTGAGCAGATGGTGTATTTACGACGTCTACCAGCTAATGGGGGGATAACAAGCCAAACCACTTGAAATGTTTCTAGTTTGCTCTGCTGTAAAAGTATTTAAATGACTAGATATTGTTCTCTGTAAGTGTTTTTATGTTGTGCAAGACAGATTGAAATACAAATGGAAATATCCAGAAATTAATAACTATGAACATGCTTGTTGGGTGAAGATGTTTGCAAAGCTCTTACTAAAATGCGGTTTCTCCCTGTGTGTCCTCTGCTTCAGGCAAACCACCAGTTAACCACCACATTCATGATAAGAATTTCATATACAGTACAGTCATGCACTCAAGCAAAACGTGTTTCAATAAGCCGCAGTAATAACAGGGTCTCTTTCCTGTTTTCAAAAGAAGCGACTGTTATTTTACTGTGAATTCCAACAAAGTTTGTTAACTGTGCTCAGGATAACTGAACAGATCCAGTTGTCATATATAATAATTAGCATCCTCAAAGATTAGTTAGTTATGAATAACTTGTATGGAGCTTAACAGTCACCGCCCACTTTTTCAGCTTTGGTTACAGTGTTATTTTAGTATTGGTATATTGTTACAGTTTTTGAATTGATTTACATTTTAGTTTTGGTTGTTGCTTTTGATTTATTTACAGTTTTAGCAAAAAAAAAAAAAATATATATATATATATATATATTATTTTTTTATATATATAGATTTTTTTTATCCCAATTCGTTTATTCGTATATATATATATATATATATATATATATATATATATATATATATATAGATATATTACACACACACAGTAGTGGCCAAAAGTTAATTGTCCAGATGGGATATTTATTTTTAACGACCCAACAAAATATCAGAACATGAAATATGAGAAAAATATTTTATATTCATTTAATAAATATTTTAAATATGAGGGAAGAACAAAACAATTGATTAGGTATTATTTATCTGACAAAATGATTTGGCAATATGCAATAGATGCATAGAAAAAGTAATTCTCCTTGTTTAAATAAAGGCCACACATCACTTTTGGCCACTACTGTGTGTGTCTTGGATTTCTGTAATTAAATTAAACCAAGCAAAAATTAGAAAAGAATAAAATTTTAAAAATTATTATATATATATATATATATATATATATATATATATATATATATATATATATATATATATATATATAATTTAATATAATATAATTATTTTTTACTTAAAATAAAATACATTACCTGAAATTATATATATATAAAATTTCAGGTAATGTATTTTATTTCAAGTAAAAAAATTGTTTAGTTAACAGTTTAGTTTTTTTTATCCGGTCACGTAAGATTTTTTTCCCCACATTAATTTTCACTATAGATATAAAAAAAAAAAAAATTCACTAAACCAAGCAGCTCTTAGACGAATCACAACATTAAAGCACTTGACAAAATAACTGGAAAATAGGTATAATAAAATAAGGGTATAAGACAAGTGTATATGTGTGAATTACATCCCATGATGCATTGCGGATGACGAACAATTTTATTTTTTTTTATCTAGAAATTGCATTTCCACCTCCATGATGACATGCTAAAGCGGTTCTATTGTTGAACTCTTATGAATATTGTCTGTGTGTTGTTCACCAGCTGCTAAGGAAGAGAATCAGAAGGTGCGAGTGTGTGCTGAACATCTCCGGCATTACAACGAGGCTCTTAATCAGAGCCACATCATACGCATGTCCGACGCCTTCCGCTACCTCGACAAATATCACAACGAAGAGCTGAAGACTAAATCCAGCCCTGATGACGAAGGCACTGTTACAATCACGGACACAGAACGGTTCCTCTTCACTTTGTTCAAAGGTATTCGTTTCGTCACGATACTAGAATTTCCAACTTCGGTACGATACCTTGAAAAATATCGGTATTCGATACCATTTTCAATACAAACTTGCATTTATACAGCCATACAGATAATTTGTTATTATAATCTCTCTTTTTTTGATAATTTGGGTATTTTTGTTGGAAAAAAACACCTCAGCAACATTAGCACAATCAGTACATTCTACAACATGAACAAAACTTGCAACTAGAGCCCGACCGATAAAGGATTTAAGGCCGATACCGATGCAAATATGTTTGGGTTTTAAAATCCGATATTGCCGATATTTTTTTTTTTATTAAATATTGTTGGATTTCACGTTTAAAAGAAAAGCTAACTTTTCTGCACAAGATATGTTTGATACTTTTTCTCCATGTCTAAATGTTTAGAAATCTTTAGGCCCCTTAGTGCCAATTGGGCATCGTTTAAATGCCACGGCCTACCTGAGCATTGTTTCTGACCATGTCCATCCCTTTATGGCCACCATGTCCCCATCCTCTGATGGCTACTTCCAGCTGGAATCATTTCAAAATGGTTTCTTGAACATGACAATGAGTTGACTGTACTAAGATGGCCGCCACAGTCACCAGATCTCAACCCAATAGAGCATCTTTGGGATGTGGTGGAACGGGAGCTTCGTGTCCTGGATGTGCATCCCACAAATATCCATCAACTGCAAGATGCTATCCTATCAATATGGGCCAACATTTCTAAAGAATGCTTTCAGCAGCTTGTTGAATCAATGCCACGTAGAATTAAGGCGAAAGGGGGTCAAACACAGTATTAGTTTGGTGTACCTAATAATCCTTTAGGTGAGAGTGTGTGTATATATATATATATATTAGGGCTGGGTACTGAGACAAATTTCACAATTCGATTCGATTTCGATTCACAAGCTTGCAATTCGATTTGATTCAATATCGATTATTTTGGATATCAGTTACAATAAATGGCAAATTTTCTCAAGGAAATCAAATCTCTTAACTAATGCTGTAAACTATGGGAGTCTAGTTGTAGCCTATAGGCTTCATTAGCCTAATATGAAGGTAATAATTAACTGTTTTGTAGCTATAAACACTTAAATTACACTTTTATTTATTTTTATAATAAGATTATATGAAATGAAATATAAACATTTAAATGGTGGCTGTCATAAAAACTTGCCAGATTTATTCAAATATGCATTAAATATTGAAGAACACTAACGAGTGTGGACTAACGAGTTTATGTGGGTTTTCTGAGGTAAATATGACGATACATGACATTGATTACAAGCCGTTTAACTGACGTCTTTCCACGGTTGAAACGTTGATTGAGCGAATCATTGTGACATGATACGGATTTCAATAAGTTGTACTCTATCTTTTAACACACTTTCAGATCCTCATTCATGTTTATTTGGCGCTGTGACTGGTATTATTAACCCGGAAGAGAGATCAGCGCTGCTGCTTCTCCAGAATGATCTCACACCACAGCGCCAAAACACTATTTATATTTTTGAATTTCTAAAGAAAATGGACGTAATTTGAAAATTGAGACTTTGTTTCATATCAATAGTAACAAAGGACAAAAATTATTGCAATTTTTTGGATGCGCGCAGCCGCGATACAATGTCCCATTCATTCAAATGAAACAGGATGACTAATCGATTCTTGAGGTTTAAGAATCGATATCGGTTCGTAAAAATGAGAATCGATTAATATCGAGAAATTGATATTTATTACCCAGCCCTAATATATGTGTGTGTGTTTTAAATTTATTTTCTCATACTTGTATATAACGTTGTTATGGTTTTAGTCAAGTATAAAAACTCTCCTTAATTCACAACAGATAAAAAAGCGAAGCTGGAGGAGTTGATGGGAAAGCCGGAGTATGAAAATAACAATCTGGCTAAGCTGAAATCCATCATCCTGAAGGAATTCAGCACCAGAGAGGTGGCGAGAGGCATCATATTCACCAAGACCCGCCTCAGTGCACAAGCTCTGTGCCAGTGGATTCAAGAAAACCCCAAGTTTGATGAAGTGGGAGTCAGTGCCAGCTATCTGATCGGTGGTGGAGATCAGAGTGTGGTGAAGCCGATGACCGCTGTAAGTCACTGAGTAACGTGTCTTGCATTATGATTTTGAGGTTTAATATCCAATTAAATAAAGTAATGTCTTGCTGTCTTCAGGCAGAGCAGAAGGATGTGTTGCAAAAGTTTCGTAAAGGCGAGATCAATCTGCTGATAGCCACCACTGTGGCTGAAGAGGGCCTGGACATCGCCGAGTGTAACGTCGTCATACGCTATTGCCTTGTGACCAATGAGGTCGCCATGATTCAGGTCGGATTTTAGATTATTGCCCATTTCTAAACGCACTTTATTTTGATAGTGCACTTTAGATATTATTCCAACAACTACTGTATAAGTTACTTTGCAACAACAACTTTTGTTTTGTATTTTGGCATGTAGTTGTCATTATAGTGTCTGTTGAGGAGCATCAGAATAGATATTGAGTACTCTAATGAGAGTTAGTTGACATGTAGTTGCAAAACGCAGAGCTACTTATAGTTGGAAGAAGCTCTGAAGTGGACTATCGAAATAAAGTGTTAACTTATGCTGAACTCTGGTTGGTCTGTCTAAGGGCTTGAAGAGTGTGATTGGTTTCGATCAATATTTACTTTGTATAGATGCCACTCGGCTCTCACATCACGCATTTGCAGCACTAACTGTATTCTGGACAAATGTGGGCAAATAGTTTTGATTCATTTTTAAAAAATACTTCCCTTGATCTGAGTTGTACAAGACTCGGCTACTTTTCCTAAGTTTGCCTCCTGAACACACACACATTTTTTTTTACTCAATTCTACAATGTTAAGTGGGTGAAAAAAAACTCCTTAATCTTGTATTTGGGTCAACCCATAGAAATGAATGGGAAAAACTGTCATTTAGAGCATCCTAAAATAAGCCAAAATAAGACACCAGGTGACAGCAAAGTCACTTCATCTTTAGGTTTTAGCTAAAGATTAGAACTTATTGGAGTGATATATTAATGTAGTTAAAAAATAAGCATAATTTACATTAAAAAATATGGTACTTTTTGAAGTAAATAAATTCAAAAGTACCCACAAAATTAAAAAAAAACACCATAAATGGATAGACAAAACTTTATCGAAGACAGTGATATAACATTTATAATAAATAAAAATTAGGATCACACCTGAGTCCTCTGTGCCCACATTTGTCCACAATTACAGGATTAAGGGCTATAAAGTGAATATGGTTTGAGGGCTACAAAGTTTACAACAGGGCTCATATATTTCTTACGTTTGTAACAGGCCGACTTAATAATTTAAATATCAAAGGAAAAACTCAATGTAGTAACCCTGAAATCACTCTTTCCTTTATACTTACCAAACCGAAACACTAGCTGCATTTATTTTATATGGACCCTATTAATTCATAAATAACGAATAAAAATAAAAAAGTCAAAAGTAACCAAGTCAACTGGAATTAATTGGCCAAATCCATTCAGATTGTAAGGGGTGGTTTAAAACATTTCTAATCTGTTCGATAGGAATTTAATTATACTAACATTACTAGCCAATATTAACAACAACAAACCTTTGAACAAAATTACATTAGGCCATTTCTGAATGACCATTTCTTGGTTATTGGGTGATTTTAAAATGGAAGATTATGTCTGCTAATATTTCAGTCAATCACTACTTATAAAATGACAAATGAAGTGATCAGACTTACGGATTGAACACTGCTGATGTGATCGGTGACATCTTTGGCTGTCCACAGGCCCGCGGTCGAGGAAGAGCGGAGGACAGCAGTTACACACTCGTGGCGGAGGCAGGGTCTGGGGTAGAAGAGAGAGAGAGCGTTAACGAATACAGGGAGAAAATGATGAGCAAAGCCATCGCCAAAATCTGCAAGATGAATCGAGCCGACTACGAGAAGAAAGTGAGAATCTACATCAATGACTGTAGAAAACACTCTCCAACACTCTTTGCTCACTAAAGAAACGTTGTTTGGTTTCGTGTAGATCAGAGAGTTTCAGATCCAGGCCATAATGGAGGAGAAGGTCAAGATAAAGAAGAAACAGCAGAAGGGAATGATGAAGGATCCGCCATCTAAAATCAGCCTGAGCTGCAGGGACTGCAGTGTGTTCGTGTGCTCGGGGGAACACCTGGAGATGATCGAGAACATGCACCATGTCAATGTCACTGAGCAGTTTAGGTAAAAACTCTGTCACAAATACCTTTTTTATGAATACGAATAATATGAATACTGATGATGCAAGTTATTTTTATCCTTCTTGATAATGCTGATGGTGAAATAAATGTTGACACTTGCAGAAAGCTGTTTATAGTCCGAGAGAACGCATCACTGCAGGAGCGGCTCTTGGACTACGAGACCAACGGAGTCATTGCGTGCAAAAACTGCGGACAGGTGCGTGCCGACGTCATAAGTGTTTTGGCTCATGTTACGACCGTCTAGGGCTGGCCACAACATAAATAAATATGCGCTCACTCGCAAAGGTAACGTTTAAACAAATATACATTTATTAACAAAAAAAAAAAAAGAAAGAGAAAGAAAGAAAAAAAAATAACAACAACAACAAAGGGGTTAAATTCAGGAGTGCCAAAATAACAAACAGAATTAACTAATTTTGTACCCTCTAAATTCCCCAAAAAAAACCCAAGAAATAAATCACACTAAAAGAAAAATACAACACAACTTCCCTAACTCCCTAGCCCAAAACAGAGAATAAACATATGCAAAAATAAACTCCCTACTTCCCCTAAATTAAATGTTTACAAATAATATTTACATCATACAACTGAAGTGCTTCAAAATAACATAGGAATTGCAAATCAAACAAAAACAAGTTTCACAAAAGGTACATAACCATAAAGGTAATCAAGCGCAAAAAAATGGCACGCATTCGGCCTCCACAGAGTGTTTGGTGTGCTCCTTTTCAAATGGAACCGATCAGGAACAGACCAACCGGGACCAGACCAATCAGGATCAGACCAATCAGGATCTCTGCTAGCTAGAGTACAGGCCACAACTTCTCCTGCAACAGAACACTCAGAAATACACACATACTTTCTAAAAAAAAAGACATTATCTGTAACACTCATTACACAACTCCACTGAACCACATTACGGCCAAGGAGATTATTATATTTAAATATATACATGATTAAAGGGGCTATATGAAAGAATTTTCGTGTATTATTAATCACTTTTTTATTGACAATGTGTGAACCGCTTGTAAGGAAGTTTTAAAAACGTTGTCTATGAAAGTAGTGATTTTTATTTGAAGGGCTCGGGAAGATTTTGCCGGAAAAAATCCAAATAATGTGACGTTTACCCTCCTGAGAGTCTCTCTTCCGTGCAATGACACATGAAACTAACGCTTATACAGTGTTCAGGATAATGCCGAAAGAGCCATTCTATAATCTCAATGTGTCATGCAAAGAAAAGGGATTAATTCAATCTATAATCTCACATAGACAGATCTATGTAGTCTATATTCTCAAATATTAATTTAAAGGAGTAATTCACTTTAAAAAAAAAAAAAAAACTTTTGCTGATAATTTACTCACCCCCATGTCATCCAAGATGTCCATGTCTTTCTTTCTTCAGTCGAAAAGAAATTAAGGTTTTTGATGAAAACATTCCAGAATTTTCTCCATATAATGGACTTCAATGGGGTCCAAACGGTTCAAGGTCCAAATGAGAGTTTCAGTGCAGCTTTAAACGACACCAGACGATGAATAAGGGTCTTATCAAGCGAAACAATCGCTCATTTCAAAAATAAATAAAAAAAGTTTAAGTTTTAGTAGCACAAATGCTCACCTTGCTCTGTTAGCCAATGTACTATATCCAATGGGCTATGAGATGCAACTGCAGTTCACTTAACGGCCACCGGTGTCGCTAATAACACATGTACATGTAGCCCCTTTAAATAATGTTACAATTTATAATTTATAAAAGTTTTTTAATCCAGCTTTTTAATGTTTTTCAAAGTAGCCAAACAGATTCAAAATATTTTATACAAAATATTGGCAACACAATCACTAAAAAAATAGACAGTATAGTAAAATAGCTAACTGTATGTGTTTTCCTGAAGTACGCATTTGTTTTAAATCTTCTGTTTTGTCTGGTTCCCGAGCAGCAATGGGGCTCGATGATGCTGTATAAAAGTATTGAGTGTCCCTGCCTCCATATCAAGAACTTTGTGGTCACGTACGACTCCAAGAAGAAGATCTACAACAAATGGGGCGACCTGCCCATAAGATTCCCTGCGTTTGACTACACACAACACGCCGATATGCTTGTCGAGGACTCAGAGGAAGAAGACACGGACGGCGACTGAAAATTAACATATTCAAACTCATCTCTGACACAGCCAATCAAATGTCATAACCTCTAAAATGATGCATCGTCTACCAAGTCTGTTGTATTGCAAGCACTGGCACTTCTCAACATGTGGGTCAATGGGATTTGTGATTTCCTGAATTTATCTAATCTCAAGTGGCACTTTCAAATTCTCGTCCTAATGTATGATTGTATTTTTTATTTCTTCATTTAAATATGTCTTTGCGAAGAGGAATCAGGGGAAGGTATTGTACAGGTTGCATTCACTAAAACTGCACTGAATGAAGACATTTTGATTGATTTTACTCTCAGGCTTTTGAACTAGAACATTTAATGCATGTAAAACCACAGTGAAGCTTTGCAAATGCAGTCTGTCATAAGTACTGATTTTATCCCAAGTGTTTTCATACAGATTTACTCTAGAGGATATCATGAAATGTGCTTTAAATACTTTACATTAAAATTACCCTTAACGCGTCATCTGTTTTCTCTTTCAAGCATGAACAGTCTTTGATTATGAATCATGCGTTCATGGACAAAAAGAGATGAACCATCAGGGAAGAGTGTGAGACACACACACACACACACACCTGTTCAGATGTTCTCAGGAAGACACAGGCTCCCTCTGAGCAAACAACACCTGAGAAAACCTGTCAGAAACCTGCCTCTCATTATGCATGACAAGACTTGAATGTTCAACAAGTTTTTCCGGAGTCACTTCCTTACCAGACAAATGCTTTGATACATTCTTTAAACACTTAACACCAGTAGTCACATTGTTGGACACTCCTACACCTTCCTTTTTGTTTTGATATATATTACTTTTGAAATATTAAATATATTTTATATTTATATATTAGGGGTTAAACGACCTCAGGGACAAGGCAAGGGAGGCAGCGCCTCCTCAGACTATACAGGAGAAAAAGAAATGCACAAAAACACTAACTTGAAGTGTTTTTTATGAATAAAACATTACATTGTTAATGTAAAAATGCAAAATATAAATTTATTTTTATGTAATGTTATGGTTATACACTCAGAAAAAAAGGCACAAAAGTTGTCACTGGGACTGTACCTTTTCAAAAGGTAAACTTTTGTCCATTTCGGGAGCTAATATTTACATTTCAGGTGCTGATATGCACATTTTAGGTGCTAATTTGTAAATTTCATGTGCTAGTTTGTACATTTCAGGTGCTAATTTGTACATTTCAAGTGCTAATATGCACATTCTAGGTGCTAATATGTACATTTCAGGTGCTAATATGCACATTTTAGGTGCTAATATGCACATTTCAGGTGCTAATATGCACATTTCAGGTGCTAATATGTACGTTTCAGGTGCTAATGCCATTAAGGTACCAAAAGGTTCTAAAACTTAAACTTTTTTATTTATTTTTGAAGTGAGGGATTGTTTCGCTAGATAAGACCCTTATTCATCGTCTGGTGTCGTTTAAAGCCCTTTGAACAGTTTGCGGTACCAAAAGGTACAAAAGTGTACCTTTTCCCCCGTGACAGCTTTTGTACCTTTTTTTCTGAGTGTATTATAGTTTTTAGCATTTTAATACATCAGGTGTGTATAAACTATTTATTAATAATGCCCTCAATAAAAAACTACAGTGAAAGGTATTTTATGCAGGGAGAATTGTTCATTGTTATTACTGCGTGCATTGTTATGTAACATTTTATTGAAAATGTATTCAGTATTATGACACGGTTATTGCATGCACATTTTGACAACTGCAATACAAATCCATTCACCATGAAACATGCATGCTCTAAATACAGTATGCACAGTACAGTCCAAAAAACTCTGACTGACACTAAACTGACAGTTCAAATGAAGAAGAAATATTTATCATTCGGCACAAGGTGACTGATTGTTCTTGCTTGCATTTAGCTCAAGAGGCTCTTTGGTGCAGAAGATTGAAGAACATGATTAGGTTTAGCACAAACTTTGAGTTCATGCCAACTTAAGCTTATGCTGTCATTATAAAAAAGAAGAAGAGAAAAACAAGATTTCTCAATGTAATGAAAATATTAATTTATAAAAGTAGCCTATGCAATGAAGCATCTTCACTAGTGATCTCAGACTTTTGGACCCCAGTGTATTTAATAAAACACTTTTTATTTCCCTGAAATAAAAGTAAGTCTGTGTTAATGTGTCTCTTTTCTCGCAGTCGATGCAGAAGTTGTGCAGATCGCGATAGTCAAAGCGTCAGTGCCGTTTCACTGCAGAGCGTTATAAGCGCGCGCTCGCGGAGGAGAAGCACGTCCCGAACGCACTCCGATGGAAAGTTGTGCGGAATGCTGATCCTGAGGAAGTTTTGCCACCGTTCCCTCACTCCAGACTCAATGATGCATCGGAGGAAGTACATTTTTAACCTGGAAAATTGCAATCGTACGGAATAAAGCGCAGCAGTCTGTCCGACGCGTGCTCTAACGCGGACGAAGTGTTTAACGATCCGTTTAAGGACAGTCACAGAATCATTCGGCGAACGCGGATTCCTGGAGATTGGATGCGCTTTTTAAACGTTCCTGCGCAATTATGGTCAGTACACTATCACCACGTGTTGTTTTCCTCAGGATTGTTTGCGCAAAAAGTTACTTGGGTTAAAAAAAAGTTGGGTGTGTGAGTTTAAACGCAACTTATTGTGATTTTGACCAGAATGAGTGTATGTGAGGTATTTCTCTTCACCTGCAGGGTTGTAATAAGGTGTGTGTGGCACTGATCGGGGCGGTTGTCGTCATCACGCTCATCGTCATTCCCACGGCAATTTACATGAACAGTGAGTGCAGTCTTCTTCATCTTCCTCTGCTTCTATTTGAAACAATCGATAGAAAACCCACTTAAAAGCTTGTATAGCCTAGTGTACACTCACCGGCCACTTTATTAGGTACACCTGTCCAACTGCTCGTTAACACTTAATTTCTAAGCAGCCAATCACATGGCGGCAACTCAGTGCATTTAGGCATGTAGACATGGTCAAGACAATCTCCTGCAGTTCAAACCGAGCATCAGTATGGGGAAGAAAGGTGATTTGAGTGACTTTGAACGTGGCATGATTGTTGGTGCCAGAAGGGCTGGTCTGAGTATTTCAGAAACTGCTAATCTACTGGGATTTTCACGCACAACCATCTCTAGGGTTTACAGAGAATGGTCCGAAAAAGAAAAAAACATCCAGTAAGTGGCAGTTCTCTGGGCGGAAATGCCTTGTTGATGCCAGAGGTCAGAGGAGAATGGCCAGACTGGTTCGAGCTGATAGAAGGGCAACAGTGACTCAAATAACCACCCGTTACAACCAAGGTGGGCAGAAGAGCATCTCTGAACGCACAGTACGTCGAACTTTGAGGCAGATGGGCTACAGCAGCAGAAGACCACACCGGGTGCCACTCCTTTCAGCTAAGAACAGGAAACTGAGGCTACAATTTGCACAAGCTCATCGAAATTGGACAATAGAAGATTGGAAAAACGTTGCCTGGTCTGATGAGTCTCAATTTCTGCTGCGACATTCGGATGGTAGGGTCAGAATTTGACGTCTACAACATGAAAGCATGGATCCATCCTGCCTTGTATCAACGGTTCAGGCTGGTGGTGGTGGTGTCATGGTGTGGGGAATATTTTCTTGGCACTCTTTGGGCCCCTTGGTACCAATTGAGCATCGTTGCAACGCCACAGCCTACCTGAGTATTGTTGCTGACCATGTCCATCCCTTTATGACCACAATGTACCCAACTTCTGATGGCTACTTTCAGCAGGATAATGCGCCATGTCATAAAGCTGGAATCATCTCAGACTGGTTTCTTGAACATGACGATGAGTTCGCTGTACTCAAATGGCCTCCACAGTCACCAGATCTCAATCCAATAGAGCATCTTTGGGATGTGGTGGAACGGGAGATTCGCATCATGGATGTGCAGCTGACAAATCTGCGGCAACTGTGTGATGCCATCATGTCAATATGGACCAAACTCCCTGAGGAATGCTTCCAGCACCTTGTTGAATCTATGCCACGAAGAATTGAGGCAGTTCTGAAGGCAAAAGTGGGTCCAACCCGTTACTAGCATGGGGTACCTAATAAAGTGGCCGGTGAGTGTATATCGTGTAATGGGGAAGACAGTTAACCATTTCCTCACCTTGCTATTCCTGTAAGGATATAGTCATGTACGGCTAGGCTAAATGACTAACTTTTGTCGTTGAGGTCATTTTCGAGGGCAATCTGTTGAGGTTTGATTTACTGTATAATGTTTTTGTCTTCAATTTTTAACAACATTTTTTATATATACACACACACAGTTAAAAGTTTGGAAACATTAATATTTTGAAGAAAGAAGTGCTCTTCCAGTCTGAATCTATTTCATCAAAACTACAGAAAAAAACAGCAACATTGGGAAATATTACAATTAAAAAAATATTTTTTTTATTAATATAAAAAAAATTATATTTTATTTTAATATACATTCAAATATTTATTTCTGTGATGTAACACTGAATTTTCAGCATCATAACTCCAGTCTTGGGTATCACATGAAGTTGGAAAAAGTTGTGCTGCTTAATATTTTTTGGAACCTGTGATACTTTTTTCAGGATTCATTGATGAATAAAAAGTAAAAAAAAAAATAAATAAAAATAAAAACAGCATTTATTCAAAATAGAAATATTTTCAAACAATATAACTTTTTACTATCACTTTTTATTATCATTTTAACACATCCTTGCTGAATAAAAATAATAATTTCATTCAAAAAAAAAAGAAATTACTGGCCCCAAACATTTGAACGGTAGTGCATATAGTTACAAAAGATTTCCATTTTAAATAAATGCTTTTCTTTAACTTTCGAAGAATCCTGGAAAAAAAAGTATCAGGCTCCAAAAATATTAAGCAGCACAACCGTTTCCAACATTGATAATAAATCAGCATATTAAGGGTCATGTGACACTGAAGACTTTGATCAAAGAATTAAATTCTATTTGAATGCATATTAAAATAGAAAAACATTATTTTAAATTGTAATTATATTTACAATATGACTCTTGTTCTGTACTTTGATGAGCAGACTTCTCAAAAACATTAAAAATATGTTTCCAAGCAATATGGTTGTTTCATTCAAAAATATCTGTAGCGCCCCCATGTGAATACTAAAGAAATTGTGGGAATGTCATACCCTGAAATGCATAATTTTTTTATTTGAATACTGAAACGTATTTGTTTTCTCTGTTCTCAGGAGATGATTCTGGATTAAAGAGAACTTATTCTTTTAATGATTTTTACAACGATACCATCAGGTATAAAACATACAGTCTCCGTTGGATATCAGGTACGACACCCGAGGGCGCTTCACATGGTCCGTGTTTTTTTTGTGATGACCTCTACATCACCCTGAAACACACACTTAATGTCTCATTTTCCAACAGACAATGAATACCTCCACAAAACCAATGAAGGCCATATTTACTTGCACAATGCTGAAACGAAGGAAAGCTCGATATACCTGAGCAACTCAACATTTGTAGGTTGCCTCACATTTATTGGCGTGTTTGAACAACTCTTCACGGTCGTCGTCCTCCATAAATTCACATTTAAGAGCCTCTGATATTGTTTCATGTTTACGTTAACACGCATATAAATCCCACTTACAGGTCCAAGTGGATGCCACAGATTACATCGTGTCAGCAGATAGAAAATTTGTTATCTTTGAGAGCAATTACTCCAAGGTAACTTGACTGCACTCACCACTTCATAACACACAAACGTTAATATTGTTCATGAGTGATTCTTGCTGACATCTCTAACAAACACTTGAAACGCTTCAACAGCAATGGCGACACTCTTTCACTGCGTCCTACCATATCTACAACATGGAGTCTCAGTGAGTAGATCATTTGCTGGAGCTTTGTAAATTATTTACTTAGGGTTGTCAAAATATCGGACAATATATGCAATATATATGGAACAATATCATTTTGAAATTGTGATTGCTTTTAAAGGGATAGTTCACTTTGAAATACATTTTTGGTATGTTGTATCTTACCTCAAGGGCATCCAAGACGTAGTTTCCTCAGTAGTTTCAATTTTGATATTTTTAGGTCAAACCGTTCTTGTCTGTCAGTCATATAATGGAGGTCTATGGTCACCACCTCAAAGAGCATGCACAGAGAAGTCCAAATTAAACATGATTTAATGACTCGTAAATGTAAGTACACATTGATGGCCTAAGACACGAAAGGAGCGGTTTGTGTCTGATTAAATCATGTTTAATCTGGACTTCTCTGTGCATGCTCTTTGAGGTGGTGACCATAGACCTCCATTATATGACTGACAGACTCGGTTTGACCTAAAAATATCAAAATTGAAAACAGCGGAAACAAAGACACCTACATCTTGGATGCCCTTGAGGTAAGATAAAACATACCGAAAATTAATTTCAAAGTGAACTATCCCTTTAAACATTTCAACAGTATATTTCAAGCTCACTTATACTGTAGTTCAATGTGAACGACTTTAGAAACGTCTAATCTTTGATATTTTTTTATCTCACCGAACACTTATTAGTATAATTGTTTAAATATTTTACTTTCCAACAATTGGTAATGTATATTCACTTTTTTTTTTTTGCTTTTTTTTCTGTTGGATTCAGGGAATTTTTCTCCAAGTTTCAGATTCCACCTGTTACACAGCTCTTAGTTTGGGCGCCAACAGGAAACAAACTGGTGAGTTACAAACAGTAACACAGGCAAAAATAAAGTAACAGTCACGTTGCAGTTATTATATTACAATATTGGTCCAAGAATTACCAAAGAAAATCTGGATTTAACTGGGTTTTCACCATCACAACGTAGCTTTTTTGATTATTTGTTTTGAATACTTTCAAAATCAAATTGTAATTTATTTATTTTTTTACTGTTTATTGTTCTTATGAAAAATAAACAGATTGAATTCAGGCTTTTATTCGCATATAAATATTGATCAGTGAACAAACAGAAGCTCAACCTTTAGCATTTAAAATATGCAATCCCATCACTTAATTTCTGAGTTAGATTTGTCTTGAAAAGTTTAATGTTAAAAATCTGTTTAGAGAAAACTAATAGTATTTTTACTTTCAGACCCAATGAGTAGAATATAAAACATAACTGTTGCACTCTATTGTGAACGAAATGTTGTTTTATGTTGGGAATCAAAATATACAGTCGTTGGAAAGGATTTCCACATGATTAACTTGTTTTATTTCAGCATTATGCAATTCTATTATTCCAATTTAATGTATTTGCATTGGGTTAATTTAATTTATTAAGGTTGATTCAACTTATTTACTATGGTTGGGCACAGCATAATTTAATGTTTTAGACCAACTGATATGATTAAGGTATTCTAATTCATATATCCATTCATCCAATGCAAAATAGTTTATTTTAGTGTCACACTTATATATTTTTAGATGATAGCCACTCTTCTTCACAATGGTAACCCGCTGTAATTTAAATAGCTCTAATAATTTCAATGTAATTGAACATTAAACACAACTACGCACTATCAAGTCTTCCCCTTTTCTAATTTTCTCAAAAAAAAAACAACATAAAATAACACTTAATTTCAACATTTATATTTCAACATATGCAAAGCATGCTGGGAACTAACAAGCGTCACCCAGTTACAGTTAATGCAACACAAATGATTCATGTAATCCAACACAAACGTATTAAGTAAACTTAAATGTTACATCTATTTAAGCAGATTGGACACAATCAAATTAAGTTTGGACAAAATGTATAGCAATTGTAGCTTAAGCTCCTTTTAATTAAGCAATTTGAACAAGCAGCAAAAATAATTTTTTCAGTGCCCTATAATTTTGATCTCGTTAATGCTAATGACCAAACATCGTCCACAGGCTTACGTCTGGGATTATAATATTTACCTCAAAACGACTGCCACTGCTGAGGCCGTACAAGTCACTCATAATGGAGAAGTCAATAAAATTCTCAATGGAGTACCTGACTGGGTCTATGAAGGTAACTTCATCTAATGCACTCACACACACACACACACATCCTAATGTCAATGCATTCATTCATACCTGTTAACCTGCATCTTTTCTTGCTCAATAGAGGAGGTTTTCGCCTCCAATGAAGCCATTTGGTGGTCTCCGCAGGGGAAATATCTGGCTTATCTACAAATTAATGACACTGGAGTTCACACCATTGAATACTCATTGTATGGAAATGACCAGTACCCTACCACAGTATTTATCCCCTACCCAAAAGTAAATATCTGAATGTTTCGTAGGTTTTCACATTGTCCATGACGAGATTTAATTTCATGACTGTTTGAATGAAACATTTTTCTATTTTCCTTTACAATACGGACTACTACAAATCCACCCGTCATCATTTAGTATAAAAAACTTTAGTTATGTGTGTCAAAGTATTCTTCCTTGCCATAGCCAAACTTTCAGAAAGTTTAAATTCAAAGTGTGTAGCCAGCAAGAAAAATACTTAACATGCAAAACTCAATAGTATGTTTTTGGTTAAAAACTAATTCCCTTACAAATTGAAAAACTCACTTATTTAGTGAGAAGAACATTTAAAACAAACCACTATAATGTGGTAATAATAATTTCCACTATAAAGAACCTTTTGTGGAATGGATGTTAAATGTCAAACCATAGATGCCAATGACAAATCTTTATCTTCCATGATAAAATGTAGGATTAAACGCTAGATGGAATAGATACTGCATCTGCTGTTCTTGTATTACAGTTTCATTCAAAGTCGAATTTTGCTACTAATCTGTTGTTCTGCTTACAAAGGCAGGCAGTGTAATTCCCAGAGCAAGGCTGTTTGTAATTGACGTCGAAAATCCATCCAAACAATCAGAAGTTGTGGTACCGAAATCTGTCGGATCAGGGTGTGTCCCTCTTATGTTTCTAGTTTCACATTTTCACACGAAGCCTCTATGGCAAGCTGGGCGGGCGAGGCCGAGAGCCTTGGCAATGGAGCGAGTGCTACAAGAGAGTCACCTACGCCACACCAGTCTCGAGATCCCATGGAGGAGCTCCAGCAGAATAAAAGGAGGAGTGATGACAGTGAAGGAAGAGAGAGGACCAGGTCTGACGCTTTATTATGTTTATATGCGGCAGGCGTCCGCGAGGGGCAGCCCCTTTACTTTCATTTTTGTAGTGTTCCCTTATCAATAAACTTTGCTACATTGGCAAATCCAGGCCTGGTTTTATCTCCTCTTGCATTGCCGTCGCTCCTCGTTTTAGACTCGGGAGTAGGTCAGGGAAAAAATCGATTTGAAATAAAAATCGAGTTGGCAGGTCAAATCGATTAATATTTTAAAAAAATCGTTTTTTTATATTTCTTTTTTTGTAACTTACATTTTGCATTCGTCAAATCTCCCTTCAGGGTTTCAGCCATTCTGTCACGAAAGTTAATACGATGACAATATGATGAGAGTCAAAACTCTCTCAAAGATGATTCAATGTTACTATTATTATACTTGATCTGTAGATAAACATCTATGGTTTCGCATAAAACAACTTTGTCTTGCTGGACGTTATTGCTGTAACTAAATCATGATGTTACTTTCTACCGGGTGTCTGTTAGAGCAAAACACTAGTCAGAGCACTATTGTTCTTCAAGTTGTATTAAGTAGATTGTGTTTAACACACAAACGAGTTATTATCTGTTCAACACAGAGAGTTATAGAAATTCTACTTGATTAAAAAAAAAAAAAAATCGGCCAGCCCTACTCAGGATCGAGTCTCATTATCATTCGCGCTACCGGCTCCGTTCCGTTCCCACGGCTCTCGGCCCCGCCCTGCTCGCCACAGCCTCATGTCTGAAGCAAGGTTTTCACAGCATTAGAGTTCAGCGTAACGTTATTTTTTTTTTTCTCTTTTCCCAGCGATCACTATCTGAGCACAGTCACGTGGGTCACAGATGAGCGACTGGCTGTTCAATGGCTGCCACGCAGACAGGACCGAGTCCTTCTGCAGATCTACGACTACGACGGCACCAAATGGAAAGAAAGCTCGGTGAGCGATTCTCTTGTTGTTTTGGTTTGGCCAATCAAAGAAATTGTAATACAACCCCATTTCCAAAAAAGTTGAGAGTTATTAATTCTCTTAACTGTAGTTGGGACAGAGGCATGTTTACCACCGTCACATCACCTTTCCTTTTGGGAACTGAGGATATTAATTGCTGCAGTTTTGCATGTGCATTTGCATTTTTTTTTTAACTTTTGCCAGTTAAATAAAGGTTAAAAGAGAATTAACAAATCAGAGTTTCTTGATTTAATTACATTTTACTAGGGATGCATGATATATCGGCCAGCATATCGGTATCGGCCGATATATGTTCATTTTTAATGTTATCGTTATCGGCCTGGTAAGAAAATGTGGCCGATATATTAAAGCCGATAAATAATGTATAATGCCCTTCAGCTGAGACACTTATTGAGCACTGTTTATGTTTTTGAATTTCTTGAAATATGATTGAAATCTCTTCAAAAAATGAAAATACGGTTCGGTACAACATGTGCGGCGCAAATCTGTCATATCGGCTATACAACACTATAATGAGAACATCAATATAATTGTGCGCTTGGGACATGGATTTAATTGTGAGACTTTTGTATTTGTAATCAGGCTCTCAAAATTAGATAAAAATTTGGATTTAAGTTTATCGGCCGATATATCGGTTATCGGCTTTCAAATATAAAGAATTATCGGTTATCGGTATCGGCTAAAATTTTCATATCGGTGCATCCCTACATTTTACAAAATGTCCCATATTTTCTGGATTTGGGGTTGAAGTTGAACAATCTTTTTTTTATGAATGCTAATCAGTATTGGAGACTTTGGCACATAGGGTTGATCCTTTTTATAAATAATAATTACTATGAAAAATAATGAATGCATTTTCTTTCATCAACAACAGTGAAAACATGAACTGCATTCATTCCTTTTTCACTGTTTTGATAAATAATATAAGGCAGCAAATTACAATCTTAATTGAAGAAATGTTGCAAAAATACACAACATTACCTGGCTTTTAAATCCAAAAAGCCATTTTTTAAAACAAGATCATGCCATTCCAAACATTTATGTTTTTAAATCTTCTGAAGCCTTATTTTAGCCCTATGTAAGAAACAGATTTATCTTTGATTCATTAAAAATTATTCCCTCGTCTCAGTAATGACATGCATACAAAACAGTCTATAAGGACTATAACTATAAAGAAAATGCACACGCACACACACACACACATTTCGTCAACTGACCAGGTTTCCATATGCAGATATTTTTTGAAATTTGAGAACTGTCCAAACAATTTAAATTGTTTTTAACCAAATATACTTTTCTTTACAGAAATTTGAGCAAAAGAGCAAAACTGGATGGGTTGGACGGGTGAGTTGTCCTGATTTCAACTAAAGATGCTGCCATGAAACCTTATAAAACATAATGGTCTGTGTTTCCCCTCACAGTACTTTCCCTCAACTCCTCACTTTGCAGCAAATAACAAGAGTTTTTACAAAGTTATGAGTAATGTCAACGGTTACAAACATCTCCACTATGTGAATGCTGTAAGTAATGTATTATTTTTTATAATACATATATGCAAATGGGGATTGTTATGATTAATCTCGGAGCTAGTTGTGACTTTGAACTATTGAAAAACATGATAAAATCCCTAAGGAGAAAATGAATGGATACATCTAGAACAAATGCAGCAAATTTCAGATGTCTTTACATTGTATTAATAACTGTTAAAAGAAAGAAACACAAAGAAACACTGAAGTACAAGCTTAGCAAAGTGTGTTTTTCTTTGCAGGAAACAGCAACACCCATCACCTCAGGCAAATGGGAAGTGATATACATCTCAAAAGTAACCAAAGATTCCATGTGCGTATGAAACCTGTATGTCTCGTCACAAGCTTCTCATGTGACTTTCCAGCGTGCATCTAAAATCTGCTCTTTCCACAGATACTATGTGAGTAATGAACACATGGGAAGACCTGGACAGAGAAACCTTTACAAGTAAAAATACCTTTGTTTCCACAATATTTAAAATAGTCATTAGTGGCGCTATACTTCAGCAATGCATTACAACACTCAAGAACCAATTACATTACTATCATTTTTCATGTGGGATGAATTCATTAGTTGTTCTGGAATGTCAGCATGAGCGGCAAAATATAATATGCAACACACACATCAGGGCCAGTGTCGGGACAAATTATCAACAAAAAAAATTAAATTAGCCGTATTTATTTACACTTAAATTGTTCGAAACATATTTGCTGTTATTTTTTCAGTGGATCACAAAAGCATATTTTTTTATGAATGCAATCTGCATGTATCCCACCTACACAACAACAATTCATGACTATTAAACTTCAACAATAGAAAAGCATATGATAAAAACAGTCTCTACTGTAAAGGTTCTTCATTTCTAATTTGTGTTCCATCATGAAAAAAATGTTCCACACTTAATTTTCTGTCAGCACAGAACAAAAATCAACAATCAATTTTAAAATGTATGACACTTTCTGCTTAGTTGTCGCAGATTAAATGCAAAGGATATAGGAGAAAGTGCATTTAAGTAAAAGTTACTTAATGAAGAAAAAAAGAAAACAAAATGTGTGTATATATATATATATATATATATATATATATATATATATACGTATATATATATATAAATAAACAAAATTAATGATATGTTCAGTATATTTATATATATATATATATATATATATATATATATATATACTGTATATATATATATATATATATATATATATACACACACACACACACATATACCCGCTGTATATTAAGAAAATAACTGATTATATATATATATATACACACACACACTCTAAAAAATGCTGGGCTGTTTTAATGCTGGGTTGTTTTGGGTCAAATATGGACAAACCCAGCCATTGGGTTGACATTTTTAACCCAATGTTTGAGTTTGTTCATATTTGACCCAAAATTGGGTTAAAACAACCCAGCATTTTTTTGCTGGTGTGTGTATAATATATATATATATATATATATATATATATATATATATATATTTTTTTTTTTTCCTGTATAATATAGCCAACAGCACAAGGTCACAAAACACAGTAAAAAATAAATAAAAAAATAAATAAATAAAAAAAACTGAAATAGTACACACAAGCTATAGTAGAATTAATTCATTTTGAATTTTTTAATGGTTTTCCTTCCCTAATTGTCACTGTGAAATGTTTCCTCAGGATTTCTATAAGCAACAATGGACATTCTGTCCCGAAGTGCGTCACCTGTTCGCTGTACCAGGACAGGTGTCAGTATAACTCGGCTTACTTCAGCCTGAACGCCTCTTACTTCCGTATGGACTGCTACGGTTAGTGAACACGCTTTTACTGTACGCCTGTGCGATTCCCTCAAAACAATCCTCGGCCGATCTGAGGTGACTGAGAGGTAACTGTGTGCTGCTGGTTTCACAGGACCAGGGCTTCCACTGTTTATACTGATGGACAACAGAGAGCCTGTTAAAGGTTTGTGCTCGAATCCAACCCCTTTACAACAGGAGCTAAATAAAGCAAGAGTTTACAAAAATAACATTAATGATATATATTGTATATTTTTGGATTAGAGATTCAGGTCCTTGAGGACAATAAGAAACTGGAAAAAATTCTGACTACTGAGCTTCTGATGCCAACCATCAAACGTGCCACAATGAAGATCGCAGGATTCAGTATGTGCAGGATTTTAAAAATATTCCAGAAAAATAGGATTTTTGGATTTGCCATTTGCCATTTTTGTTGTTTATCTCTCTCCAGACCTCTGGTATCAGATGATGTACCCACCAAATTTTGACCCATCCAAAAAGTACCCTCTTTTCATTCAAGTGTGAGTTATACTTATCTGAACCTATGAATGGCCATTTGTTTTCTATAACGTCACCTTTTTAAAATGTTTGTTCACTAAGGCTGCATTTATTTGATGATTTTTTATATATCAGTTTAAAATAACTTCTATTTGAATATACATGTATAAGTCTTTACCATCAATTTTGGTTAATTTATTGCATCCTTGCTGAATAAGTATTCATTTCTTAAAAGAAATTCATAACAGTAGTAGTCTCTTAATTAAAAATATGCCGCTACAAGCTGCAGGCATAATTCAATTCACATTTTTTTGTATAGCACTTTTCACAATAAATAGTTTCAAAGCAGTTTTACAGAAAATACATGTTTCCACATTAAAATTGAGTGATCAGAGATGACGGAGTCCAAGTAATGTTCATATGTCAGACATGTACAGTTATAAGACAATACAAATCATGCAGTTAGCTAACATTATGTATTCATTGAGCTCATTAATGTAACTGTTGTGATTTGAGATCATAATGATAAAAATATATAGACATTTTGGCAGTTGTGCATCTCTTCACAAATGTAGGGTCATCTGATATACACTCACCTAAAGGATTATTAGGAACACCGGTCCGATTTCTCATTAATGCAATTATCTAATCAACCAATCACATGGCAGTTGCTTCAATGCATTTCGGGGTGTGGTCCTGGTCAAGACAATCTCCTGAACTCCAAACTGAATGTCAGAATGGGAAAGAAAGGTGATTTAAGCGATTTTGAGCGTGGCATGGTTGTTGGTGTCTGAGTATTTCACAATCTGCTCAGTTACTGGGATTTTCACACACAACCATTTCTAGGGTTTACCAAGAATGCTGTGAAAAGGGAAAAACATCCAGTATGCGGCAGTCCTGTGGGCGGAAATGCCTTGTTGATGTTAGAGGTCAGAGGAGAATGGGCCGACTGATTCAAGCTGATAGAAGAGCAAATAAATAACCACTCGTTACAAGCATTTGTGAAGCCACAACACACACAACCTTGAGGCGGATGGGCTACAACAGCAGAAGACCCCACCGGGTGCCACTCATCTCCACTACAAATAGGAAAAAGAGGCCACAATTTGACAGAGCTCACCAAAATTGGACAGTTGAAGACTGGAAAAATGTCGCCTGGTCTGATGAGTCTCGATTTCTGTTGAGTCATTCAGATGATTTGGTGTAAACAGAATGAGAACATGGATCCATCATGCCTTGTTCCCACTGTGCAGGCTGGTGGTGGTGGTGTAATGGTGTGGGGGATGTTTTCTTGGCACACTTTATGCCTCTTAGTGCCAATTGGGCATCGTTTCTGACCATGTCCATCCCTTTATGGCCACCATGTCCCCATCCTCTGATGGCTACTTCCAGCAGGATAATGCACCATGTCACAAATCAGGAATCATTTCAAATTGGTTTCTTGAACATGACAATGAGTTGACTGTACTAAGATGGCCGCCACAGTCACCAGATCTCAACCCAATAGAGCATCTTTGGGATGTGGTGGAATGAATGGATGTGCATCCCACAAATCTCCATCAACTGCAAGATGCTATCCTATCAATATGGGCCAACATTTCTAAAGAATGCTTTCAGCAGCTTGTTGAATCAATGCCACGTACAAATAAGGCAGTTCTGAAGGCGAAAGGGGGTCAAACACGGTATTAGTATGGTGTTCCTTTAGGTAATAATCCTTTAGGTGAGTGTATAATTAGAAAATGAGCAAAATGCTGTTAAAACTATAGCATCATAAAATAAATTGTATTATTTCTCTGTTTGACGGTCACGTTACAGGTACGGTGGACCAGCCAGCCAGAACATAGATTTCGTGTTTCGACTGGAGTGGGCCACGTACCTGTGCAGCACAGAGAAGGTGCTCGTCGCCAGCTTCGACGGCAGGGGAAGTGGTTACCAAGGCGATGAGATAATGCACGCCATCTACGAGCGACTGGGAACGTACGAGGTGGAAGATCAGATCTCGGCCGTGAGGTGAGGCGAGGGAACGATGTGCACACGCTCGTGATGATGGACAATCATTTGTCCTGATGTAACTCACAGACGAGTCCAAGGGAACGAGCTTGTCATGGAAAATGTGTCAAACGAGGTTGATCGAGGTCAAACACTAGGAGTTGACTCAAAGCCACTTGAAAAGAGACGAAACACCTTCTAGAAAAGATATATTCTACCAATGTAGTCATTTTGTTTTGGATTTTTTTCATAATTGCTTGTCTTGTGACTGTGTTTAATTGCAGAAAATTCATTGAAATGGGTTTCATTGACAAAGACAGAATTGCAATGTGGGGTTGGGTAAGTGCAATGCTTTCATTAAAAAGCCAAACCACAGAAGAGATTTGACATTTTAAATACTACCAGTCAAATGTGTGGAATAATTATATTATAAAGTCTCTTATGCTCACCAATGCTACATTTATGTGATCAAAAATAAAGTAAAAAAATTAAATTTTACTTTACTTATGTGAATTTAAAACAATTTATTCCTGTGATCAAAGTTGAATTTTCAGCTTCATTACTCAGTCTTCAGTGTCACATGATCCTTCAGAAATCATTCTAATATGCTGATTTGATGCCTAATTATTGTTGCTGTTCGATGAGAACAATTAAAACCATTATTAATAAATGTTTCAATGTTTTCAAAGAGTTTTTGCAGCTTAATATTTCTGTGGAAACTAATATTTAAACAAAATTCAAACAGCCTTATTAATGACTATCAATTCAATGAATAAAAGTA